GATGATGAGAAAAAAATATGGTAAATAAAAAAGATAAACGCCTGGCCCCTTATCATAATGCTGTAAGACCAAAGAATGCCGACCGCGCTATGCAAAGGATATTTGTTCCGATGGAAGACGAGAGCTGTAAGGATGGGTATCGTGAATGGGGGAATAGTGAGAAGAGAATAAAAGACAGAGGAAAGGAAGTAGTGTAGAGAGAAGAAAGGTTGTCGGATGTTGAGATAATGAGGTCGAAGAAAACGCGGCCTAGGCATCTCAATCAGACAAGTCGTCATCGTCTTCGATTCCACCGAGGACCTCATGTCCACGTCGATTGACAACAATACGTTTCGCAAGCCTGCTTTCCGGGACTCCATCCCGTGCAGCACCGAAGTCGAGAACCTAGGTAGAAAGAACATTAGCATAAAGGATCGGAAAGCCTCATCGGGGGACAATTACTTCGATATAAGTCAAGCTGTCACGTTGCACTGCAGCAACACATCTTCGGTCATTGAACTTGACTTGCCACACGCCACTGAGATCTGTGAGGAGGTCCCGAACACACTCGCCGTTTCGAACATCCCACATCTTCAGGGTACGATCAGAACCGGAGATGACTTTCTGCCCATCATGCTGGAAGCAGGTAATGGCACCGGTGTGTGCACTCAATGTGTTCTTGCAGTGGCCGTGCACGGAATCCCAGATTCGGAGAGTGGAATCGGCGGCAGCCGAGACAAGGAAATCGTGCTCTAAAGCGAGTAGACCGACGAGGGAGGTATGACCCTCCAGGTTGTATAGGACGGATCCATCGTCTAGTGACCACACCTTGACCATGTGGTCCATGGCTCCACTGATGCAACGATTCCGCTTATGGTCAAGAACCACGCTGTAGACTTTCATTGAGTGACCCGCCAAAGTGTGTAGAGTCTGCCCAGTGGAAATCTTCCAGACTTTCACTGTGCAATCGTAGCTACCACTCACAAGGGTATCACCGTGGGCTGCAATTGCACGAACGGAGTGCTGATGACCGGAGAGCACACGCATGAAGTATGGACAGTTAGTGTCATCTGCCATAGGGCCACTCTGATAGTAGACTGGGTCACTAGATTTGGGAAGCTTCCAGACTCGAAGGTTCGAGTCACGAGACCCGGTAATGATCAATGGTTCTTTAGGCATGATCTCAGGCTGGCCATCTGCATCCCTACCTATCTCGGCAGGCAGGACGATTTGCAAGCATCGGACGGTGGAGGTGTGGCCGTGGAAGATCTGGGTGCACCTGGCCCGCTCGATATCCCAGACTCGCACTGAGCGATCGGTGGAGCCAGAGACCAGCGTGTTGCCATAGTATTCAAGCGCCCACACACCACCTTCATGTCCCTCCAATGTCGCCTGCAACGCACCTGTTTTAGTGTCGTACACGTTGATGTTAGTGTCATCACTTCCCGTAAGAACCTTGTCAGCATCAAATTGCAGGCAAGTAACAACATGGCGGTCATGAGCGCGGAAAGCGATGTGTTGTGGCTTGACATCTGGCTGCATCCATCCCTTGTGGATGGCAACATGGCGACGGTAGAGGACCTTGAAAAGGAACAGCCCACGAAGAGATGGTAGACCCACTTCAGCGTAGGGCACTGCGGCAGCTGCAGCGTTGGCCGCAGCGTATGGGGCTTCGGACGCGGCAACATCTCTCCTCCAGTCTGGATCGGCGAATTCTCCTCCACTGGATGAGACCTTCCGCTTGGCAAGCTTCCGGCTTGAAGCACGCGTGTTTGCTTTCCGCTTGCCTCGTCGCATCGATGGCAGAGACCCCAGAGGGCTTCTGCTGCTAGGACCGGCTATCGGACCGCCAGGGGACCCCTCCATATCCGCCCTGGATAGGGCCATGAGGCTGAGGTCTTCCTCGTGATCTTCAGGGCCGCTCGACAACTGCCAACCCCATCCCTGTCTTATAGCCCGTTCGAGTTCTCCATCTGAGAGATGATATCCATCCTGATCAAGGAGGTTCTTCCAGCTCTTTTCATCAGAATTAGTGATGTGTCTCCACTTTTTAGACACCTGTGCAGCACGGCACATAGTCTGAACGTCAAGGTATTTGACAATGTTGAGGCTGAGCTCAAGCGGCAGGAGAGACAGGAAGTCGCACTTCAAAGTGGGATTAACCACATCAGCCACGAAATGGAGAGTAGGTTTAGGACATCTCCGAAGAAATTGATACATGAGGTACGTTTTGACCTCATCAGGTACCGAATCAAAGAAATCCAAGACACTGGGCATATCTAAGAGGGAGGAAGGTGACCGTAAGTTTGCAAGAGAATGGCCATTTACCCGAGTCTCATCTGTATCTTGGAGCCGCAAAGCTTTAGAAAAACGCGAGACATTATGATCTAGACTGGAATCCGTATCGACGTCGAGCCCTTCTGACTCAAATGAGGATTCGCCATGGAGGGCATTCATAGCAGCAACCGGCGAGAGACTCGGACTCGGGAGGCACATATCCTGCGCTATGGCATTGTCTATTGCCGATAGTTGAGATAGAGGCTCGGGTCTTTCTTGCGATAAAGATTCCTGGGTTCCATATGTTGTATCATGACCAAATGAAGACGATTCATTTGCAGTTGAACAACTCTCATCTGCCTCGGTGGCTTGAGACTCTTGAGTTCCAATGTTTGGACGAAGTCCAGACAACGCATTCTGCAAGTAGGAACTTTGATTGGATGTCTGTACGCCTTTAGCTCCGATTTCAGAGGAGAGAGGTGACGGCAAAGGAGGCTCCCTGCGCGGGAACACCGAACTATGAACTCTCGGTCTTGGGGCCACATTTTCGCCCAGTCCCCCCAGGTTGGTTTCGGTGTCTGGAGTGGCAAGGCCAGCGGCAAGATGAGTTGATCCCACACCACTTTGGCGAGTGCGGCGTGTGATCGGCTCAGAAGGAACCCGTGACGGGCGAGTTCGCGGAACAACCACCGAGGGTCGATGATCAAAGAGTGCGGGGGATACGGCACGACGGCGAGTATTGGAAGGGTGAGAAGGTTGACTCGCTATTCTCGGAGGAGCCAGGCGCCGAGTTGGGTTCTCGCCCTCGGAGATGAACGAATTCACAGATCGGATCTGGCCATTTGAAGTTTTCAACGCCTCGCTTTTCTCTTTATACTGTTTATATATATAACGTCAGTATTGGAACTGGGACTGGTAGGGTAGGATGCAAGTTATACCTCAGCAGCAGCATTTGTGGTATCCTCGGGCTCGTTGAAGATGATTGACTTGTCACCGATCTTGAACTTCAGATTTCTTAGGGCCGCTGGCGTCGGAGATAAGGCGAGAGGGTACTGTCGGGCGTCCAGATCCTTGACGGCTCGCGGGGGGTTGATTGTCAACGGTGGGAAGGAGGTAGTTGTGGTTGTAGTGGTCGTCACCACGGTCGTTCGGGTAGTAGGGGCGAAGGTGAACTGTCCGATAGCTGCATTTGATGGCCCTTGGCCTAGGCCGTCTCTTTCGTCCATTTCGCGTTTTCGAGGATGAATGGATCGAGATCCGGGGCTGTGAGTTGCATGAGAAGATGTTGACACAGACGCGTTGTGATCAGGCAAAGTCGAGTCAACTTCAGAAATTTGAATGGTGCTGGGAACATTTGAAGTCATTGTAAAGAAAGCTCATATGCAAAAGACAAAGGAACCGTGACGTTCCAGATTATCTTTTTTTTAGTAAACACCCCTCAGCACGGTCTAGCGAAACCATCGATGCAAAGGGCGTTCAGCACATAGTTTCAGATGAATGATCGGGTTAGGGGGGAAACAAAGCACAAGCAAGGAAGCAAAGGAAGCAAGCAAAGGGAAGGGGAGAAAGAAACAGTGGCGGCTGACAAGGAGTTGGGCGGAGAACAACATTTATTCCGGTTCCCGTACTCCGTAGAAGATGTCATGGCAAATGATTTGGATTCTTTTTAAGTCTCTCTTTTTATATATAATTCATCAAATAGATATTCTACATTTTATATTCATATTCAATATTCTACAAATATACCCAAATTCAAAATGATCCGATGAAGAAATCCCCTACTCCCTGCTCTAGACCGGCAGAAATCATTACCAGATAAAGGTGGGACCGATATGATCTCAGATAAGCATATTTACTTCTCCAAGGCTCCCATCTACAACGTAGGTATATTTGCCTCGTAAATATACCAACATGATATCGTAATTCATATTCCAACTTCCAAGGTTCTATCAAGTTTTCTTTTCGCCATCGCCACATATCACGTGAGGTGGGGGCGTGCTTCGGGTGGCTTCTTGGCAGTATCTCATTGTTTATGTTGAAGAAATTATCCAGGGGCTCGGTGAGAGGGGGCTTAATGGGTACAGGGGTATAGAATAAAACATAAACTTGTAGTCCGTTGCCCCTTACTACTAACTTATCCTATGCAAGTCATATGCTATCCAGGAATATCCACGGGCCGATATATGAAATATGTCTTGGCCTCCCCCGCATCTATTAGGGTTTGGTTGCTTTGCTCTCCAGCCTCCCATGATATATCCTTGAGAGTACTGCGCACACTTTACTTGACGGGAGATTTATAGAGGAATACATTTTTATATTGGATTACCTCACCCCTTGTTTGCTAGAACCCCGGAGACAACATTGTCCCAATATATATATCGGAGTGAAGTGACCAAGGTTCAAAGGTCTATAGATATAAGAAAGAGATGCTAATTAACGCTAAGGCAATGCTCAGGACTATAGGAAGATTATATAGTCACACGCGGCTGGCTGTTACTTCCAAAATCTATGAATAGACTTGCTAATTCCTCAGGTGTTTCAAGATGTAGGGTGTTCCTTTGTTAATGTCCAACGACTGCTCCATAAAGCAAAAGAGATCTTATTTTTAGAGCTTGCAGTTCAAGTATTTTTCTCTGTAGCTCTTTGTCCACATTCCGTATAGAAATATACTATCGTCGTCTTCTCGCATTGTAAGGTTCAATTTTTCTTCATTTTCGATTTATCATACCCATTCCTCCATAAGCATGCTTCAATCCAAGGAAATTGTAGCTATAGTGGCTATCTCCAAGTCTGGGGAACCCCAGCCCGAAATTCAGGCGGATAAAACCCACCGATTTCCCGTGATCGTGAGTAGCCCTTCAGATCAAATAGATTGAATTAATAGCACCTGGGATGGACCTAAACTAATTCTTATGGTGTAACAGGAGCAAAGCTTAGAGTTAATGAAGATAACGCTACACATGACCGTAAGTCGATTTCCCCACGAGACGCATGCTTGCGACTGCGATCTAACATGCGTCTTATAGGTTGCATCAATCTCATTTATGCGGTTAGTTATGGTCTAAACAATTTCCTATTCACGTCCTGACATACAGAATTCAGTGGATTGTTGCCCAAGGATGCCTTTGGCGAGCGGGCTCTGCGAGTAAACCGTTTCCATGAGCGCTATACCTATTCCCATTTTATAAACGGGAAGAGCAAGGGCAATTTCGCACGTAACAGATCAGAATATGTTCCTGTATGTGTGATTGAAAGACACATGAGTGATGAAGCCGACCAACTTCTCGACCTTCTAGTGAGTCACTCGACAAGCCTATGCGGATTGGGAAGTGCTCATATGCATCTCTTTTAGGAAAATGGCATTTTCGATGCCCTACTAAAAGGCATTCTACATGCAGTCCAGTTTACTGTCATTGCAGATAAAAGCTCACCAAACAAGGTTCTTGAATCTTATACCTTCACCTTCGACAATTCCGGTGAGCGCGGCCCCGCAGATCGCATAACCAATGGTTTAAGAACGGATTTTGTCAGCCCCCTTGAGGATCGAGCGAGTATGCGTAATATGATTTTTGAAGGGAAAGCCCTGATCCGTCGGTTGACCACAATGTGTGCTGAAAGCCCGGCATTACCTAGTATGTACATTCTTTGTTGCTTATTCCTAGTGCTACCACTCACGGGTTGAACAGACAAGCGCAGCTTGGGAATACATGTCTTCTACAAACCGGAATGTCCGGAATCTTACGATATGCCTGGGTTTGATGATTCCCAAGACGACATCATTGAATATCCGCGGACTTCATACTGGAAGAGGACGAAGCGGTTTTACGGAAGCGTTGACAGCGGTTTTCACACGTACGTTTCTTTAATTTGGTTCTTCCTTTGTCTTTAAATTTTACTTTTTTGATCAAGGGTCAGGACTAACAGGTTGAAGACTTGGATTGAGAGTGAATTCTCTTCTTTCTACCTCGCCCGGTGGCGAGGCTCACTTCCCTTCGACGGAGGAGGCGATTGACGATGCAGTGCTCCGTTCAGAGGAGGTCGGGATTCCCACGCTTGCTGAAATGCCGCTGGACGTAGTTGGGGAGGTTTATCTCTCCACCGATGAAAGCACTTCCAGCGACACCGATGGTAAATATGTGCACCTCTGCCTCACTTTGCTTACATCATGACTAAATCTTTCATTTAATACAGATATAGGAAGATCCAAGGAAGCCATGGAAGCAATGAAGCTTGAATATAGGCCCTCTAAGGGTACATTGATAGAGAGAAGGGAAAGGTCCAGAGCATCACACCGATATGTCAGTTTGCCTTTACTACCGCTCCTATCCAAACATTTGGACGAATTCTGATTTTTAATAGACATCGAAGCATGTGAACAACGTAATCTTCTTCAAGCAAGAAGACGTGGAAGCTTATCAGTCTGAGGTACACGCAAAGGCTCAGTTATGGGCTCACTCCGCTCCAGATGACACTTCAGATTTATTCAAGAAAAAACGCCCTCTACGCTCGAGAAGATCAAAGATACCTCTTGGTGAACCAGAGGAGGCAGCTTATGCAACATGTCCCATTAGCCGTGATGGACTCCATCTTTCTAAGACTCGTCGACAGGCTCGAAGAAACTTTTACCCGGCTGTATACATTCGTCGCTTGCAGGCTGCAGGTCCGAAACCCATTGTCACACCAAGAACGATAGACTATGTTAAAAACCGCTCCGATGACGCCAGGATGCCAGAGGAAGAGAATATCGGTGGAAAAGAAGACCTGCCAAATAGAGGAATGACTGATAAAAGACACAAGGATTGCCGTTATCGGTGTGAGTGCAACACATGGAGATTCAAGCCTAGCAAGTCTGTAAGTCAAGAAACTCCAAGACTATACCAAATTGCTCATCAGTTCTAATCAACTTTGGAAGATACAATGTGCCAATTGCAAGGAGTACCAGCATACCCTGTGCTATGGCTATTATTCTGCCAAAGACGAACGAATTCCAGATATACATTACTGCTATAGCTGCTTGATCGGATACGACTTTGATAGTAATCTGATGGAAGAACTGCTTAAGCTTATCCGAATGCGCAGAATAATACCCTTCCTCCTTGCTAGGGAGGAAATGCCAATAGTGAATTGGAAACTGGCTAGAAGACTAAGTAAGAATAACTGCCATCCTTCAAAGTCATCCATCTAATATCATCCAGACTGCAGCGACGACGAGGCTCGCGCAATATCTCACAGTCTCCGGAAACTTGGAATTGTGAGATCAATGAACTACAAATGCTCAGGATTCCTCCATAAATTCGGCCACCCCAAGTTCATTCTCAACAAGACAGTCACATCCTCCAATACTATTTACGATGAAGTCTTGGACCCGATGCTACTCATTCGAGAATATGTAAGTGATTCCCTCTGCGACATGTTCTACAGGGACAGGATCTAACTGCCGAGAAGTACGAAGTACCCCCTCCTAACCCCCATCAAATGACCCGCACACATTGGTCGGGTTCTGGTGTACCGATCGGGGGGAATTATACAGGTGAGTCCGACGAGGAGACTAATACGATCGACCCGCGGTGGTAGCGTAAACGTTGGAGGCGGGTGCGCTCTAATCCTTCTGGAAATGGGTATTTCTTTGAAGGGCATACCTCGAATAGCGTGTCGAAGCGGATGCTGGATTCGCCAGATGAAGAAGTATTAGGAGGTTTTTCTCGGGAGGCCAAGAAGATGAAGCTCAGATAGGTATACTTTTGTACTAGTGTTTTCCCAATTTTTGGATATCCACTTCTTCCAGAACAATGAATTGTTTCGATTGAAGAGCGAATTTCTTTTTGATGCACATCATATTAACAGTTCTGCACAACATAACAGATCTACAGAATTTTCTATAGTTATTCTCGTATATATGGAGCACATGTTTTCTTATTTTTGGCCCTATTCCCTACTTAATGCGATATACTAGTTTTCGCAAAATGCTGTCAGACCTCATTATTTGGAAAGGTGAAATGTGGAGGATTTCCCATGATCTTCGTTGATCGACACAAAAGACAATAGATAGACGATAGAGCGTACCCAGAACCCTGGAACAAGATCAGGGCTATTGGGGGCGACTATTGGCGACCATCAGGGGGTATCCGCATTACTATTTGGCCTAGCCGCCTGCCAAACCACTAGCTTAGATTTATGTTTGAGTATGGGGTACAAGGCGTAAGGGATAATTTTTTTTTATGTCTCTAACGACTATTCTGTTTGTTCTTCTATTAACGCGTCTATGTTACAAGTCGGAGAGACAGCCGAAAAAGACCCGCTAATTACGTACACAGTCGATCGATGCTCGGTCCAATAGATCGGACAAGGATCTCGATCAGCGAAATTGTGCCCCGGAGTGTCATCGCTGCTTGTTCCGCCTCGTGGGTCTAGGACGGGACACACGGGCTGGCGTACGGAGATATGATCTCCGTGATCCGGTCTGATCTCGACTCCGTACAACATACAGGACGAGACAAGGATTAAAAGTCTGTTATAGTGCTTGTGGGTTTTAATTTCGGTTATGTTCGTCACTCTTAAAATAGAGGACACGCCTTCACGACAGTATCCACAGCTAAGCGCTATCAAAGCCGTCAGCCGCAAACGATCAGATTCATGTCTCAGTTTAGGACATGTGAAAACCAGTCCACATGCAAGTCGATCGTTACGAGTTCCCGTTGACTTGATACGTGCATGTACGAGAGCGAGGTAGTCGATCATTACCAGTTCCTATGAGAATTTTTGGACGTGCGTGTGTGAGAGCCCACATGTAAGTCGATCATTGCCGGTTCCTATGGGGGGTCTATGTACGTGCATATACGATGGCTACCGGGGAAACTGTCCTGATTATTTTTGGTTGAACCACAGTGTCTTAGGGGGTAAGCGGGCTAGTATTTGTCACGGGCCACAGTGGAGGTCATAATAGAGCTTTCTATATAGCAAAGCCCCAGTTTCGCTCCAGGGTATTGGGTAAGCGATCGATTTGTCGATCAGAACTTTTAGACGGGGGAATCGAAATCGCTAAACTATTCTCCATAGCTGACTCTAGCCTTGACTGGACTCCACATTATGATGATAGCTCAGGAAAAAGCATCCATGCGAGTGGATAGGGGGTAAAGATTGGCTACCTAAATGAGTGGAGTAGTAAATAATTCCAATTAACAACAAAAAATGATGTGAGGAATTCGTGGGAGGCGTCAATAGCGTGAAACGGAGAATACGGAGCACGGAGTACCCAACAACCACGTTCTTCATGTTGGAGACTATTTTTTTTAGGTTGCAGATGTCAGAGTAAGGGGGTTAATCTCCTAACAGTACGGAGAATATTGTGGCGAATGTACGGAATTGACTTGGTACTTTTTAACGTGCATTCAACGTGCATTCGTATATAATATGACTCCTGAGATCTGATTTCTATTCATCACAAGTTGAGATCTATTTTCTGATATTTTCTGATATTTCAAGTATTTCTAGGATTTCTAGTCTTTTCCATTCTAATATTACCCATGTCGATCCAGTTTTGACAAGCCGTGCTCCACTTCAATTAAAATTGAAATAAATGAAACACTTCACAGCCTATAAGGAATATTGTTCGAGACATCTTGTGGGGTTTCCCCCTTTAAGCCGAACAGGGAATCCTTCTAAATTATTAGGCTTCTCTAAAAACATCACAACCCCAACTTTTTTTTAAGCATTTTGCTCTTTTACTTACACCTTTCACCCTTAGTCATTTATTTGCTATTTTCAAGTATGCTGACTCCCTAAATTTCCACCGAAATGCAGAGTTAATTAACTAATTTGACCGCAGATCGAAGTGTTGGATACTTGAACCTCAGACCCGCCCATCTTTTTTTTTTTTTGCGAGTGAGCCCACCGCATCATACGTTTTCATGAATTGAACTTCATCTCTCAATATGGGGCATCGAGATATCACACCCGTTCATGTGCCACTTCGAACATCGAGTCGTAACCCGACCCGACACGACCCGATGAACACCCAAGAACAGTCCCGGATCGCAGATCGGCGAGCCTCGAAAGCCCAAAGATTTTTCGGAACAGATATATCGCTCCCCAAGGAACATGGCGGGTGGCAGGAAGCTCCAGATGTAGAACGACCCGGCTTTATTAAGCCAGCCAATGGTGTTCCTAGGCAGAACAGCGGCTTTGTTCCGTTCCCGAGCTCTTCAGACAACGCCCTCATCCCCGATCAGAACCTTCGCGTACGGGCTTCATCACCTCTATTAGGCCATGATTACCGATCGTTGGAGGCTGCGCCGCCGCTTCCGAAGCCGTCGAAAAAGGTTCATCATTCTGGTTCCTCGTCCACCCTTTTCTCCTATTTCAGCTCGAAAGAATCAACCAAATCAGCCAAAAACCAAGGGTTACAGCCTAGAGTACGACATGGACTCGGCATTGAGCCACAAGTGACATATACACAGGCGCAGAATCCACCAAAGGAATCTAAGCGGAAGATGCGCCCTCCAAAAATTGATCTTTCAGTTTTGTTCCCGAAGCCGCGGAATCCCGGACCACAAACACTTCTGTCCCCCCATCGAATGGTCAACTCCCCCTCTCCTGTCTCGACAGTTGCCCCCGATTCCTCTTCCAGCAAATTCGACAGGATCAGCGGTACGAGTAACTCTACGAGGAGATACGTCGACGCACCTACCCGAACTTCGGCCCAAAACGTTCTACACCCACCGAAGCATGTCGACAATTCAGATTTGCCTTCAATTGCAGAGAGCAAAACTAGCGAGTGGTCCGAACAACCACTTGAGCGGACAGTAGGAACGAGTGAGATCGATTTGGCACTGGATAGATATGCGGCCCGGCGATCACTCTTGAGTCGCTCAAGCATGTATACAAACAGCCGCGAGCATTTGCAGCCAGAACAACGCCCTGAGGAACCTCGAAAGAGCTCGAGACGTGTTCGCAGCCCCTCTCGACCCAAGGAGACGTACTTGACTCCGGACTCATGTCCAGACCCAATCCGTGGCCGCGGCGTGAGCACTTCTCAGGAATCTTGGAAGACCAATGAGTCAAAATCAAAGAGCGAGAAGAGCTCGATGACGAAGAAGAGCAGCAAAAGCACCCTGAAAAACAAAGATCTACGAAACGTCAGTATGCTTTGCCTTTCCTCTTCTTCAGAGGACGAGGGTGATGAGGACCAAACCCCAATCACCGAGTCAAAGCGCAATACAAACAAGGCTAGAAGAGACAGCGTGGCTACCTACGGTGAATACGAGCCCGAGGTCTACACAGCTTCTACTGCCCAGGCAACCGCCGCCACGGTAAGACGCATTGATCGAACACTCTCGACTAGCACCCGTGGCTCCCACCAAACCGAAAAGAGCCAACCAGTGCCAGTGCCGGTAGCTCGCCCACGAAAGGTCTCCGAGTCCTCGAATAGCAAGTCTTCTCAGACAACTCGACGTACCACGCAAACTCGCCGTTCAAGCGGAGTTCCCACTATCCCAGATGACATTCTTGCGCAGTTCCCACAGCAGCCTCTCCGCTCCCCAGCAGAGTTGAAAGAGTTGAACCGGAGGAGTCGTGTGATTGCGGTGACCCGCCAAGAGCAAGATCTCCTTGAGGCGATGCGTATTCGAAAGGGCAAGGTCACACCCAGTCTGTTCAATGCTCACGGAGCGGATAGAAGATCACTGGCCTCTGGCCCATCGCGCGATTCCTTCTGCGGATCCGACACCTCATTCTTGCGCCTCAGCAATGTTTTCCCCCCATTCGACGGTCGGTCAGAAAAGAGTGTTACCCAATACAAAGATGGATCACCCTCCCAAAGCTCTGGCTCGGATAATGAACGGAAACCTGGTACTGCCCTTTCTTCTTCTGGGTTCAGTGCAGACTACTCCGAGAGCTTGCCCTCCCCTTCCACTAGTGGTGCTTCACCGATGACCCCGACTTTGCCAATTCATCGTTTTTCGCCGCTTCCTTCTCCGAAGCCACCCCCAAGAGGACCCCCGCCTGCCATCCCCGAAGACCAGAAGCAGCACACCCGTCGTCGCACCGATAGCAGCGAGGCTATCCTGCTCGATGGGGGCGAGTCAAAACGCAGCCACGATCTTCCTCTCTGGTCTTTCGATTTTGATTGGAACAAAGATCACACCAATGTCGCTCCAGTGCACTGATCGCTTGATACCCACCACTCTCACTCCACCCCTTACATTTCCTAATTTATTCTTCTCTCTTGTATTATCTCTACTTGATTTGACCCTCCTACAGTCTTTCCTACACTTCCTTGATTTGATTGCGTCTTGCAGCACTTCGCTCCAAGCTTTCACCCAACCACATAGACTTCACTTCCCTTTCCTACCATGACCCTGCTTATGCCTTCACACTATTTCCTTGTTACTTTTTGAATTAGCGTTCACATGCGGGCTTCCATACCTGCTATCATGTTTTGGGTGGTTTTCGTGTCCACGATTTTATTATTTCGGCTCACGCTTGTACCATTAATACATTCTCAATGATCATCAATTCATTAACCGAATTTGTGCAATACTCTTTTTCCGATTCTCCACAGTTTCTACCACACAGTGGCGATCTAGGTTAGTCTGGGTATATCGTAGGGCTTTTGGCATTCACCGCTCATATTCCGGGCTTTGAGGTAATTCAGAGGGATTATTGAGTGTGTCAACCTCCTAATTAGAAGGTTTATATCTATAGTAAGTTAGTTTGTATAGAAGCGACATAGTTTATACGAGCTGTATATATTGGCGATGTAGGACTTGGATAAATAAAATACCTAGTTTACGATTCTTTTACAAGTCTGATAAACTAAATAAATTAAAGACATGGAGATCAATATGAATGACGACATGGAAGCAATAATGGGGGAAGATGAACATGGGGCCCCCCCTGTGGGCTGGATAGACCCCTGGGCCTCGACGTCATCAACATTCAAAATTAAGGGGTCAAAATTGTGTATATGGAGTATAGACACATATGATTTAGAGATAGATTCTAAAGGTACTGGAGTATATATTGTATCTAGGGTATAGTTGCTAGGTACTTGCTAGGTTCCATAGGTACAGACTAGCCAACTCTTGAACCTTTGGCCTGTGATTCCCTACTCCACTGTGACCGAGCGTTTCGTCTTGTTGTATAACCCCGGATTATCAGGTTATTCCTTGACCATCCTTTCCTTCTATTTTCGCCTTCTTTTTTCAAGTTTGAGATACCTCTCTTCAGTGGAGCCCATCCTCTCCTTCGCCTCCCAGCCACCCGCATCGCCTCTGATTACCCTCGGGAAACCCCATCGGGACCTAAAAAGGAAGATCTTCAGAACAACCCACAACCCCTGGTTCGCGAACTGGGATTTACAGATTGCTTTACATCGAACACACTTCTCTTGTCGCTCCCTCTACTGAACCATATTTACCACATTCACCGGACTGGGGATTACACTGCGTGCCCCTTTTGCGGAAACATTACCCACACTCCAGAGGGAACACGCGATCTATTACTTCGCTATGGGGGATCGCGCCCAACGCCAGCCGTCTCCGCTGCGAGCTGCAGCCAACATCGCACCATGGATTTTGGTATGAGATTGTTGGAACCAGGCGTTTGTGATCCTGGGGGCACTGTTCGCTGATTTGCCTTTGTTTATTTCTAGTTGACTGCGGAATCTACTGCCTTCGTGTTGGTAAGTCATCCTGCGCGACATGCAAAATGCTTGTGATAAGAATAGGATGGAAGACTGACTTGTATATCCATATTCTAGTTAGCTCATTATTCTCGAGTTATGCCCCCCGCCGGTGGTAAACGTTACCTGACCTCTACGGCGGTCTTCCTCGTCGAAGTGGTTAAGCTGGCCATCTCCCTCACAATGGCGCTTTATGACGTTTCCAAGACCGCACCACCTTCGATGCCCGCCACCTCCCTCTTTTTCTCCCTCACAAGCACCGTGTTCTCAGGCGATAGCTGGAAACTCGCAATACCTGCCGGGCTCGAGGTCTTGTCCAACTCCCTCCTGTTCATTGCGCTATCGAACCTACGAGCTGCGTCGTTCCAAATTACATTCCAGCTGAAGTTCCTTACAACTGCAGTCTTTGGTCTGATGCTCCTGAAACGGAGCATCCCACCCCGCAAGTGGGGCCTGCTTTTGCTTCTCGTGGTGGGCGTGGCATTGGTGCAAATCCCCGATGCAAGCCCCGAGCAGATGCTGCAGGACGATCATGCTAGCCATCATTTCCCTCGATCCTTGGAGGAATGGAAGGCTGCAAAGCAAGGTGCTGGTTCTGGAAGCAGTCTACAAAAGCGGTCTGCAACGTACGAGGGGATCGAAGAGGATATCCTGACGGCCGACCCACATTTAAACCCCACAATTGGTCTCCTTGCGACCGTCGGAGCGTCTTTGGCTTCTGGACTTGCGAGTATTTATTTCGAAAAAGTCCTGAAGGACAGCTCGAGCCATATCTCACTGTGGGTTCGCAATGTGCAATTAGCTATTTACTCCGTCTTCCCGGCTCTCTTCATTGGGATTGTCTTCCGGGAGGGCGAAATGATCGCTGAAGATGGCTTCTTCCAAGGCTACAACTGGGCGGTGTGGTCTACCATCATCATCCAGGCTTTGGGTGGTATCTTTTCTGCATTCTATGTCAGCCACGCGCAAAAGGACGCAAGGAGTCTGGCCACAACTGCCAACATCATTTTGAGCATTGTTGGAAGCATCTGGCTATTTGACTTTGAGGTCAATGCAAGCGTACGTCCCTTGCATTTCTAATATTTCCCAGCTTCTATACTGGCCCTCGACATGAAAATTACGAACAAGACTGACTCAGACAATATAGTTCCTCCTGGGCTCCGCTGCAGTCCTGGTAGCAACTCACTACTATGGAAATCCCACCTTCAACCCTGTGATGGGTGCCTCGCGTCCACCTCCAATCCGCATCGACGCCTACGAAAAGGACCCCGCAGGTCCCGATGGTTCCCCGGTGGCGCCTCCCAATGACTTTTCAATCAAACTTCCGACCTCACCTTTCCTCTCTGACGGCATGTCGTCATCCCGTCCCACCTCACCCGCACCGGGCCATACTAGAGTAAGCGCCAGCCGGAATGCAAGCGCGGGTGGCTATTTCGATGAGAAATGATTGCTGTACCTAACTTGCCATGCACATTACTACTGGCCCACGTGACGAGATTCTTTACGGGAAATGATATTGGATGCCTGATGATGCGGATGTAAGTGCGGTCTTCAAAGAAAGTCGCCTACCGCGAGCCTTTGTACTATGCATCAAGTTGATGTGGCTCCTAATCTGGAGCTAGCTACTCTTTGCTGCCCAATTTTTGCATGTCCCCTGGCTATCAAGATGTTGCCTAGCTTTGGCTCATGTATGGATATATACGAAGCAATGAAACACTTTCACATACCCCACAATACTTGACAATTCCTATTATTACTGATTTTGAAAAGACACTGCTATCTTCATATACACAATGGTACTGGGGGTCCACGTGCCGTCACGTTATCAGGAGCATGGACCTTGGAACCAGCCCTGGCGGTACGACCTCACATCCTCCAGTTTAATCAATTACATGGATTTGAAGATGCGGAGAAACCACCAGACTTCAAAGTTTAAACCGTTTCAGTTGCCCTCCCAGAGGCGCACAAATACTTGGTCCCCATCCGGGAGTAGTAGAACTGCTATCAACGACTTGGCATCATCAGCCCAGGATGATGATGTTCAATTGGATGCTTTCGGTGAGTCTACCAGCTTACCACTATGGCGGATGCTAATCAAAGCTAGACCTGGAACTACTAGCCTCAGAGGATAGAGAGGAGCCTGTTCAAGATTCAGGTTTTGGAGTTCCTAGATCTACGCCGCTCCAAGCGTCTCGCCAGCCTGATCTACAACCCCCACAGTTCTCTCGTTTCTTCCAGCGTAAGTTTTTTTGTATACAAGTGCTGTTATCTCTGTATTGTTGGTTCAAGATTGACAAGCAATAGCAAGCCCAAGCATTGCTTCTCGCTGGAATGGGTCCAGTTCATCGGACCCTGTAATGGGGCCTCCCTCGAGCCCATTGGCTTTGTTCTGCCAGAAAAAAGATGGGACACGGATGGGACAACGCACTCTTGAGTCCAACCGTGACCCATATCATGATGAGACTAGTCAATCCTCGCCTCAGGAACCGATCGCTCACGCGAGCCCAGACGCTTTGACTAGCAATAAACAATATCGAAGCCCGTTTAGCAACATCCCACCCTCCGTGCAGGGAATCGTACTCGTATCAGTAAATGACCTACCGGAGAACTACCGCTCGATGTTTCCATTTCCACTTTTCAACGCTATCCAATCCAAGTCCTTCCACTCCGTATACAATAGTAACGACAACATAGTCCTGTCCGCACCAACCGGCAGCGGCAAGACGGTGGTGATGGAATTGGCCATCTGCAGACTCCTGAACACCCTCAAAGACGAACGTTTCAAAGTTGTCTACCAAGCGCCCACCAAGTCCCTCTGCAGCGAGCGCTTCCGAGACTGGCACACCAAGTTCTCCAGCTTGAATCTGAAGTGCGCAGAACTGACCGGAGACACGGACCACATGCAGCTGCGCAACGTCCAGAGTAGTCAGATAATAATCACCACGCCGGAGAAGTGGGATAGCATGACCCGGAAATGGAAAGATCATATGAAATTGATGCAGATCGTGAAGCTTTTTCTCATTGACGAAGTACATATTCTGAAGGAGACGCGTGGGGCTACACTTGAGGCTGTGGTTTCTCGTATGAAGAATATCGGATCGAATGTGCGATTTGTGGCACTGAGTGCTACTGTTCCCAACTCTGAGGATATTGCTACCTGGCTTGGGAAAGATGCGACGAATCAGCATGTTCCTGCGCACCGCGAGCATTTCGGCGAGGAGTTTCGTCCTGTCATGCTGAAGAAGTTTGTCTATGGGCACCCGTCAAGCTTGAATGACTTTGCATTTGATAAAGTCTGCGGCTCAAAGTATGTGGCCTTTTAGATCTTCTTAGACTATCTCTTTTCTTCTGTCTCTTCTTTTCGTTTAGTTACTTGTCTAGCATACTGATACATGCTTGAAAAGGTTACCGGAAGTGATCGGAATGCATTCATGCAAGAAGCCCATTATGATATTCTGTTGCACACGGAACTCATCGCTCGCGACAGCGAAAGAATTGGCTCGGCTTTTTACATTGACGAATCCGCCTGCTAGGCTTTGGAAGGAACCCAAGAAGCGCCTGGAAGCTCATAACGAAGACCTCAAGAGTATGTATATGAGCTTTTCTATAGACGCACACTGCTGATTGGAGATAGCAACACTCCCCTCTGGCGTAGCATTCCATCACGCCGGTCTGGGCCCCGCTGATCGCCACACTGTTGAGACAGGCTTCAGAGACGGGCATATAAGCGTCATATGCTGCACGTCTACACTTGCAGTTGGAATCAACCTGCCTTGCCACCTCGTGATAATCAAGAATACCGTTAGTTGGCAAGATGGAGGCTGCAAGGAGTACTCCGATTTGGAGATGATGCAGATGCTCGGCCGCGCAGGCCGGCCTCAATTCGACGACAGTGCGACAGCAGTCATCCTCACCAGAAAGGAACGCGTAGCCCACTACGAGAAACTGGTCCAGGGATCTGAGAGCTTGGAGAGTTGCTTGCATCTGAATCTGATTGATCACCTCAACGCTGAGATTGGCCTAGGCAATATCTCAGACGTCGAATCGGCTGTCAAATGGCTTGCTGGTACATTCTTGTTTGTGCGACTTCGTCGAAACCCAACACACTACAAGCTCAAGGAAGGCGCAAACCAGGATGACGAGGACGAGTTGCTTCGTCAAATATGCGAGAAGGATATAGATCTCCTTCGAAAATGCGGCCTGGTCGAAGCTGAGAGCCTTTGTTCAACCCAATTTGGCGAGGCTATGGCTCGGTACTACATCCAATTCGAGACTATGAAGATTCTATTATCGCTGAAGCCAAAAGCATCTGTGTCTGAAACTGTGAGTCCATTCTTCCAAGATTGCTAATCAACAACCCAACTGACATTACGTTTTAAGCTTAACGTGATCGCACAAGCCGAAGAATTCCGCGAGATCCGCCTCAAAGCCGGCGAGAAATCACTCTACCGAGAGATCAACCGTGATCCAGGGATTCGATTTCCAATCAAAGTCGACCTAGCACTGCCAGCGCACAAGATCTCATTACTGCTTCAATCCGAGCTGGGGGGAATTGAGTACCCCGACAATGAACAACTCCAAAAGCTCAAATTTACCTTCCAGCAAGACAAAAGTCTAGTATTTGCGCACGTCAACCGCCTAATCCGCTGCTTGATTGACTGCCAAATTGCCCGCGGCGACTCAATCGCCATCCGTAACGCCCTCGAGCTGGCCCGGAGTTTTGGGGCAAAGGTCTGGGACCACTCGCCTCTCCAAATGAAGCAGATAGAGCAAGTGGGTGTAGTGGCAGTTCGGAAGTTGGCTGCTGCTGGGATTACCAGTATTGAAGGTTTGGAATGTGCGGAGCCTCATCAGATCGAGATGGTTCTTAGTAAGAATCCGCCTTTCGGGTCAAAGTTGCTTTCGAGGTTGAAGGATTTTCCGAAATTGAGGATTTCTGTGAAGATGCTTGGAAAAGTTTGCAATTTTTTATGATGAAAAAAATGTCATAATGCTAACGTCGGATACAGGACGTGAAGATTAACTGTGTCAATGTCCGATTCAAGGTTGAAGTCGCGTTCATGAATGACACAACCCCGAGGTTCTTCCAGCGTCGCCCGGTTTACGTGTGTTGCTTGATAGAGAGGTCTGATGGCCATATGATTGATTTCAGACGCGCAAGGTGAGATCTTTATCTACAATTCTTTCATGATAGGGAAATGCTGATGCCCTTCCAGTGCAACTAAACTTCAAGAGAAATTGGAAATGGAACTTACCACGGACTTGACGAGTGCCGAGCACTTTATTGCCTGCCATGTTATGTGCGATGAGATTGGTAAGACTGCTGCTGAACGGGATAAAAACGAGGCTTCCTGATTTTGTCTTTGTGTATCACATACATCCATGCTGACATCTGTCTAGCGGGAACATCGAGAAAAGCTGAGCTCCAACCTAGCCTGCCATCTCACTTCTTTGCTGGTGTGCGAGATAAAAATGGCGATGCCCGAAAGACTGAAACCTCGAGCCTACCACCTCGTCCGATTAAAGGGAATTTGAATCCCAAAGACACAGAGAAACCGAAGAGCAACACATCTCGTCCCCACGAACGAGATATGAATAGCACCAAGACCAAGCCTCGGCGAGATGTTGACGATTTTGATGGTGATGACTTGCAGCTCGATGATTTCCTCGTTGCGGATGAACGCCGTGAGAAAGCAAAGGAACCCACAAAGCCACAGCCTCGAGAGTTCGATGATATTGATTGGTTCTCAATCGACTCAACTCCACCAAGCCCAGCCAAAGCAGCACCGAAAGCCCCGAATCCGCGAGAAGATGACTGGGGGATTGATATGGACGAGCCAGAAAATGAGTACGAGCCAGTTAGACTTGCGAATGGCAAATGGGCTTGCAACCACAAATGCAAAGACAAGACAAGGTTTGAGGAAACCATTACTTTCTTCAAATATTCATTGCTAAGCTAATAATTCTAGCTGCAAACATTTCTGCTGCCGAGAGGGCTTGGAAAAGCCCCCGAAGCCCCCGAAGCGGTCCATCCCCATGACTCAAAAGGAAACTGGTCTCAATCAACTGACTATCTCCAACCATGTTTCGAAAGCGAAGATGATATCGACGCCGCAAGTTCGAAACAAGAACGCAAGTCGAGAGAAGTCTGTCCTCTCAGAGAGGGACAAGAATATTCCTTCGTACAAGAGAAAGAGGGAAAAGAGTCCGGCGAAACCTCTATCCAGTGATTATGGCGATGAAACATTTGATGATCTCCCATCTCCCTCATGTCTTCTCGGGAACAAGGGATCGGGGTTTGCAACATCGGTTTCTCCAGTCGTGGATCATCAACCGAAGAACAACATCACAGATGCTCCGGCCATGGAAACAAAGCACACAGAACCCAAGCCGTCTGTTCCATGTTCCGATCTCCCACATAAGGATGAAACCAAACAGTCCACATCCAAGCCCAAACATGAGATAATTGAGATCCCAGACGACACACCACCAAACTCAATGGAACTACCAGTGACGACACCGACAGACAAACACTCTCCCGTCAAGCAGAGCACGGTGCCACTTCCAACGGAAAAAGACTCACCCGCCAACCTGAAACGGAAAGCAGGTGAACCCCAAAATGAAGAGCAGAACAAGCGGGTGAAGCAAAGTCCCTTTGTTACTGATTCAGAGTCTCACACTTCAAACATCTTGAACAACGAACAACCACCGAGCCCTGAGGAGCCTGGGTCTCCTGTCGCTGCATTTATCGACGGTCGAATTGATTTTACTGCAACATGGGACGATGGAATTGATCTGCTTGATGAGTTCAAGGATATTATTAAATTAATATAGATCGAGAATTGCTGGTCAAGTGGTATGGTCTTTTTTGTTTCCCTTTTCCCCTCCATCTCTATGATTTCTATTGCCTGGTGATATGTATGGAGCTGGATTACTGCTATATAGAATACTGGTGTCATCCTATGATGTTTAGAATTCTCTGGAATAGAGTTATCCTCCTTTGTTCTTTCTATGCAGCTATATAATAGTGATACATAGTATCATAGTACTAAAAGAGATCCGTCGCTTTGATATTGCCCAATGTCTCACCCCAAGTATGACTCCAAAACACTCGGTAAATCAGACCATTGTTGACTTCAGACATTCACCCCAAGTATCTCAAGTTTCTTTTTCACTAGCTATTCTATTTCTTTCGGGTCTTGGTTGTGTTCACTGTCCGAAATCATGGGCATTGTGTTGTATGTTTTCGCCTCATGTCGTCTTGATACTATACCCCTTTGTGCTTTGCTAGATTAGTTATAGACTCAATCAGGGGTAGATACCATGGCAGAGCTAGTATTTAGTTTTGATACATGGCAGTAAACCAGATATATCAGATATAAAAGACCCGTTGCACGCCGGACTATTCTTGGATACACACAGCATTCAACAACAAGATATTCACTCTCAGAAAGACAAGACCACATCAGGACTGAACCGCCTAAGCCGATCAAGATGACCCGTATGCATTATGCTTCTGTAAGTCCCACTCAAAGGAAGCCCCATATGATGATTGATACTAATATATCCTCCCCAGCGGACGATGGAAGGTGTTGAAATGGCCAGAATCGCCGCCAGAGACTTGGTATGTGTTCTCCCTCGCCCACTGATATAGACTCTAACTTTAACAGAGACGCAGACTCCCAGGAGGAGATAGCTGCGACGCAGCCTCCCGGAACCCGACAGTCAAGATCGATCTATCCGGCCGCAAGCTAACCGACGAGGGCTTCGATATATTCATCGATGCCTTGCTCGAGACTCTTCGGAAAGAGAAAGACGACAAGCACCCCGAAGGCTTTGTCCGGCTCTTCGAACTCCACCTGGGCGGCAATTGTTTAACCGTCAAGTCGTTACCCAAGCTGGGGATGGCAATCAGATTCAGTATCGGTGATTTGAGCGACCTCGATATATCTCAGAACTGTATCGAGATCAGTACTGCCGGGCAAAGGGCGGCTTGGAAGTATTTCTTGAACTCCTTTGAGGAGTGCTACATGCTCAAGAAAGTCAACTTCTCCGGCAATGCCCTCGGTACTCCCGGTGTGGAGATCCTGGCTAGGATTTACATCCGCAGCAAACTGGGGTTCCCGGATCAGAGCACTCTCCTTGAGAAAGGAGATGATTCCAGTGTCAGCCAACGCGAGAACCCGTCTGATGATAACGGTTCTGGTATCAATTATTTCTCCTCTCTCACCATCCAAGAGAAAGAGAAAGACCAAAAGCCAGCACATCCCGAAGATCCAATCCCCCAGCCGCAAGGGACATCAGAGATTGCATCCAAAAGCAATCGAAGACATTTCCGCAAGACACGTGGACTGAGATCAGTTCCGGAGCTCATTCTGACCAGAATCCCCATGTCAGCCACGGGTGTTATCCATCTTGCCAGCATTCTGTGCCTGCAGGAATCACGGGAGCTGCTCTGCTTTTATCTCCCGAAGACGAAGACGGGTGCCTCTCGACCGGAAACCGAGAAAAAGAATCTGAGTATTACTTGGGAGATAAATGAGTATCTGCATCAAGACGTCCGTCAATTGTTGTACTGGGCAACTGGCATCGCGCAAAGAGCGCCGTCTTTCTCCCCCGGTCTAGCTGTGGCGGTTACCGAGTTGGAGGCTCCTCCAAGGCCGACTTCCCTGTGGAATGGTAGATCTGATATCAAATTCCAATGGGTCACTCGAAACCTGTACCGAGTTGCGACTGAGAGTGAGATCCAAGGGTCGGAGATATGGGGTGTTGCTCTGAAGATGGCCAAGAAGATGCAAACGATCATGTTGAATGAGGAGGTCATTCAGGTACGTGAAATATCCTGGTTACATTTGAATGGGACTAACTCAGAGCAGGCTCAGCTTTCGTCCGGCGGAAAGCTCTTTCAGTGTCTTGGACTTGAAAGGGATTTGGTGGATGCCATCAACCTCGGAGTAGCTCGCTCGAAACTGGATGGGTTGGATGGACAGTCGAAGGAGCCCTGGCGTCTTGGGATGTCGCTGGACACATGGTCGGATGTCATGGGTATGGTCTTGGACAAAGGGGATGTCCTCACTGCTGGTCAGAGGAAGAAGATTGTTCGATATGTGGTGACTCTCGTTGACAGGCCTGTGCCTGAAAAGGCAATGGAGATCTGGCAGTTTCTTTTCAATGTTGGTTGCATCATGCACTCTTGATCTTTTTGGCCCTCTTTTCTGTGTTTTTAGACTTGACTGCGTTTTTTTACTTATTTAGAATCTTATGCTTTTGGAAACCTCGTTCTGAATAGAATATATAACCCTCTAAGCTTGTAAAATGAAGTAATTAGCTATACAAATCAAAGGTTATACACAAAAAAGACACCACATGGCTTATACCACTAGTCTTGAGCTAGCACCGTATTTATGTAGTGTTCGCAAGTCAAAAATATAAATCGTCACCATTTTCAGCCAGAGCTACCACTCCCCCAGTCCAGCCCGCGAGCTGGCTTTACCAATTTCCGAATAACGTATGTCACGTCGGAGAATGGCTCAGGTCCTAAGATATCAGGATTAACTGTGCTTAAAACGTGTTAGCTCATTATGATCGATACTTGTAGTCATATTACCTACAAAGACTTGGTAGCGTCATCGTAGATAAGTTTCCTTAAAGTACAAATTGCCGGTGCCCAATCATCCTCTCTTCGCTCTATTCTTCATATTTGTACTAGCTCTCTCAAGGTATAGATGTATAATCCATGGTCTTACCTATAAGCCGCGCGGAAAGCCGAACGCACCTCGTCCCGGTATACGATATCACATTTCCAGTAAGAAACGGAGTGAACCAGTTCGCCAGCCACCCACTTCCACGCAACATAATTGGTATACCCCAAGGGACGTAATCTCCTCCACCTTGTACACGGTTTCCATAGCCAAGGAGCTTTGAGACGGCGGTGCAGTTCTTAGAATCGAGGCTCGTAAGACTTCGGCACGAGTGTGCTGAGTGATAGCCTGCTGGGCTCGGACTTCAGGGGAGCGAGAGATAGTACCGTGAATCAGAATTTGAGAGTAGAGCCGTATGAATCCCTGTTCAGTAGGATCGAAGAGGTTGTGATATGAGAACTTGATTGCCGCGAACGGATGGCCGAGGCCATCATCGATTTCTTCCTGCGTCATGGTTTGGTATTCTTTGAATAATATATCGTCGAGGACAAATGTAGTACTTGGGGAAGGTTGTTCGAGCCTGATTCTAGTACCGCGCAGATAATCGAAATGTGCTGGCCGAGACATTGTTATGAGCAGAGAAATCAACCCTGCTGTTTGATATGCTGCTTGCTAGATTTATCGGGGTATAAATCGCCTGTCCATCCATAAATTCCACGATACAGATCTCGTTTACTCCCTTCTTACTTTGATTTAGTAGTTGTACAAGTTGAGTCTAAACTTGTGTAATCTGAGAGCCACGTATTTATGACAGTGTTAATCTTTCCTTAAAATTGATATTGCAAATTGTAAAACATAAGAACTTGAAACCTTCCAATAATGAGTATGTGCGATATCTCAAGGACGCCGCCTCACCTTCTGCGGGCTCAACAACCGGCGGCATGGTCGAAGCATCCTATGACTGTGACGAGCGATTCGAGTAGGTGCCGGAGACGGTAGCACTGATGGCAACATGACAGGTCTCCGCAGCCCCATTGCTTGGCTCCTTCAACAGTCCCTCAATATTGAATTATCATCCTCCCCTTTGACAGCGAGAACAGCTTTGACGGCGGCCGTTCCGTATCTCCCTCTCGCGCAGGTCAGACTCATCGAAAGGGGGCATAGGTTGGTATATTCTGGGTTGATGCGGGATATCCGTGTCTGTGTTATCAATAGCGTGGGCAACAGAGAGTTCTAGCTCAGGATCGACCGTAACCCGGTCGCTATAATGAGGAGAGACAGGGCGTTGGCCGCGAGTTTCTCCTCGAAGTCCCAGCTCACTGGGAACCGGTGTTGGCTCTTTAGTGAGGGTATGGATGCTGTCTCTAGTGAAGCTTCGGTCACGAAGAGAAAGTTTCCTCGGTTTCGGTCCGCTTGAGTTCCGGGTGATCACGACGAAAGCAGGGTTTGATGAGGACATATCGTCCGCAGAAGTCAACTGTGAGGAAATATCTGGATCTGCTGGAGGTTCAACGGGGGACTGTTTGGAAAATCTCTTAATCAAGTCTCGTGCATCTTTGATGGTGTCTTTTCTAATATCTTCAATAATGACCGTTATCACTCGGATATTGCCTGCGGTGTCTGGATGCCCATTGAGGCTGGTTTTCCCGTGGAGCGCTCCGATTGAATCGATGAACTGTCGTTCCGTTCGGCGAGTCTGCTTTTTCAAGGCAGTTCTATTGTTTCCAGATTAGCGTTCAGTAAAGAGCATATGCTTGAAATACTAACATCTTATCAAGAGCTTGTGACTTTCTCACAGGATCCCAATTCGGAACCCTGGAAAAGTTGGCAATAGCAGAGTCGAGCATTGCGAGCGATGTCAAAAGGTTTAGGCTGGATTTCACGCTCCCCAGTGTAGCTATCGGAACCTGAAAGTCGTCTTTCACGAAGTGCCATCGAATCTTTGCCTGGAATTTCTCAAAACTAGTACTTTTGCCCCGGTATAATGGCTTGAGCTTGTGGCTAATCTCTCGAATCTGGTCATGGGCCATTTTTGATTGGTCACAAAGTCGTTGATCGAGATTGTTTTGCCTTGCCATTTGCATAACAGTGTTCTGAATCGGACTAATAACCTCCTCAAAAATGCTCGCTAGCAGCCGGCAATTCGCAATTTCGTATTTGAGTAGTTTGACTTCCTTCTTGGCCATACGAATATCTCGAGAGAATCGACATAGGCTCTTGCCACAGGCGTCAAGTTGACCAAACAAGGAAATTGCAGCAAAGGCTACACCTACTGGCTCCATAACTGTCTAGAATTACGAAGTCTCCTCATTTTAGGGAAATCTTAAACAATATATTTGGATATGCGGCTCAACAGGATGTGTGGTAAATAAATCTTACATGTAGTGCAGCGTATCAGGTTAAGCCACGACTATCGCATAACTGGTCTCACGCATTGCGATACTCGATAATTGGTGCCTCTATACAGATTGACTACTATGATAGGACGTCCATAAAAACCCAGCAACTAATTATGTAGGCGGTCCATCCGTAGCACAGTATCACATTTACTAGGGTGAAGGGTACATGAGACAAATCATCTCTTCCAGTTTGCTGGCAATGCGACCGAACACGTCGCAGGCTTCCAGATTAGGACTAGTAGCGTTTATTTTTTTTAAAAAAGAAAAGAACCAAAGCGGCTGGACGCGACAGCACGTGATTGGTTGATGAAAACAAAACAAAGAAAAAACAAACAAAAAAGCAAATATTCACGTGACTACACGTGATTGGCAGAAAAAAAGGGAAAAGATATAATAAAAACAAAAAACCGGCAAAAAGCACGCGACCGCACGTGATTGGCCAAGAAAAAATAAAATAAAAATAAAAATAAAACCGGCAAAAACCACGTGATAACACGTGAGCGCCTTATCACGTTCATCCAAGAGCCCTACTTATGTTGTACAAGGTCTGTTTCCAGAGTCACAGAAGGTACCCTGTGGCTATTAATTTTTGTATATATTCCAGACCACCCTAGTTCAAAATAAAAACTGGCAATGTCGTAGCAATAGATGGACTTTCTTTATTTTCATTCCAGCAGGAAAATAATATTGGTTCTTAAGCGTAGATTTGATATGGGGTATCATACCATGTCTACTATATGAATTCTAACAAAAATACCTACATAGAAGGTATCAAGGTGTTGGTCGCGAGAAAGAAATTGTCGAGGTCCAATGCCACCTTTCGACCCAAGAATGTAACCGGCTCAACGAGCGACTCGACTACAATGGGTCTCGGCTTCCAAGATGAGACCCATCTGAAGGTTGGGGGCCATGTAGCGGCTGACAGCCATCGCAACGCATGTTTAACGCCTAATTTCATCAAACTTGTAGACAAACATTGTGAAGTTAAGACTGGGTCTATAGAATATGGCTTTCGTGCTGATTGGAGTCATACTATGTAGTTACGTAGTTGAAAGAAGAACTCAAAACAGTAGGTATCACCCCATGTGGGTAATGTTATCATGAGGGTACCCATGTGATAGGTGCACGTGCACTCCCCAGGTTTCGGCACGGGTCGCACGGACCTTGTCTTCGGCACGGGCTCCAGAACTCGGCTCCAGGTTTCGGCACGGGCTTCAGAACTCGGCCCCAGATTTCGGCTCGGGCCGCACGGGCCGACTACCTCGGCGGGAGGTATAAAACGCAACCTCGCCCCCCGGAGACCTGTTCTTCTTCATTTTTCCCTTCCACACACTCGTTCAACACGACCCATTGTATAATCATTTGGCTTGTTCGTAAACTTGACAAAGGAATGTTGTGTTTTTACCTGTTTAGCTTTTTAATTTTTTAATTGATTTTTTAAATTGATTTTATAAATTGATTTTTAATTATTATTTATTTATGCAGGACAGGATCTAGAACCACACGTGGCCATTGAACACGCACGCTCATTGGCTACCAGAATATTGGCATAGGTACGTGCTTAGCACTGCCCCGGAGCTCGGCTTGGGGACTAAAGATCTACCGGCTCGGGTATAAAACGAGCAATCGACCCCGGAGACTTCTTCCTCTTTTCATCTCTTCAACTCTCTTCGACCCCGAAGACTATCTTCAAACTCTTCTTCATAACTATAAGCCCCCTTCCCCCTTTTGTGTACTTACTGACTTTCATACAGAAATATGTGGCTTGCGAGCCTCCCCATCCACCCGCGTGCCTCTCTTATGAATCTTCTTGCTAATTATAAACCCCCTTCCCCCATCTTGTTTACTTTCTGACTTTCACACAGGAACATGAGACTTACGAGCCTCCACATCCACCCACATGGCCACCCGCCGGCCTCTCTTATGAATCTTCTTGCTAATTATAAACCCCCTTCCCTGTTTTGTTTACTTACTGACTCTCATACAGGAACATGAGACTTACGAGCCTCCACATCCACCCACGTGGCCACCCGCCGGTCTCTCTTAAAGATTCATTTATGAGTCTTCTTGCTAATTATAAACCCCCTTCCCCCTTTTCTTTACTTACTGACTTTCACACAGAACATGAGACTTACGAGCCTCCACACCCACCCACGTGGCCACCCGCCGGCCTCTCTTAAAGATTCATTTATGAGTCTTCTTGCTAATTATAAACCCCCTTCCCCCTTTTGTTTACTTACTGACTTTCACACAGAACATGAGACTTACGAGCCTCCACACCCACCCACGTGGCCACCCGCCGGCCTCTCTTAAAGATTCATTTATGAATCTTCTTGCTAATTATAAACCCCCTTCCCCCTTTTGTTTACTTACTGACTTTCACACAGGAGCATGAGGCTTACACGTCTCCCAACTCTCTCCCCTTTTCCTTTTTCTCAGATCAGATGGATCATCTGTTCTTGCTAGTTTGATCACTAGCAGTCCTGTTACGACAGGACATTATGATTATTTTAATTTTTGAAAACTCGTGACTTGGCCTCTGTGCTTGCATATGCCTCGTTGCACAGTGTCACTGGGCTCACACTACCCCCGGTTGACACACCCTTGTTTTTTCATCAATTATTCGGCTTGTCCGGGTGCTTGGAGAAGAAACTTTACTTGACTCAAGGCTCTTTTGTCCAACCTTGAAAGTTGTATCCGAATTTTACAGGCTCATTGTCTACGAGGAGATCTCTTCTCTTCTCTTCCCCCCACCGGCTTCTTCCCTCATTGGAGTGTACCTTTTACCTGGGCACTAGGAAAATGGGAATTGATACTCCTCTCTATCCACCCGGGTAGGAATTGTGCTCGAAAGGCTACTTTCATTTAATCTTTCATCTTAACTTTTTGGAACTGGTCACCTGGCCTCTATGCTTTAATATGCCTCGTAGCACCGTGCTACTGGGCTTACACTATAGTACCCCCGGTGGGAGCGCCCTTTTCTTCATCAATTATTCGGCTTGTCCGGGTGCTTGGAGAAGAAAGCGTTGACTCTTGTCCAATGTTCAAGTTCTATCCGAATCCTGCACACTCATTGGCTGCGAGCTTTACCGGCATACTTTGTTGTTGTTGTTGTATCGAGTAAGGTCCGGCGGGAGATGGGCGTAGCCGGTCTCCCTGTGACCTCCCATGGGGTAAAGGAACGTGCCAATAAGCGAGTCAGAGAACGATGGGAGAAGCCGTGGGAGTGAGAAAGAACTTTCGTAGCTGCAAAGCGCTTGATGTAGGGGCAGAACAAGAAAGACATTTTGTCTATACGAAGGCCTGTCAAAGCCACAATGTGCGATTTTGTTCCAAATGCGTACAATGATGATCGGGCGCCGGCACTTCCAGTGCAAAGACAAGGCAATGTAAACACATGGATGAGACTAACACAGGGTCACAATCACTGAGGCATATCCTTGTACAGTGCCCACGATATCCTATCCCGCGTACAAAATTGTAGGAGCAGCTATAGGCAGTTGGTATCAAGCAGACTGACTATGATGAGGTCCTGTCAAATCTGCAGGCCACCCGCTCCATGGCCAACTCCATGTACCGAACAGATCTTCAGCAGTTTCAGCGCATAGGACTCGAGGAGGAAGACGACGACGAACCGATAGGCCTCGCGGCTATAGCCCTAAAAGTGAGACGATGGGTATTAGCCAATGAGCATGAATGAAGCTGTGGAACGAGAAACTCACCTAGAGTCGACGAATATACCAAACAACAGCTGGCCAGAGATACCACACTGTCAATGGAGACTGAGGCAGGCGGAAGTTGCAGAGGATAGAAGAAGTGAGAGATGTAAGATGGAGGGTACACTCCATGGCAGTCGCTTTTGTATGGGATTATGAGCTTATAGGTTCATACTTAAGTTGCAGGAATGGGCTGATTCCATGCTCTCTAGAAAGCAGCCTCTGTATACACTTGGGAGTAATCCCAACACGGCCCTTGGCTTTGAGTTCTTGCTTCAGCTGGATGAAGCGCCTGCATTGTCATACGCAATTAATTAGACTGCAACATGTTAATCGAACTTTGATTGATTGTGATGGATACGGCCGTGCCGAGCTATGGACCTACATATGTACAAGTTTTATAAATAGCCACAGAAGGCATTCCTAAGTACTTAAAGTGTGGATTACGTTAACTGGGCGGATGCCTGTCATAGTGCGACGTGTGAAATAGATGTAGATATGTTAGAGACGGGGTGATTCCCGCTCGCGTTTCTTGCTGGCTGTGTCGAGCCACCTTCTCCGGTCACGCCTGCTGTATAGCGGGGCTACCGCCTGCCAGTTACTGCCCGCTATTCGGGTTGGAGGTGTTCAAGATAATCCGAAGCGCCACCGCCTGGGAGGTATAAAGCGACCCATTTTCCACCGGGAGCTCTTCTCTTCTTCTTCTTTTCTCCCCATCCCCGGGGTAGCCCCCCGGGTTCCCCTTCCCCTTTCCCTCAACATGTATCTACTAACTTATGTTTGTAGGTACCTTCCCCCCCCGAGGCTAGCACACCTCCCGAAAACGTGCTTGAAAGGTTACTTTCAAGTAACCTTTCAACCAATTTTTAGAACTAAAACGTACCGCTGGGCTTACACTGCCCCCAGTGTGTGCGGAACCCCTTTTTTCATCAATTATTCGGCATGACCGGGTGCTTGGAGAAGAAAGCTCTTTTGTCTAAAGCTGTAACAAAATATGATATAGTTCGGATTATTGTTTGTCCGAGAGTGCTGATGTTTTAAGGTTTGGTCGGACCTCCTGGGGTCGGGATCTCGGCCCATTATTTATCCTAAATTGACCTCGCTGTCCATTTGGGCGGTGAACCTCGCTGTCCCCATTTGGGCGGTGAATCTTGGGAGATCCCACATGTTGCCGTGGAGTTTGTTTACGTTAGCACACAAATCGTCCTGTCCCGTCCCTCTGGCTGTGGTTAGCTTCACCTGTTTCCCCACGTGAGATGACATGCGCATATTGGTCTTTGTAATTATTGTAGATTTTCACTATATCTAGGTCGCATCCTAGACATTGCAGATCACAATGTCCCTACGCACATACAAAGTGGGGCTGGTCGCAATCGCGATCCGTAGCAGGTCTCACGTGCCATTTCACCTCGGATCATCGTTCATCGTTTCCATGGTTCATTTCCTTCGTGGAATCTTCCTCTGAGTCTTCGTGTGTTCTTTACTTCTTTTGTACCAAACATGTTACGCGCCAAGCGCCAGAACACTCAGCCTTTGGAGGATTCATCTGTCGCGCCTGAAACTTTCACCGATGGCCTCCCACTCCCAAAATTGATCGCATTCGATCTAGACTACACATTGTGGCCCTTCTGGGTCGACACACATGTCAGCGCCCCAGTCAAGGCCCGTGACAACAACTCACGTGCCGTGGACAGGTACGACGAATTCCCCCTTGATGAATTTGAGACTACTTTTCTAACCCCGCATTCCTTATCTCAAATAGATGGGGAGAGTCCTTCGCCTTCTACCCGGCAGTCTCGTCTATAGTCTACGCCTGCAAACATCGCTCCATCCCACTAGCACTCGCATCCCGAACTCAGGCCCCCGATCTGGCGCGTGACATGCTCAAATCCCTGCATATTATCCCCACCTTCTCCGATAACCCCGCCGCGAACGCCAAGACCATCCGTGCCCTCGATTACTTTGATTTTATCCAGATCTACCCCGGGAGCAAAACATCGCATTTTTCCAAGATCCAACAGACGAGTAGTGTTCCTTATGAGGATATGCTGTTCTTCGATGATGAGGCGCGCAATCGGAACGTGGAGACGGAGCTAGGGGTCACATTTTGCTTGGTCCGCGATGGGATGACCAGAGATGAGGTCGACCGGGGCGTTAGAGCTTGGAGAAAACGAAATGGCATCAAACAAGAGACCGTGGAGGAATCGTGAGATACATGGCTGTCTTATTTTATCGATCCTACATTGGGGGATGTTGCGCTTTAGACTGGGCTTTGCATTTTAGATACCCCGGCTTTGGATATACGAATACAGTTTCCTATGCTATACAGCAATCCTTCTATACCAATAGAATAAGCATGGAATAGGATAGTATCCCTAGGTACTTCGATCCATCCATGGATAGACCCTCCTGACCGGTGGACGTTTTATGGAGCTGACTAAGGGACATACCCCAAAAAGCGGCGCGAGCTAGCTCCAAAACAGGAGCACAATGGGATCATACAAGAATCTCCCCAAACACATCTCCCCCAACATATACAACCAAAATGGCGACCCTCAAACCTCCAACAAATACCCACCGCTCCTCATCTTCCTCCCACAGCTCCGGCCCACCAAAAGCCCCCTTAAAAGCCGATCCGACAGCCACAATCGCCGACACCGTCGTCTTCCAAGGCCGACACGTCGTCACCATCGGCGCAGGGACAGTCATCCACCCGCGCGCGAAATTCTACGCATACGAGGGCCCAATTATCGTCGGCGACGGCTGTATAATTTGCGAGAAAGCGGTCATCGGCGCTCCGCCAACTTCATCTCGCTCACCGTCGCCGTCCAGACCAACAAGCACATCTACGAGCACATCCATCGAGTCTGGGGCATCGACGCCAGAGCCTAAGAAGGAGATATCGACGCGGATCTCATACTTTGTTACTGTTGGTCCGTTGGTGACGGTCGAACCCGGCGCTAATATTCATTCTTCTGCTACAATCGAGGCATTGGCGACGATTCGCCGGGACGCGGATATTGGTTCACACTCGAAGGTGTGCTCCGGGTGTGAAATTGCCGCTGGCGGATCTGTTGCTGAGTGGGTCGTTGTCTACGGGCAGGGCCCGGGAATGCGGAGGAAGAGAGCTCGAGGCGTGAAGGGGATGAGTCCGGCTGTTGTGAGTGCGGCGCAGGTCGCGCAGACGCCTCTTCCTGGACCTGCGCCGGCGGGTAAGGTTATTGAGGATGCTAGGTTGATGGTTCTACAGAAGGAGAGGGAGGTTCTCGGGAGGATGCTTGTTCCTGCAGCTGGAGGGAGGAAGAAGTGATTTCAAGATGGTTTTTTGTGGATATTCTTTTTGTTTGAACTTGCGTTCATCTGTGTCGGATCAGATTTGTTTTGCGTAGATCCATGTCTTCTAGCAGATTATACCCCAGTCTTCGTTTACAGTCCCTCTATCGCGGGTGGTTACAATGATAATGCACGAGATACTTGGCAATTGATCAACTTTAATTGGTAGTAGCAATCAATAGAAAGCCGTAGGAACGCCACACATTCAGTAGATACAAAACAAAAGAAATGAAACTGCTGTCTGAGAAGCAGGTTTAAATATGAAAAGCAATGCGCCATCTGGCATACACGGGCATAGATACCTATTGATGAATAGGCCTACGCCGCATGTGTCAGTAAAATCGAGAATACATTGATGGAATAGAAAAAGATAAAACGACGACTGCTTAAGAAGAGCCTCCGCCACGAGGCTGCGGGCCACCACCGCCTCTCTGTCTCTTTCCACCGCTTCCACCCTCAGTGGTTGTATCGGGACCATCATCACGAGAACGCTTGTTGCCCCCAGGAATGAACTGACGGGCCGAAGCATTCAGGTTCCCACGGTTGGCAGTGGAGCTCTGAGCCTGCGCAGCGTTGGTTTGGTTTTGGTTACCGCCACGACCCTGTCCACCACGACCGCCGCGACCTCGGTGAAGGCCCGGTCCGCGCTGGGTTTGGCTCTGACCATGGCCTTGCTGCTGCTGTTGATCATGTTGTTGATGGCCGAATTGGGGGCCACCACCACGACCACCACGTCCGCCTCGTGCAATAGGAAGCCCAGACTGAAGAGCTCGCATCAGACCAGGTGGGTTTCCAGCGGGAGGTTTGCTGGGAAGAGATGAGGCCTGTTGATTTTGATCGGTTTGCTGAACTTGACCGAACGGATTAGCTGGCGCTGTGGGTTGTGTCTCGCCTTGTTGGGGGACAGCAACCTCGGATGGCGCAGTAGCAGGGGCTGCTTGCTCCGTTGGAACATTAGGGGCTGATGCCACAGAAACGGCTGCAGGAACAGGAGTGGGAGCAGCGGCCTGGCCCGGAGGGGCTGTAACTGGGACTTGCGGCGCCGCTATAGTTGGAGCGGGACCGGCGGGCTGGACTGGCATTGCTGGTACCGGGGGCTTAGCAGCCGGAACCGGGACTGGTGCAGGTCGGGCAGTCTTTGCAATTTCCCATACTTCCACAACGGGTTTTTGCGGAGTTTCCGTTGCTGCCTTTGATACCACATCAATCTTGGCATTCGCAGTGCGGAATCTGGTGTCGAGCATGCTGAGGCGGGCAGCTGTTTTCTTTTCAACAAGTTCGACCGCCGATGTGACCTTCTCCTTGATTTCATTCTCATGAGCCTTGATCAAAGCCTCCCTTTCCTCGGCCGACTTTTGTTGTAGTCCAGCCAATGCGGCTTCATTTGCACCGGAGGAGGCCTGGGCTTCTTGTTGTAACCTTTGTTGCTCGCGTGCCACTTGACCGCGAATGTTGTTTCGAACGATTGTGCGAATAGTCTCATGCTTCGCAACCAGCTCCCTTGCTTGAGCATCTGTCAATTCGGGAATGGTAAATCCGGCAAGCTCGAACGTCTTTGACGGCGTTGCAGGGGTTGCATCCGGGCCAGCACCTGGTGTTCCGGGTACGGATTGTTCACCGGCGGAAATTTTCTCAAGTTCTTGACGATGAGCAGCCTTGACCTCATTCAGCTTAGAGTTGTACAAGTCCTTAAGGCGGTCGGCGCGTTCCTTGATCTTAGCATCTTGTTCGCTGGCCTGTGTCGCCAAAAGTCCATCCTTCTCGGCAAGAGCTGCCTCGAGTCGCTGGATCTTCTGCTCGAGTTCTTGGATCTTTTGGGCGTCACCGGGACCAGGGACTGCGATGGTGGCAGTCGGGAACTGGGAAGCCGGAGTAGCGTTGACGGGGGCTTCTTCGCCTGCAGCTGGTGCTGGTGTTGCGGCTGGGGCAGGAGCCACAGTGGCTGGTGTCTCTGCCACCTTGGTTTTCAATGCCTCCAATTCGTTCTTTGTAGTCTGAAGTTCGGCTTGGATGACCTCTTTCTCCTGCAACACCACATTAAGCTCATCTTGCTTGGCCTTGACACGCGCGCTAAGGTCCTTAGAGCGTGCCTTGAATTGATCTGTGAGCTTGGCTCGCAATTCCTGCGCACGTTCTTCAGAATGCTGTTTGAGCTGCTCTGGGAACTCCGCGATTTGAGCCTGAAGTGACTCCACCTGGGTCTGGAGAGCCTCCCGCTGGGACACGGCCTCGGTCTTCTCATTCTCGAGGGTCGTGAGCTTCTCCTTGAGCTCTTGCATTTCAGTAGGATCGACACGGTCGTACTTTTGGAGGATGTTCTGAATACGTTGTTGGTATCGGTCGCGATCAGCTTGCAGAAGCTGCATTTCACCATCCTTGGCTTCACATTGGCTCTCCAATTCGTGAATCTTGGCCTTGAGGGGTTCGATCTCCTGGACCAGTTCGCTCTCGCGGGCGATCTTTTGATCACGCACGGCCTCGGTTTGCTTCAGTTGGTTTCTGAGAGTGGCATTGCTTTCACGGAAAACGTTGAGCTCATTGATAGTCTCCAACAGCTTGCTGTGATTCAATGCGTTGTGATCGCTGTCGGCCGCAGCACGGCGCTGCTGCTCAAGCTTCAGACGGGTCTCATCAAGCTGGGACTGAGTGTAGTCGAGTTGTTGGTTGAGGCGCTTGCTTTCCTGTGTCGAAAGGTGGTATTGGACCTCGACAATTTCTTTCTCGCGACGCAAGAACTTGATAACCTCCTGGAGGCCCTCAAGGTTGGGTGCCGCCTGCTCTCCCTCTTGCTCATCGTCTGAAACATTCATTCGGTCCCGCTGCAAGGAAGATATCTGGCTGGTAATATTCTCCAGCTGGGTGTGAAGCACGGAATTCTGGTGAAGGACCTCCTCCCGGCGCTTGTGCAGTTCAGAGAGCTCACCCTCATAGGCGGCTCGTTGCTCCGCCCAGCTTTCCTCCTTCTGAGACAGGTCCGTTTTGTAGCCTTCGGATTGGGTTCGCAGTTGGGCAATGTCGAGCCTTAGCTGGTTGCTCTCTGCACGAACAACCTGTAGATTCTTGGCTGCCTCGGCGTGTTTAACAAGCTCGGTCTCGTAGTTCTGTTGAGCATGCTTGGCAATTTCGGCCTGCGCATTCAGGTCCTCCTGGTGGTACTGTGCAGCAGTGACATGACGTTCATTGTCAGCCTTTAGACGGGTAATTTCCGACTCAAAGTTGGCCTTCTGCTCCTCTAGGCGGCGCATTGCCTCCGCCTGCTCTTCCCGGAGATTGGTCATCTCATTGTTCGAGTTGGACAGTTCAGCTGAGATCTCTTCAATGCGAGTTTCGAGGTCCTGGATCTTAGTGTTCTTCTCCTCCACAAGACGATCAGTCTCTTCGCGGTATTGTTCCTGTGTCTCGGTGGCGGACTCCAGACGTTCTTCACTCGCCTGGCTAATAGCCTGGTAGTCTTCAGCCAGTTGCTTGGCGTGTTCTAGTTCACCCTTGGCCAATTCCAGGTCCCGTTTGAGTTCGGAAACTTCAATTGAAAGTTCTTGTTCACGAGAAAGACCGTTTCCTTCACCGGCATCCTCGCCCTCTGTGAGTCCCTCGGCGGTGCCGGCGGACACGCTTGGTCTAGAGTTCAAGACCTGCAGACGCTCTTCGGCACTCTTGAGCTCAACTGCAAGCTCATCCACACGGGACTGCAAGTGATCCCGAGTGGTCTTGGCGGCAACCAGCTCTTCGCGGACAGCGCTCAAGCTAGTGACAAGATCATCAATTCGTTTTTGGGATGTCTCCTGCTCATACTCCCGGCGCATGCTAGCCTTTTTGGAATCCTCCACTTCGTCATTGAGTTTACGCTTTGTCGACTGCAGTTCGGTTTCGAGCGACTCGACGCTGGCTTGGAGACGGCGTCGGCTCTCGGAGTCGGTGTGTTCACGCTCGTTGAGAATGGTTTGAAGGTTTGCATTCAATGAGTCCAGACGGCTGCGCTCATTCCGCAGATTTTCTGTATCATCAATGAGCCTCTTCTCAATATTCTTCCAAAGGTCCTTTTCGGCCTTCAGGTTGGCATTTTCTCTCTGAAGGCTCTCAACAAGGCCCTTAGCCTCCACGAGGTCTTCCGCGGCTTGCTGAGTGCGCAGATCCTGTCGGTTTGCATTTTCGAAGAGAGTAGAATAGCGCTTTTGGATCTCCGTGTTCTCATTCTTGAGCATATTAAAGTTGCTCTGCAAAAGCTCCGCACGTTGGGTTGCAGCAGCAAGCTGGCTGCTTGACCGACTGATATCGGACATAAGCTCACTGTTCTTACGAGACAGCTCATTAACCTGCTGTCGCAGTGCTTTGTGGTCTGTCGTAGTTTCTTCACGGAAAGTGTCGAAATGGGCTTGAACCTTTCGGAGCAACTCAGCATAGTCCGGCCCTGATGTTTCCATGGCGCCTTGGGGAGCAGCACCAAGAGGCATAGATTGTGAGAAGACAGACTGATCGTCACCGGTTGGCTTTCTGTGCATGAGCATGCTGCGGAATGTGTCGCGCTCCTTGACGTAACTCTGCATCTGGGCGCTGAGGTTCGCAATCTCATCACGGTTTGTCTGGGCGCGGGTCCGCAACTCCTTCAACTCCTCGATGTCTGCTTGCCGCGCAAGTTCCTTGGCTTGCGCCTCTTCTCCCTCCTGCTTGTCACCTAGCTCTCTCAACATGCGTCGGAGAGTGTGATTTTGTTCCTGGAGTTCGTGAAGATCCTTAAAGGTGGTCAGATGCTTGCTAATAAAGCGGCCAGTTTCATTGAGATCCTTTGACGACTCTTCAACTTCACCCCGAGCGATGCGCTCGAGCTCCTGGCGGTCGTATTCTTCACCACGTCTTGCGAAGGCAACCTCCAGGACGAGAACCTTGACTTCCGCACTCAGATCACGAAGTTGCTGGCGTAGAATGTCGCCCTCGCGAGCCAAGCCCTCCACTTGACCTTGCCATTTCCTGGCTTCCTTGAGAGCGGTATCCCGTTCCTTCCCGGCCGCTTCGAGAAGAGTAGACATTTCCACAACAGCATGGTCGAGACGCTTTTGTTCTGCTCGTCCCTCCTCAATTTCGGGTCTGGTTGAGTCAAGTTCTTGAACCATCTCATCGACGGTATTGCGGAGTTCCTGGCAAGTTCTCTGCTCAGCTGCAAGAGCGGTTTTCATTCTGTCATACTCGGAGTACATTTGGGTGATATTCATACCGCCCTTACCACGGGATGCGCGGGGGGAGAATGAGCCACTAGGAGTGCCAGCACGCATGATGCTTGATCGTAGAGGTGTACTGGGTGTACCTCCATTTAGTGAGAGAGCGGGGCTTGCTGATCTTCCTCTAGAAGGCTCAGACTCAAGCTGGGCAACAAGTGCCTCGAGTTCGCCAATTCGGCGCTCCGCGGCTCCCTTATCGTTGGACTCGGTCTCAAGCTCAACACGGAGGCGAGAGATTTCCTGTGCCGCATCATCCTTTGTCTTTTCGAGGGCGAGTTGGCATTCTTGCACCCGTTGCTTGGCCGTCTGAGCGGAAGATCCTTGTAGCTCGGCCAATCGGTTAGCGCTGTCAAGTTCGATGCGGAAGGATTCGGTTGCCTGGATAGCTTCCTCTTTCAACTGATGAATGGTAGCTAGAGAAGTTTCGTATCGCTGCTCTGTTTCGTCCAACCGACTCTTGAGTGAGTTCTCGCTTCGTCGAAGAGAGTCGATTGTCGAGTTTGCTTCATCGTTGTCGCGCTGAAGCTCCGAGATCCGAGCACCCTTTTCTTTGCGGAACTTGATGTATTCAGCGGATTTTGTCTTAAGTTCGGTCTCGAACCATTCGTTGTTCTTTTTGGTGAGATCCAGTTCTTGTTGAAGGCTCTGTTCACGGAAGCGAGCGCTGGCAGATGCCGCATTGGAATTTTCGAGATTTTGCTCCGCGGTGGAGAGTTCACGTCGTAACTCGATGGTTTTCTTGTGTTGAAGCGAAAGTTCCTCTGCCAATTTGTCATAGGCCGCAGATTTCGATTCGAGCAAGCCCAGTGTGTCTCTGTTGGATGCCTCCAGAGATGAGATACGTGCTTTCAAAGATGTGGTTTCGGATTCGGTAGACGTGGAAGAGGACTTCAGGGTAGAGATCTCTGTCTCAAGTGATGACCGGGTGGTTTCTATCCATTGTTAGAGCTCGTTCTTCAGTACTAAACAGGATAGAGTGATAGATACCAGCTTCGTGCAGTTTTTTCCTCAGATCTTCGACCTCCGCATGTCCTTTCTCAACGGTGGCTTTCAGAACCTTGACCTTCGACTCATTGCTGCGCACGGCATTCTCAAGCTCTACCTCCAAGCGAAGCTTGTCGGATTTGAGTTCGTCGGATTCATGTGCCTTTTTATTGATTGATTCTAAAAGTTGATTGACAAGCTCCACAGTTGGGGCCTGCTGTAAGGTCGTGAGTGTCGATTCCGGAAGCGCATAGTGGGAGGATAGGTAAGGTAGTTGAATGGCAGTGTCGGCCATATTGCCAGCCAGCAACAGCACTGAGCTGCTGTGGCGGAGGAATCAAGAAACGTAAGTAGGAGCAGCGCAAGCTAGAGCTGGGTCCTCGAGGACGGGCGCGCCGTGTACTGGTCAGAGACAACTACACACAGCGCTGGGCGAGGGACCTCAGGTCATGACGATGTGAACAAAAGAAAGGTGTGTCTTCTGGGGGTAGAAGATGAAGAATTGAATGAAATAGTAATTGAAAGAAACGGTGGTGAGGTGACTTCAAGGGCGTGCGAGATCCATTTCCGCGCTTTGGGGTTGCTGAGCTCTGGCACGTGACATTCTTTGTCTGGCCTTCAATCTTTTAATAGGTACTCTACTCGAAGCTTAACTGCTTGACTAGGCTGTCCCCATTCTCTATACAACTTCTTTCAGGCGTGTTGTCTTATTTACTTTCAGGTGATATTCACGGTATTTATGCCAAGCGCCTTTTGAATACTCCATCTCCATCTGGCTTAAACCGCGTGGCCACCATCTCACCTGCGTCCCATTCTTCCGTTGAATATCAGTGATCTTCGACCCTGCGTCGCAACCATGTCGTACCTTCAGAATCAGCTCAAAAGCTTCAACGCTAGCGTTGTAGAGTCGGCAAACCGCATGCCCACGCAGCGACGTGTGGTCAGTAACCAGCCGGTCTCTGCCAGCAGTTCCCAAGTCCCATCGTCCGCACCCACCCCGTCATCCACTACCGAGATCAAAAAGAAGCGCCATGACCCGGATATTGTGTACTCTCAGCCGGCCAACACAGGCACAGGCAAAGATATCATGACGCAAGTCCTATTTGCGATCGAGCACATGAAGAATAAGAACGTGCCACTCAAGTTCTCGGATATCATCTCATATCTCTCACTCCAGCATCGCGCACATGATCAAGGCTATGTGCAGGCTCTTCGGAGAATTCTGCAGATACACGAGAAAGTTGAGTTTGATCCGACTGGCGCGAACGGCGAGGGCACATTCAGGTTCCGCCCACCTCACAACATTCGCAACTCAGAGCAACTCTTGAAATACCTCCAAGCCCAAAAGACTGCGGCGGGTATGAGCGTGCGTGAACTAAGGGAGGGCTGGCCCACCGTCGAGGAGGAAATCAACCAGATGGAGAAGGAGGGAAAGCTGCTTGTGACTCGAAACAAGAAGGATGACCATCCGAAAATGGTGTGGCCTAACGACCCGTCCCTAATTGAAACCTTTGACGACGAGTTCAAGCAGATTTGGGAGAAGATCAAAGTTCCCGATGCGAATATTGTGAAGGAAGAACTGGACAAGTTCGGTATCACACCCACCAACAAGAACAAGGTGGTCGGTCCCCGGATTATTGCGCCGTCGAAGAAGTCCAAGAAGCCACGCCGTAGTGGTAAGACTACCAACACTCATATGACGGGCATTCTCAGGGACTACTCGCATCTTAAACGGTAAGAGGGTTGTTTTGGGACGCCACGAGGCTCTCACTACTCGTTCTCACGCCAGAATTTGCTTTGTTATGCTCATTGCTTTGCATTGCTTTAGCGTTTTCGGAAAAAAAAGCATGCGGACTCATTGTGGCCGCATGGAAGCTCATGCATAACTATCACATTTGCTTCGACAACATTGACATTTGTACATTACACGCAGAAAATGATAGATACCCAAATAAACAAGTCGATTGATTCTTTACAATCCTACTACTTATAAGCGGCCTTGCGATGCCATTTTAGATATTTTCTTCCCCTTCTCGGCTTTATAAGTAGGCGTTTTGATATACCAGGTTCTTCCGGCCAGTCCGCCATCTCTCCACTCATACTCCCACCTAAGACATGATCTATCCATATGTATAAATTCATCTAAAAAAGGTATCCAAGAGAAGGCGTAGTGATGTACAAGGTACCCAAAAGCACACGACCCGAAAAAAAATCAGAAATAACAACCTCAAGAAACCCAACACCGATCAATGCTTCCCATTCACAGCACCAGTACCCTCAATCCGATCCAAATAGATCACCAAATCCTCAATAGTACACACCTTAATACCCCACTTCTTTCCAAATCGCAAACATCCATCCCGACGCATCATACCATTATTCCCCCCAATCTCCGCAACGCCCTCAACAACCTCGCCCTCCTCAACAAGCTCGGCAATAACACCAGCCGGCGCCTTACCAGCAAGTTTACAGAAATCCACTGCAGCTTCGGTGTGGCCCGTTCGCTCGCGCACGCCACCAGGACGCGCCTGCAGAGGGATGATATGGCCTGGCCGGCGGAAGGAGTCGATTTGGGCTGTGGGCGAGGCGAGAGTGCGGCACGTCAGTGCGCGATCCTCGGCAGATATACCTGTTGTCACGGAGTCGTCGCTGGAGTCGATTGTGACTGTATACGCTGTGCACTTTGGGTCGGCGTTCTCGGTTACCATTTGTGGGAGTGCGAGGCGGGTGGCGAGATCCGGGGTGATCGGGGCGCATATTAAACCGCTTTTTTGAGATTGTTAGCAAGTGCTTGCTGAAGTTCGTGCATTTGCCCTTGTAGGTGTGCTAATGCGGGGGTGAGGACGGGATTTGGTTCGAGGAGTCTGTAGTGCCTCCTCCTCGTCGTCTCGGTTGGGTGGCGGTCTCACCTCGTGTAGCGCACCAGGAAGGCCATCTGGGCGGCTGTGACGGACTCGGCGGCGATGATTAGGTCGCCTTCATTCTCGCGGTCTTGCGAATCGAGGACAATGATGAATTCGCCATTCTCTGTTGTAGGTCTTCGTTAGTCCGTTGGTCGGCTCGGAAGGTCCCGCGAGCAGTTGAATGCTCGTGGTAGTGAAGTAGATTCCCTGGGTGGAAGATCACTCACTAAATGCTGCAATTGAATCCTCAATTGAGTCGAATTGGTGTGCGATTTCTGTGGGTGAAGGCATTTTGGATTCTTTTTTTGCCCCTCACTGCGGAATTTCGAAGACGAGTAGTTTGAATTGCACCGGTGTGCAGGAGATGTGAGTGTCAGGATAATAAACAATCAATCAGCAATTAATCAAGAGAAAGAATATTCGAATTTGTCTTAGAACCGAGAAAGAAGGAGACTGAGTCACTGGCTGACAAGAACATTAGAAATCCCCGTGATATCGGCGCGGGGGAGCCGAATTGCGGATCGATTGCTAAGCCTCGGGAGCCCAGACGGCCAATATTCTGCTCCGAGGTCTAGGAATTTCGATTCCGAGTTTCTAAATGGTCTATAAATTATTACTTATCTATAGGTATACTCATGTTTCTGATACTTATCTAGATGCAATAAATATGAACTATATCAGCCAAGCCCTTGACTCCCCATCCAGCGAACCTCATCCGCCTGCCTCTCAAGCGCGCGGCGCATGTAATCCCCATATCGCTCTCTCTCCCAATCATCACGTCGTCTATGCCGCATCTCTTCGCGTGTAGCTTCATCGACCTCCGCGTGCATGAACACATCATCGTCAACTTCTCCATCATCGACCTCCATGTTATAATCCGCAGGAATGGAAAACTTGAGCCGGCCAATGCGCTCTCCCGTCCAGATAAGGAGCTCATCTCCAGTAAGATTTCCACCAGTAGGAAGAATCTTACGGGCTACCTCGTTATTTCCCGGTGATTGGGAAGGCCAGAGCCCACGCGGCTGCTGGTCTTCTTCTGTTTTCGGGGTTGGCTGTCGGCCGCGGTGACCGAATGGGATCTGAGGCTGGGAGGTATTGATATTCCACCGTCGGACTTCTGAACGACCGTTTCGCTCGGTCCACTTAATATTCCCCTCGGCGTCGGAAAAGACAATGCGATTGCCATGCGATTCCACGGAAAGTAATTTGGAACTGGCGGCGCTTTGGCGGTTCTTGTATTCCGGGGTGAGGGTGGACGTCACGTTCGAGGGGCTGTGGTCTTCTTCCGTGGCTGATTTGAGGTTATAGAGTTCCAGCGAGCCTCGTCCGTTATAGTCTCCACATGCAACGACAGAATGTGACTCAGGGTAGGTGGAATCTGAGAAGATGGGGAATCGAGGCGCTGGTACCGACGCAAGCCCACACAGTCGGCCGCCGGAATGGACTGTCGTCTGTAGCCGAGGGAAGTAGCGGCGGTCATAGCATAGGATGCTGGGGAAACGGCCTGCAAGGAGAATTGTATTCACATGAGGTGCTGGCGGATGCAGGATGGACAGAGGGCCGGGTTGGAAGAGCGGGGCGTAATTGGCTCCTTTTTCTGAGGGATCAGGACTGCGTATACGAGTAGGTGGCTGTCCATTAGATCGGAGTTGGAACAAGGGCGAGTCAGAGTGCGCAAAGACGCCCAGTTCTGAGGCATATGGTTTGGCTACCTGCTCGCACCGCAAACTGATTGCCTCTTCTTCCTCGACGGCCGACAGCCTGGAATCATAGATCTGCAGACTGAGCGTAGTGGCTAATGTCAATGGCACCGAGTAATCCGTCTCCTGGGAAAGGGCGAAGATCGACCAGGGATAACGCTGCTGCGAAATTACTCTCAATGTCTCCAGGTCAACTTCATTAAGAACATTCCCAACTGCCAGGTACGCTCTTTGTCGCAGAGAATCCACGCTCACCCCCTCGCCCAGATTGATAAACTCCAATGAAGACTTGGAGGGAGAATGGTCCCGACGACCAGACAGGTTGGTCATGAGAATCCCGGGTTCACTAACCCCAAGGATTTTGCCTTTACTTAACTGGGAGTCAGCTGAGTGGGAGTGATTCAGATCCCAGATGCAGACGCTGCCATCTTCAAGGGGGGCAATGATCTTGTTCTGCCTGGCTGAGCTCCAGTCTTTGAGCAGCCCCATTCCTTTGACCTCATGAGACTGCCCTCGTTTTCCTTCACCCCGGACCGACGGCTCTTCGACCCACGATAAAGATATGGGGCCGTGGCGAGCAATATATTCCGAATACCAGTCCACATGCTCCCCCTCAGCTGACGAGTCCCATTCCGCCGCTGCCCTCGCTCTCTCACTCGCAGAAACCCCCTGGGTATAGTCAGAGTCTGCGTTTGCAGGCGGGGCAGAAGGCTGAATGATATCGCGCAGCGATTCATGCCCTAGGGTCGTTAGTGAAACAGTCGCGTCGGCAATCAGACTCTCCGAAGGCCTGGCAGCGGAACGGGCAGCCTGCCGAGCAGCCCATGACTGGTCATAACAGTGCAATTTCCATTGATTATTATCACGGGCGAGTTCAAAAAACTTTTTTGAGACGCATTGAAGTTGGACCTTTTCTCGTGGAGCGAGGTCTAGTTATCGCACTATCAGTTCTCGGTCGAGAGCGGGGAATCTTGGACGGAGCTTACAGTCGATGATTTTGGATAGAATCTCTACCGGCAACTTATCCATGGAGACGGATCAACCGCATTGAGGGCAGTTTAAGGAGAGGAAGCCAGCCACGCGGCCTCTGTCTTATTGCATAAAATTCTAGACTCTTTTTTTGTCGGCTGTTCCCCGCGATCTGCGCTCCGTCACGTGTATTTAGCATGGAAGGATCGGTCTAGCCAAATTGTCAGAATACATATAATCCGTAGAAATTGGTGAATTATTACATGAAGTGATGAGTTTATGATGAAAAAACAGGTTCGGGATACTTTTCCGGGTATCCACAGGTATAAAATTAGTCTGGGAGAACATTCTGACACGTTCTATAGCACAGCCACTAGGATATATTTGATATCACATGTTATCCATATATGGAAGTGCATCTTAGAGGAAAGACATCAACATAGTCAAGATATATATAACCATCTATTGTTGAAGCTATATGCATGTTAGAAATAGAAAGTATTTGAATGATATGAGGAGTTCTTTTCCCACAGCTAAACTCCAGTCCGGCAAATTTTCCCCCATCAGTCATGACTCGTACATTTGAAAATCAACCATGTAGGCAAACATAAGAAAACGTAAAAACAAACAAAAAAAAACAAATGGCAATCCATAGAGGCAGAGCAGAGGCCGCTCTACTCGTCCGGTCTAAAGACGGCATCTTTGCAGAGGATCGTCACTTTTTTAAAGAAACGCCGCCATTCAAGCGGATCACCTTTAATTTTGACGAATTCCACTTCAAATAACCCCTCTGAGACGCACTCAATGAGTACTTTACCTTGGAGCGGACACATCCTACCATCCTTGGCGATCACTCGAATCATAGCAGAGGTATCTCCAGCACCAACAGCTGGAACACTCGGAACTGGAACCCCCAGTCGGTGAAAGGCCTCACATATGAGAGGCACGAGAAGTTTGAGTTCCCATGCAGAATAGAAACGCGTCATTGAACGCGAAGGAATAATATCCTGGAACTTTTGTGCATTTTGGGTTCGACTCACTGGCACCGAAGGCTGCTGTGAGAACTGTGACATAGAAGGCTCATCTTCGAGATGGCCTGCTATCGCTGCATCCTGAGATGCATACTTCTTTCCGAAAGGATCGGTTGAAGAAAAGATAGCACCATTCTGTGGACTGTCCCAGTCCATCAACATGCCACCACCCAACATATCTGGCTGCGTCGAGGAGAAGCCTGCATTTGCACCACCGTCATCCATATCCATGGGGTCAAAGCTGCGACATGACCCCTTCCCTGATTGAGAAAGAGGATCTTGGCTGAAGTCGATATGAAGGGATTCAAACATCGAAGTGGCAAGATTAATTGGATCTCTCAACTTGCCATCGGCGGAGAGGTATTTGTTTGCACGGGTGTACCAAGGATGCCTTCGGACATCCTCCAGTGAGAATCGATTTTGGGGGTCCACGGTCAACATACCGCGCAATAGTGATAATGTAGCGGGTGGTAGCTTCTTCCAGAGCTCATCGGTAGTCCGCGCATTTGTCGCAACATATTCGTGGTACTCGTAGCTATCGTCTGTTGGGCTATCCCATGGCGTATTTCCAGCCAACAGGACGAAAAGCACGATGCCACAAGACCAAATGTCAACTAAATCCGGATGATACCCGGCGCCTTTGTTCTGACCTCGGGTACTGTTGCTAATTACCTCGGGTGCAATATATGGGGGACTACCACAGAAGGTAGTTGAGAGCTTCCGCGATCCCTTGTACTCGAACAGCGCCGCCAAACCGAAATCGGCAATCTTGAGATTCCCATCGCCGGTCAAAAGCATGTTCTCAGGCTTGATATCACGATGGCCAACGCCTTTGGAGTGCATAAAGCTCACGGCACTGACAAGTTGCGAGAAATAGACATGGGCAATATCCTCGCCCACACCCTCGTCGGCCTCAATCTTATCGAAAAGATCTCCGCCTTCGGCCAACTCCATTGCGATCCAACGCCACACCTCGTCCTCACCCGTTTGATAAAAGCTGATAATATTCCCATGACCCGAGACGTGTCTGTGTACCGTAACTTCTAATTGTAATTGTCTTGCACTGATCTTCCCATGTCGAGCGGCGTAATCTTTGTGAATGTACTTGACGGCGAAGACGGGATTCTCCGAATCCAACGGACAGGCTTTCTTGATACTAGATGGATGCAACCAAGTCAGAACTGTTTACTTCATACCTGGATCCTCTTCTTACCATGCATATGCACCTTGGCCGATAGTCTTGGACACGATGCGAAACGGCACATCGTTTGGAAGCGGGGCCAACTGCGAATGCTGCATTTTGAGGAAACTCACAGGGAGTTTAGTGAATGCAATTGGATTATCGCAGGGAGATACACGAAGAGACAGGAAGTGAATTAAGATTAAAAGGTCATAACAAGTGGGAAATAAGATAGGCTGAGATGTCGCGTCAAAGCAAGGGTAGCGAAACGCGGGACAAGACGCGGACCACTTTATCCTGATCGGGTAGTCTGTTGACAAAAGCACAATAGAAGCCCTCGAGAACAGAGGACAGATTGCATTTCATAGGGATCACTAGATACCATTCTATACTACATATGCAAGTATACTATACTCCATTATTATACTATGCTATTAATACCTTGAAACTACAGACCCGCAGTTCATCTGTCGACGATCGCACTAACTTTGCCAGATCGATTATTTAATTATATTTTTAAATGTATTTCTTTTTCTATTCGGTCCTATGTAAATTCAATTATTGTACTTATTCCCAAATATAAACAGAAAATACATTTTCTTTGGAGTGGCCAAAGTAAATCCATAAATTCACCTAAGCGGGGTTCTCGCGTTGCCCGGGGTGTCTAAGAGCCGAGTAAACAAAACTTCTAATTTTCTTCTTTGTTCAATTTCCTTCACACAAATCCCCTTTCTCACAATTCCTCCTTTCTAAATCTTCGTTGCCTCAAGTGCTCCGTGGACCCTTGTTACGCATCCGGCGTCATTCCAAACCCTCGTGTTACTGTTCCTAGCATTCCACAAGGACTCCACACACTTATTCCTTAAGAACCCCAATTGCCTCACCCAATCCACAATGGACTACAGCATGGAAGACACGCAGAACTCAGCGCCTGAGGCGCAGGAAGCCAACAAGCTGAACTCCTCCGGTCAAAAGAGCGACACCCAGAGCGTGACCAAACGGTTTGTGCACCTACAATCAGCTCCATCCCGTTTGCTACTCGGGATTACATATAGCTAATCCAATCCCTTTCATCCGAAAAGCCTGCAAGCCGAGCTTATGCAACTCATGCTCTCGCCCTCCCCCGGCATCTCCGCCTTCCCGGACGCAGACGGCAACCTCCTCTCGTGGACGGCAACCATCACTGGTCCGACCGAGACACCCTATGAAGGCCTCACATTGAAGCTCTCCTTCGCATTCCCCAATAACTACCCCTACTCTCCCCCAACTGTCCTCTTCAAGACTCCAATCTACCACCCCAACGTCGACTTTTCCGGCCGCATCTGCCTCGACATCCTCAAGGACAAGTGGAGCGCCGTTTACAACGTTTCGAGTGTTTTGCTGAGCTTGCAAAGCTTGCTGGGTGAGCCCAACAAGTAAGCATATGTTCACAACCTCCATATCTTCACCGCTAACATTCATCCAGTGCGAGCCCCTTGAACGCCCAAGCTGCCGAGCTTTGGGACTCGGACCAAGCGGAATTCAAGCGACACGTCCTCGCCCGCCACCAAGACCTCGACGAGGAATAGATACCTGGATTTAATATCTTTTGTTTTCATCTGCATCGGCGTCGGTTGGCCCAGTCGTCCACTGAATGGGCGCTGGGATCGTGCTGCAAATGCATAACGGGCCTGGTTTGAGCCTGGGAGTTTCTGGGTTGCTTGGTTAGGCACTTTTTCTATCTTCGTTATTATCGTTATTACTAGTACCCCTGAGTCTCCACATTCAGGTACAGGCGTGAGAAACTCTTGCCCTTGGGGCGGTTCCTTCTGGCTTCATTTCTTCTAGTCGTTGCTCCTAGGCCGGTAGATCTATTTGTTGTCGGTGTTGTTGTAGATCAATTTGATCTTGTACACTATGCTTCCAAGCTTTTTGGATAGTCCCCGCGTTTCGAATATCCTCCGCCTAAGTATAGAAGACTCGCTTGTCTAAACTTCGCCAACAGACGTTCTGCGACGGTATAGAGGTAGGTGGGTTATACATCATATCAAGAACAGAGTCCGACCATTCATGGAGCCGAGTATTCTCATACAACCCCGGTTCTCACTTCGTAGAAATGGAGAACAGAAAGATGAAATATTAAAATCGATTCTGTCTGATGATTTTGAAGTCGACGTGGGGATTGAACAACCCAATAGATAAATAATCAAGTAACCAAACGAAATCAAACCAACACCGCCCATATTAAACTCAGGTTATACCTAAGTGGCAGTTGCACTGAAGTACTGCTTCTCATCGGTAATCAACAAGCCAGCAATTGCCGCACTAGTGAAAGTACTAATGGCTCCAGTGATCATAGCGCTGACTGCAACACGGGACACATCGCGAGCTCGACCAGGCGCAAGCTGCGACAGGACACCGATCTGGTTACCGAGGGAGCCAATATTGGCGAATCCGCAGAGCGCGTATGTAACGATAAGGCGAGAGCGGTCGGAGAGATCTGCATAATCCTCATTATGTTGAAGGCGATCGTAGGCGACGAATTCGTTCTGTGGCTGGTTAGAAGAGAAAATGATTATGTATGAAGACGGAGAACTTACGGTGACGAGCTTGGTACCAATCAGCTTGCCGACCTTGAGCAGGTCCTTATCGCGGGAAACGCCGAGTAGGAAGGCAATAGGGTAACAGATGTATCCGACAATCAACTCGAGGGTCAATGTGGGCTCGTTGATGTTCAGGTATCGGCCCCACCAGGTGAGGAGGCCGTTGACTAGACCGATGAGAGCGATGATGCAGAGGAGAGTTGATGTAATCATGGCGGCGATTTTAAGACCGAGCCAGGTTCCGTTGGTGAATGCATGAAGGGAATTGGCGGCGCGGTGCTCTTCATCATCGGGGATGATGACACGGCCTGCAGTGAGAGTCTCTTCCTCTTCGGGCCAGCGCATCTTCGAGACCGCAAGGGAGGCAGGAATACTCATGACACAGGCACTGACCATTGCCTGTGCGTTAACACCAATACTAATATAGGCGATCAGGACACTTCCTGCGATGGTGGCGAAACCGGAGCACATGATCTGGTGCAGCTCGGCCATGGTAAGGTGGGCGATGAAGGGACGGATCAGCATGGCTGATTCACCCTGGCCAATGAAGGGAGATGCGGCAGCGACAACGGCTTCGGCACCAGAAACGCGCATGCTCCAGAAGAAGAAGACGGCAAACTTGCCGATGAACCACTGGATGACTCCCCAGTGGAACAGCAGCTGGACGAACGAGACGAAAAAGACGATGGCAGCGCAAACGGTAATGAGGAAGAATTGCGATGGAGCAAACCCATCGTTAAATTTGTAGAAATCCTTGCTGGTCAAGAAGATGACTCCGTCAACGGCAAAATCAAGCAGATGACGGGCTAGCTCTGAGATGAAGTTGAAGATGTCGTAGCCTGCCTTAGTGCGGAGAACGAACAGCGCAATAATGAATTGTGCTAGCATGCCAACAATGACAGTGTGCCAAAGGATCTTCTTGCGGTTTCGAGATGTGGCCCATAATCCGAAGATGCATACTATCATTCCGAACAGACTGACTGCACGGTTTTCGCGTGTGTTATCTAGTGATTCTTCAGACGCAAATGCACCAATAAGAATCACACCGATGCATAGCGCGGCGGCGCTAAGCGTTCTTAGCTTCTCGGGGATCAGGCGCACGAAAGGGTGAGCAGTATGCTCCCATACCCAGTGCATGGGCTTTGATATTATAGTGATGGGGACGTAGAAGAAGAGGATCCGCAGCGTGATAGCCAGATAGAGCAGGAATGGGATGAGCCATCCAATATCATGTCGGTGTAGTATCAGGCCGGCGATCCACCAACTAGAAGAGTATGTGTAAGCCTTGAGTTCCAGTGTATGGATATAATACTACAATTGCAGTACAACCTTCACTTACCCAGTAAACAGAAGCCAGACCACCGCATGAACCATATGTCTCCATTGCTTTCCCACGCGGCGATACCAAGTGCGCTGAGCTGGCAGGTTCTCCCCAGTTTCTTCGTCGGAGTTCTTGCTGCGCTGTTCCAAAGGTGTTGGTTCAGGCCCTTTCTCGAATGGCGCATCTTTGGTGTAGACCACTTCATCCTGGCGTCCCTGTTCGGCGAAAGCAGTATGGTGTTGATGAGCATGATGATGTTGATTCTCTGGATCCAACGCAGGATCTACATGGTGCACAACCTCTGATCCCGTAGGATCTTGTGTCTTATCCATATTCCACTGTAGTAGGGAAGGTACGAAGGTACAAAAAATTTACAATTTGGAGTGAAACTCAAAATTTACCGCGAAACACAGACCGCCTGAGACCCGTTCATCCACGAGGGAATTGGGACTTTTATAATAACCAGAGAATTGGCAATGAATTAATTAGGAATCTCCTTCGTATTTAATTTTTCGCATTCCTCGAATCCCGTTAGGTTTTATTTTATTTATTTAATTGCATATTACATTTTCCGGGGGAGAGATAAAGAACCACAGGTTTTCAAGGCACTAGCCATCGGAGGCCTTCCCTTCTCGTCCTGTTTGGCTGCAAGGAATGCCAATGGACGGCTTGACCGACGGAGAACAACGGAGGTCCCGTCTCGCCTAGAGCCAGCTAGAGCCAGCTGCAGCCACATGTAACCATATCGGCAAAATTTGATAAGACAGTAACATTAACTTGCCACAGCAATCCATGTTGTCTTCATTGATTGGTGTAGAAGCTAACTTTTTTCAATGGGAAGTCTCTCCGCACCGGGTAGGTGTGGAGCAATATGGGTCGTGTGCTTAAAATCCCCCGAGGTATTTCCAGCTGACTAGGATTATGTGTTCTTCCCCAGGGAGTAAGCGCTTGGGAGGCTGAACATACAAAAAACTTACAGAACATCCATGGATGTGTGTGAACTGCATTGATCTAGACTCCTATATCTGAAGTTGCCTTGCAGTGTATCCAGGTGAGTTAGGTAGCGTTAAAAAAGCGGAGCCCGGTGCCAAGAGTCGATAAGCAGTGAAGGTCCGAGATACACACACCTTTGGCCCTCAGAGATAATTTTCCACTTCCGAAAGATAGGCGCATCAGAAGACACGACTTGGCAATCTCGGCTACGGAAAAACTTGTGATCTAGAATAGATTCCAAGATCCCCTAAGGTTTTCATATATTAAATGTCATTTCTATTATCATCTCGTCGGTTGTGACCACTCTTGGAATTGACAGAGGGGATACAGGTAGTTTATGTAATCACATGACCCGCTCGTGGACCCACAAAAAGTACCATGGACCAAATAGGGCATAGCCATGGGTGTCCACTAGGTAAATTATCTGCACATACTCCGTACATCAGGTGCATTGGGTATACCTGGCATGTATGTACGCACATAGGTACCTATGAAGGTCTAGTCTAATCCCCGCAGTTGAGCCTCAGGCACTACGTCAATATATCCACCTCCAGGTTTGCCAGAGATTGATACTGATAACTGAAGGCAGTGGCTGAGCAACTGACACTGCCTACAGAGCAACCAATGAAGATTGCCATCCATAGTGAGTGTAAAGTGGCCACGCACATACGATGAAATAACACTTGGCAATATAAGCAAAGATCGGAATGTGCCGATGATTTCTGAGGCGCTCCCTGATTGGCCTTGACTATATCTCCCAACATACCTCACTGATTGGTCTTGCAAATATCTCCTAGCATATGTCAGACAAGAATATAGCTCTAGGGGTCATACACAGATACCCTGTTCTTATCATGATATAGAGGTAAACGCCGCATTACTTTCAACGGAAAAAGCAGTCTGTGTGTTACAACCTGCCCCTGGACTGGCGAGTTACACACTAGACCAAAAAGACCACTATATCTGAGCATTATGCTCAGATATTCCAGGCTCCGATATATATAGTGCAGGACATGACACTGTGGTTGAATTTAACCCTTGCAAATGTCTAACCAAGAAAGGAAACTAGATCTCTGGAGCAGAGAAAACAGAGGTTTGATAATCATTCTCAACAAACGCCCGTACAGATAGGATTCGAGAAATAATTTAGCTTTCTACGAACCCCTATAACTAGGATTAGTGGAAGAAAAACTGATGGAATCACTTGTTGAATAGATACTCAATCAAATAGAATGAATTGATTATGGGATTGACCTTGTAAAACTATGGCTGAGGACTGTAGCTCAGACTCCTGCATGATAAAAACGCATTTATTGAAAAGAATTTAGGCGTCATGGAAAATAGAACAAATATGAAATTGAAGCCCCAGAAGAACAGCATGCACTGCGTGACAACAAATTGGGCTGTGACCAAATGAGAACCCAAAATACTCCACGGAACCATCAGGGGTTGGAAACCATCTAGTTCTCTCTCATGATCTTGATAAAGTCAGAGTAGATCTGGTCCAAGTCAGGTTCTTCGTCATCTATGTCGAGGTCGATGAAATATTTAGTATAACACAGATCATTGCAGATGGTTGCCCACTGAAAGTGGCAGAACTCTTGCATGGGTGTCATTTTGCCAACAACCTCAGTGTAATCCCCAAGGAGCTTTTTGAAGCGCGCCACAAAGGTGTGAGGATCTCCTTTTTTGTATTGGAGGTTGAGAAGCTTGTAGAACCGTGAGTAGCTACCATAGTGCGTTTCGTCCCAGTACTCCTCTGCCAGTTTAGTGTAGGCATCATGCACATTTGAATGTCCGCTGACCAAAGCGTAAGCCTCAGGCCCGAGTGTAGATACAAATTGTTGCAAAGCCCGTTTGTTGGCTCTTTCCCACTTCTCTTCGCCATCTGCGTAGCGCTTCTGCAGCTCCAAATTTGAGGCGACAATTTCGGCGCAGCGAGCTTCGATGACCTCTTCTGTAATGCGACATTCCATTTCCTTGTTGCCTTCGGCTTCTTTGAGAAGTAGAGCCTTAACGCTGGCATGAGATGCATCTTCATACGTAGGAGGTGAAGGCATCCACATCTCATCATTGATCAACTGCACATAGACCTTATTGTTGAAGCCCAGCATCCTGAGCATCTGCTTCTCCCATGCCCTCCAGTTGGATGATCCTTGCAGCTTGGGAACCGATTTACCCAAGTCTATCTCGTGCTCGCTGACTTTGAAGTCGAAAATCGAAATCTTTTTGATAGATGGTGGCATGATGGCGGCTAGAGCAGGCACAGTTGAATGTCCGGGTTATGTGATTGTAGGTAGCGGAGGAAGGATCAAATTTCGCTCTGCGCAGAGACCGACGATGAAGAGATCAAGCTCGGGGTGAAAATACCTGGAGAATGAAGGCTCCGCTAAGTATAAAAGTTGTTAGGATAGTTTAAACATGTACACGGATGGGTTTGACTGACGAGGTGGCGGTCCCCGAGTATCGAGGATCTCACTCCGTGGCTCTTCGCCGCAAAATAAGTTTCCAAGGCAGTAGTATGTGTTGAATAGGAGCAGGTTGCAAGAGAGGTGCTGAGAATGTGGGGAGAGGTGCTAGAAAAGGAAGACCAGGACAAAGCCGTCTGGGTGGATGTTAAAGGGAGAAAGAAGAAAGCAAACGTAGAAGATATCTGAAGTAGGGAAGCAAACACACTTCATTGAGGTCTAATTACTTTGCCCAACATGTCTAATCAAGTACAGGAGGTTGAATTTATCTGGAGCTCTGAATATGTTCATTTCTTTGAATAGTGCATGTTTCCTGTTGGACTTCCACCCCCGAGAGCCGTACACGCTAAAATATATAACTTTCGAGGCCACTGTATGTGTTTTCTAATCAGTGCCATTATATATTATTTGATGAACACTTAGACGTACCATATCAAATAGACAAAGATTCTCAATTGCAGTACTTGACGAACTTGTTGACTCCACCAGCGAAACACGCACCATTGCAGCACTCGCTAGGCAATCTGCAAAGAGTGCGAGCTTATAATAGTTAGCCTTGACATTCTAAAGAGATATAACAGATGTATCATGGTCATGACAAGAACATACGTCCTTTACAGCGCTTTTCAAGAGGGTTGGTCAAAGCAGCTTCGGGGTTGGGCACAGCGGCAGCATTGGCAAAGGCAGCAAGAGCCGCAATGAGGACAACGTTGAAGAACTTCATGGTGATTTTGGTTGCTACTTTTGATGTTTCAAGCGGGTTGAAGAAGGAGAGATGCTAATTGAGATGCTATGAGAGGGAATGAGGCTCTATTTATGTATTTTTTTATCAGATAATCTGATAACTTTTTGGCCCCCAAGCAGCAGGCCATTGAAACTTAGGTACATCCGAGACCGGATCGTGCAGTTGTCTCAATGGGGCTGTTCGAGTTATCTGATCTTACGCCAAGCTTATGGCCCTCGTTATTGCCTCGTTCCATTGCGGGGCCACCAATGGCACGAAACTAGTGGAACGTTCAATTTACGCAGATTCGTTCAATTGGTTCCAAGGCCTAGGTATACAATCAAGCTAAGCATACTACTCGGTAGAAAACGGCGGTTACTGGCGGAGCATGATTACAGGCAAAGATTTTATCCATACAAAATGTACTCCGTATGTCCCCTTAATCTTCTCTCAGACTTCTGGGAGCCGATATGCATAGATACTTGATATGTATCTCATTTCTCTGCATGTTATCGTCTCTTTCTAATTTATACATCTCTCGCTAACGGAGGCTGCATAATTGATCTTTGGCAGTACAAACATATGGTTACATATCCTAACCTTATAGGGCTCATATAGCTTCAAATAGGATTAGCCTCGAACCTTCCCTAGCCTGTTCCAATGTTTCCACCTGTCATACCAATTTGTACAATCCCGATAATAGTTTTCGTTGGTAAATATATAGTAAGTTGGAAAGGTTTAGTAAGTTAATCTAAAAAGTCCCATGGGTTTATTGTTCGAGGTGTCACCCAAAATTACTATGTATAAAACTAACAAGGTATCTAAAGGGAATATCTGAGAAGATAACTGAAAAAACTAATGAACAAAACACAACAAACCTGCCAGGTGGTGGGTGACGGACGCAGCGATGAGGCTTCATGAGATCCACACTGATCCCTTAGAACACCATACCCTTAACCTGAGCAACCTTCTTTAGGTTGATGTTCTTGATCATAATTGTCCAGGCGAATGCTAGAACCATAACACCCAACCCAGCAGAAAGCATCCTAACTTGTGTGTAACCATACGCTTCCTGGATACCCGCTCTCATCTGAGTACCAGGAGCGTAGCTCAACTGTGTTTCAACATCTTCATAAATCATCTCTAGGTTTGTCAAGTCTGGTAGATACCTCATAAGAGCCTTCTTGTATGTGTTGTTCCAGATTGCCATAGAGATGGTAAGACCAGCGGAATCACCGATAGTACCGACCACATTGAGCAAGGCAAGGGCCGTAGCGACATGTTGGTGATCAACGGCAGCGAGAATGGCTAATTGCTGGACGATAATAAAGATCGATCCGGCAATAGAAATGAAGATTTGACACATGACCTGGTAACCAATATTCTGACCGGGACGACGGAAGTAGATCATCAGACCTTGGGCAAAGATGTATAGAGGAACGGAAATGTAAAGGAGCCACTTGAAGCGACCGGTTTTTCGGATCGCCCATCCAACAAAGAACAAAAGTATACCAGAGACCATGTCGAATGTATTAACGATGTACCCAGCTTCGGCGATAGTGAGGTCATTAACCACTTGAAGGAAGTTCGAGAAGTAGTTGTTCCAGCAATAGTTTGAAAGCTGGTATGTGGCATCCAAGAGACATGCACCAACGACGGTTCGGTTGGTGAGGAAGGAGTAGGGGAGCAAAGGCGTGGGAGCGATATACCTCTCGTAGAAGCCAAAGAAGAAGAGCATCGAGAATCCAACCACAATCATGGCAATGATATAACCTGTGCCCCAGCCATTGGGAGCCTCGCTAGCGATGTCATATGGAAGCTCAAATAGGACAAGTCCCGCAGTAAAGATGAAGACTCCAATTACTAAATGAGATTTTAGTATTAGTTCTCTGTAGAAGAATCAATTGACGGCTGTGTATACTCACAATCAAATTCGAGAATCCAAAACCAAACGCTTTGAAGGAATGATCGTCCACTGTTCTCTCTGATAACCACAGCATTTTCCTTTTTGGCCTTTGTCAGATTGAACTTCAGGACGAAGAACAATGGAGCAGCCACTATAGGGAAGATGATCGCGAAAGTACCATAGGCCCATCTCCAGCCAGTATTGGCGTAGAATAGATCCGCCACCTTTGGTCCAGCGAAGGCCGTAATGATATACGGAGAAGAGGTGAAAGCGTATGCAAGAGCTCGGTTTTTCAACTGTGAGAGATCGGCGGTCATGACGTCCACAGCGAATTGCATGCCTCCGAAGCCGATGTAGTAAAACACCTGAATTACTTATTAATAGCCGTGTCATATTTCGTAGATATTCACTTACATTTGCAGCGCAATATAGAGGGAAACTATTGCAGGAGGCCATAAGAATGAGGCCTACAGTGGCTAAAATCGACATTACCAAAAACCCTTCGGCTCGTCCCCAAGTGTCCATCATCTTGGCTACTGGGAGAAAGACAGAAGCAGAGAAAGCATCTGCAATAGCTGTAGGAAGGCCGGATAAGGAGTGTTGTTGAAAAGAGCTAGCGACGTAAGTGCTTAAGCTACCATCAACTGACGATATCCATGCATAAGTGAAGTAAAGGAACCACATACTATTAAAGTATAAGATTAGCGAAGGATAGCACAGAAGATGGGGTAAATTGACTTACTTGATGAAAACACAGATCAGGGATGCTTTGGACCAGGTCTGCGCCACGGCCTCAACCTCCTGGATACCATGTTGAAGCTCTTCATAGGGCACACCGGGTATTTCTGCACCATTGTTCGGAAGTGCCTCCTCGGGATGAGTTATTGGCCCATCCGACTTCTCTGGCTCGACTGTGCTTCTGTCCACATCTGAAGAACTTGCAGCCTCGTCATTGTCGACTTTCATTCGATGAAAGACCGCCCGGGCCCTTTGCATCAATGGACGAAGTGTCATGACGATGAGTATAAAACCCTAAGTCCCAAAAACTCAAACAGGTTGAAGGTTTGAAGGGTATTTTGACTCCACGAGGGGGAAATGTAAAATATAAGGCAATTGATACGGAATTCCCACATAAAATAGCGAACTGAGCACATTAGCAGTGTTTCCAATGCTCATCTGTGGGTCAAAACGACAATCCTTTCCTCCTATATAGAAACTGTTACAGCATACGTGGTATAAATATGAATATAGTCCAAACATATTCAACCTGTGGACCCTAACTCCACTAGGGCCAGGACAACCCGGTGTCAGCCAGTGACAAGATCTAATCAGATCGCCAGTGGATGAGAGATCTTTACCGCATCTAGTTACCTTCACTAAAGACCCCATCAGGTTCTTTCGCTTTGACGTCAGTCCAAGCTTTACGTAGCTGCTTGGAAACGTATTATGGGACCTTGGCTCTAGCAACCGGAAACCGCGCAAAAATTATGAAAAGTTATCAGATTTGCCAAGCTTTCGAACTTTACTACTTTATATTGACACCTGACGTTATAAGGCTGATTTCTTCCTAATAAAAGCAACCAAACCCATTTGATACATATTTTATACCGGCATTATACACCCTAGAAACCATAGGCCAAATTGGGGAGACAATCTGGCTATTTACATCATACGATGTAGACATCCATGGGAATAATTACATATCACAGGTCTTGGACTCTCTCAGTAAGTATCAGATAATACACATCGATTAAAAATTTTTTGCACCTTGTTAGGACATGTGCACTCTCTTATCACAACAAAGAAGTCTGAAAAATTGAACACGGAATCCTATGTGCCGGGTGGCTTGAAAAATATATCACTGGCAGGGGTGAGAAATACGGATATGAAGCTTGAAACAGATTGTATGCACGAGTTTGCTTGGTGCATTTGTTTCCCGTGTCTCTAAATCGAGGTACAACCGGAAGTGAGGATTATGGAGTGCGTGTGGAGCTTCATTTTCCGTTTTATAAATTTGTACTCCGTACGTTCGACTCCGTAGGCACTCTGCCTGCGATATATTAGCCATATTGCATACTGCCACCCTAAAAGGAGCCTCCTATCTGAGCTGGCAGTTCAATTGGTCAGGTGTTGGCGCCACTCAACCCCCACAGCAGCTGTTGCCTGTTCACAACTTCAAAAAAGGAAAATTTCATGGAGGGACTACAGACATAGTATATATGTGAGCTGGTCCCCTATCTAGTGGGGGCTGAATTATGCCCTCACATTTCTTTTTCTTTGTATAGAGTCACCTGAGCTTCTTCCCTGACCTCTTTACCTGTCCAAAATGGACCCCTTTGAGCGACTTCCCACCGAGCTCATAAGCAACATTCTCCTTTTCGCATCAGACTTCGTGGGGTTAGAAAGTCTCCTAACTGTCTCGTCCCGAGCACGTGCCGTCTTCCATGATCGCCCCGGTCTGTTTTTCCAAGAGCTGGTGGAATTGAACTCAATCGCCTCAGCTGCACCTATTAAAACGATTATCCAGAAAGTCCTACTTCTCCACAACCCCTCCTTCGACTTTCACAGCCTTGAGGAATACATACAATGCACAGAGAGTTTCCATGACCAGCCCAGAATCTATGCCGATGGCGCAGAAGTCTTGCAGATGATGCCAATTTGCGTACAAATCCAACGTCTTGCATGCAAATGTCTACAGACAATGCAGCAGAACTTCATTTCCGTCGTTGGTGTCTCACCGGCAGGACCTTTGTCTGGGTCTATTCGTGCTCAAAAGGCAGCCAAGCCCTTTTCTTGGGTCGAGGAGTCCAATATGTACTGGGCTTTGTGGCATTTGAGACACTATTCCGACCTGCATAACTATGCATCTCGTCGGAATTGGCCTCCAAATTCCATGAAAAGACTTAAAGAATACCATAGATGGAACTCGGTCGGAACCCTGACTGCTGAAGTCATTTCCACCGTTGCCGCGGTACTATCCGACTTGGGTTTAAGCCCAATCTACTCCTACCCGTACCTGGGTGAACATGATGAGTCTATACAGGGGGTCTGGTGGTATCCATCGGAAACACCGCCGCCACTTTTTCACTCCTTTGATCTCGAAAGGAGCATGGATATCACAACTTGGCCTTTGCCGCCAACACCTCCAGATGATATAGTAACAGACGCGTGGCAACTTGATGAGGGACGCTGTGGGAAAACGCCCGGCCATATGGAGTGGTACAAAAATTGGGCTCGAATCCTAGCGTATCAAGGGCCACATCCTAACTACACCATGATAAGAATACAACCATATCGAAGAGTTGGTGTTTTTATTTGGGATTTGTGGCGCATGTATTCCACTGGGTTGGTACTATGGAATTACAGAGAGCCGCGAATCCGAGCACCAGATTGGGATGCGGCCTTGGTGGAGTTGGTGGGCGTTCAGCCTGTACCTATGGAGGAGTGGCATGCGAGATGGTTTGCGCTTGCCGGGGATACGTGTTGAGAGTAGACAATTCTATTGGAAATGAAGCCTAAAGGGTCACGTCGAACCAAGGGCTCAATCCTGTCTTTGAAGGAGGAGCCGGCCTATAGGTACAAGTATAGAATCTCCCCTATATATCCCATTAAACAATATCAAAAAGTGAAACACAGTGAGATGAAGGATATGGTACCATTTAGGTTCTACTTAGTATGAGTATACTATGGGAATACTATATTGTATATGCCATGCTAAATGCGGGTAAACCAAGACATCTCATCCGATGTTACATCAAAATATTTGAATCATTTCGAGTTTACGCCAATCAAATAAAATCGATACCCCTGGGGACGAAAACGGATAAGGCGCGGGGACCATATCTTGCCCCTCCCGACAATTCTGGTTCACTCTACAACATTTTTTTTTCTTGGAACAAAACATCATGGCAAATACAGAGAGTGAATGGGAACTGGAGGAAGGTATCCCTCAGGTCGGGGATCCCTTCATCCAACAATATCTAAAGGGACGCGATGCTTTAATTATGGAAGAGCAAAAGCGACGTCATGGTAATTTCCCACTCAAACCAAGCACAAAAAAATCCATCTGACCATTTTTTATAGATGCAAATCTGCGCAAATCTCTATCACCGATCGCTGCCCGGGCAGCGAAGATCGTGTCGCAGATCCGATCCCAGGAACAGAACGAGGTGTGGACAAGCGGATTAGAAGAGGCTATAGCTCACCAAGCAGATGAGATCCTCTACCCCGGTGTCATGTTCAACCTGGCCAAAGGCCGCATGGAAAAGACTAAACTATGGAAAATCGTGGAAAAGATGCCAAAGGGGTCACTCCTACACGCCCATATGGACGCTATGTTCGACATTGAATTCCTGATTGATCAGGCATTCACCACGCCCGGCATACACATGTTCGCACCAAAACCACTGATCACAGCCAAGGATTACGAAGAAGCGCCTGTGTATTTCAAGTATTCCTCGCAGCCTCTAGAAACATCCGAGGACAAGCCGAGTATTTGGTCGGAGACATACGAGGCCTCCTCGCTGATCTCGATTCAGAAAGCCGCCTCCTCTTTCCCTAAGGGGGGAGAAAAGGGTTTCCGGGAATGGTTGAATAGTCGATGTGTTCTTCTGCCGGAGCATTCGTATCATCACCATCATGGAGTAGACGCAATTTGGTCTATCTTCACAAAGACGTTCCCCATCGTCGACTCGATCTTGATGTACGAGCCTATCTTCCGTGCCTGTTTCCGCCGGTTACTCGGACAGCTTGCTCAGGATGGAATTCGATACGTGGAATTCCGCATTGGATTTGTCTTCGAATTCCGGAAAGAAGGAAGCGACAAACCCGAAGAAGACTATTTCGAGTGGTGTCGTGTGGTGGAGGATGTCATAGCTCAGTTCAAACAGACGGATGAAGGGAAAGACTTCTACGATGCTCGCATTATTTGGACTACACTCCGGTGGTTCTCCAATGAGTTGATTGTCAATAGTATGAAGCAGTGCATCGAAACGAAGCAGGAGTTCCCGACTCTGATCAGTGGGTTTGATGTTGTCGGCCAAGAGGATAACGGGAGGCCGCTAGTCGACCTAGTCCCGGTGCTCTTTTGGTTCCGAAAGCAATGTGCGGAAGAAGACGTCGATATTCCCTTCTTTTTCCACGCTGGAGAATGTCTCGGCGATGGCGACGCGACGGATAACAACCTATTCGATGCTATCCTTCTTGGCACTCGCCGAATCGGCCATGGGTTCTCGCTCTACAAGCATCCTCTGCTCATTGATTTAGTCAAAGAGAAGAAGATCCTCATTGAATGTTGCCCAATCTCCAACGAAGTGCTCCGCCTTGCTAGCTCCATCAAATCCCATCCTTTGCCCGCACTATTGTCCAGAGGTGTCCCCGTTTCGCTGTGCAACGACGACCCCGCGATTCTTGGCCACGGAAGGAATGGATTGACGCACGATTTCTGGCAGGCTTTGCAGGGGCTGGAAAATGTGGATTTGATCGGCCTATCAATGATGGCGCAGAACTCCATTCGGTGGAGCTGCTATGAAGACCAGTCGACCGCCGACTGGAAAGCTGGCATTCAGAATGGGGTAATGGGGAAGGGATTGAAATCTGATCGCCTGCGGGACTTCGGTTCGGATTTCGAGAAATTCTGCGAGTGGATTGTGCTGGAGTTCGCTGAATTTGATGCTGGCGATGACTGAAGATCTAATGTTGATCAATATACGAGTCACATACCTACAATATTAGCTTAGGACAAAAATGAGGACATGAAAGGCGATTTTTTTGGTAATAATCCAACTGTTGCAGGTCAAGTTTTGTAATTATTGAAGTGATTTGAGACATATCACAAGTCAATAACACAGTAATTGGTCAAATTTGGTGTCTATCGGTGAGTTGGCACGTCGGCGCCTGACTCGGGTCACTTATCGCCTTTATCAGGTGCGGGAACGTCATTGTTGAACATTCCCCCCCTTCACGACTCATCCACTCCGCTTTGTCGGAGCTGGCTGCTTTACTGTTTTCATTAAGGTATTTTCGATGATACGAGTCCACATATGAACGAGCCCCGTCTCGGCTCTCAGTCACGATGGCGTCGTACTTCATGCCATCGTTCTTTCAGAAGCGGCTCCTCAAATACGCCCTATCTCGTCTGGGCCTGGTCGACACAGAGGCCTTGGATCCAGATAACCTAGGCATCCGCTGGGGACAACGGTCCACCGTCGAGTTGAGGGATATTGGCCTCAAATTAGAAGTGAGTGATACACCCTCCGCGGGCGGCGGGGCTCGTGATCATCAAACGCGACCTGTGGTACAGTGCGGGCTGACTATTTACATTGCGGGATAGAAACTATCGACTCTAATTAATCTTCCTCCGTCGTGCGAGCTACTCAGCGCCCGAGTTCACTTCCTTCGAATCACACTTCCTGCCGATTTCCACAATAGCGGGATCCTATGTGAGGCAAATGGCATCGACGTACATATTCGGTTATTGTCAGAGGAACCGAAAAAGGGACATCATGGGAAAGGGAAAGGTAAAAAGGGTGATTCCCTGGCGGTGCCCACACCGTCTGGTCTTGCGGAGTCATTCCTTGAGTCCGAACCAAAAGAGGAAAGGGAAGAGCTACAGGCCGCAATATCGTCGCAGTCGCAAGTCCTGCCCCACGACCCGTTAGCCTGGTCCGTCGATGACAATGACGAGCTGGGTCTTGGGAGTGAGACTCTATCACTGCCGAGCTTTGTGGCTGGGTTCTTGAAAGGGGTCGTGGATCGATTTCAACTCAAGATCAAAGATGCAGTTGTGCGCGTGGACATGGAATTGAAGCAAGATGGTACCTCAAAGCGGCAGCCTGAAAATCAGCCGGATCTTGTCGCGGGTCTGTTGAGTGTCGGAAAAATCGATGTACACGGGGTGTCTGAGAAAACCGTTGACCCGCAAGAGGGTCTTCCATTCCGAGAAGGGAAGCGGCTCATCTCAATTGCAGATATCAATGTTGGTTTAGTTTCAGACCCATCAGTATTTTCAAACTACTCTCGCTTCGCCGCCCCTGCGTCTCCGTCGACGACTATGCGGTCAAAGGGGAGCCAGCCATCGAGCAGAGCGCCATCGCCCTCTCCATTGGAGCAATCTGTCGAAGAACCCCTATCTATGACTCAATCAACCATTTTCGAGCCGTCGCAAGGTTTCGGACATTTAAGTAAAACCACAGACAGCTTAGAGGCATCTGCATTTTCCCGGGATGGTCGATTCTCAGACGCGGACTCGGAGTCAGGTAGTCACCACGGTGGATATATGGAGGATTCTCAAATATTTGGAGATGACCCCTTCCAAGATAACCCGGGGTACCTAGATTCGGTGATTGACACTCAATTCGACGATTTTGGTGATGAGCAGCCACCGGCGATACATCCCCAAGAAGACCGACGTGTTGGGAGTGAATGGAGAAGCCACTTATCTGGTATTCCACAAAGCTTGCATCGGAGCCCACAGGATGAATACTCTGGCGAACCATTAATTCCCTCTGACAGCTATCATATGTCCCAAACTTCAAGCACACATCACAGCCAAATTGGCTCTGAAATTGACGAAATCACGCAATCCACACGGCATTACAATGACTACGACGAAAACGAACATAATGAAAGATCACAGTTGATGGAGACGTCCCATCATTCTAGTACATCTCCTCTGCCCTCAGAGCCTGACAGCACGGGTTCACGAGAAGAAACACCGAATGCCGATCTCAACGAATCTACGCTTTTCTCCCACAATGAAGCGCAAAGTCTTTACATGAGTGCTATTAGCCAGGATGCGAATGGGAGCTTTATGCCACACATGCCAGGCGCATGGGGTTCGTTTGATAGTACATCAAACTCTCGAAGTGCTTTTGATGACCGATCTAAAAGCATTGCACCTACTTATCCGGCACAGGATACTCAAGTTGAAAATGAAGCGAATGAAGCGAATGAAGCGAATGAAGCGAATGAAGCGAATGAAGCGAATGAAGCGAATGAAGCGAATGAAGCGAATTCAAGATATATAGCACCATCAGAAGACAACATCGCCGAACAACATGATTTGGACAACCCAGCCCAATCCCAGACATTGCACAAGGACAGACCATCAGCTCCATCATCTCATGGGTTGCATAGAAACAATGAAATGACAAAGTCGATATTGACTGTCGACAAGGTTTTGCTGTGGTTCTCACCTCCTGATTCCGACGAAGAAGCGCCAGCTGAGCCGTCGCCTATCCCACAAAAGGAGTACACAGGCAGTGACTTGAATGAATCCACAGCTAGCTTCGGGGACTCCGCACCTGATGAAAGTCTATTTGCCTCTAGAGCTTACAGATCTACGAGGTTCGAAAAAGGCTCTGCTGAGCCACGGGTTGGGCCAAGTGCTGGGACCGAACTACCTGAAATCGCCCTGGAAGTGTTCTGTGCCTCCGTCCATTTTGATATTGGAACTGGTTGGCTTCTAACCAAGATAGGACAAAGATTCTCTCACGCTCTTGGTACGGCTGAAAAAGATCCGGCTGAGAAGCAGCCGCAAAATCAGCAACCTACGCGCACACCACCTGTTCATCTTGTCGTGCATATGCTTTCAGTAAAATTCATCGAACGCGTTTCGGGGCATGTCTATTCGTCCGACAATAGTGGCTCGCCTTCGTCTCCTCCCTACAGCATGGAAGATGTGATTCTTCGTCTTACTCTATCTAATCTCGATGCTCGCCTTTCAGCTCAAAGTACAACTACCAAGCTGAATGTCAACGTGTCCAAGTTTGCATTCGGTTTCGCCTCAGAAGATATCATATTCTTTGATGAAAGATTGAAGATGCGTGAATCTACGCGTGATGTTTTATCCCCTTCGCAAGGAGATATCTCTATGTCTTTGATCAAGTCGGCAGATCTGGCTAAAATTGACATCTCCACCTTGCCTCTCCATATCAATCTCAATATACAACGACTGGAAGAGGTTTTGGGCTGGATGGGTGGCCTGAGTACCATTCTCGAACTTGGCAGTTCCATGTCATCCGTGTCCACAGTCAAGGGCTGCCCGCCACTTTCCAAACAGCGCCCCCGCGGTGTGCATTTTGAGACACCCGCCCCAGCTGTTGACTCGACCAAGGGAACTTCAACCCTGTGGAAAGTCAATGCCCGGGTCGGTGCCGTCCTGTTGGATGTTACTGGAGAAAATCATTGTCTTCAAATCACGACGACCGCTGTCAAAATTGTGAGCAGGTTCGAAGGGATTGGCATTCAAATAGACAAGGCGAAACTGATTGGACCCCTTCCAATTGATGATGGCTCAGCTGACGCTCCTGCTAAAATCACCCTGAACAACATCCGCCTTGAGTTCCTTTTTGCCCCGAAGGAGATCGACCTGGATCGTCTTTTGACATTGATTACCCCATCCCAGGACAAATTCGAAGTGGAAGATGATATCATGCTAGACACACTATTGCGCCAGCGACGACAAGGATCTGTTCTCCGTGCGACAGTGGGGCGCTTGGAAACTTCCATTTTAGATACAAGTGGGTTAGAGCCTCTCTCGTCCCTTGCTGTCGAGCTGAGTCGGCTTTCCAATGTGACCAAATATTTGCCGGAAGACGATCGCCCTGGTATTCTTACTTTGATGCTGGTCCGTGACTTCCAGGGGCATGTCCACGTTGGTGGAGAAGTCGGGGACATACAAAGTCAACTTACCGATATTGAAGTTGCACACATCACCATGCCTTCGCTCACTGCAGCCCAAATCGGAACGATGACCGTCAGTCGGAATGATGACGAAGAGCTGGTGGGGCATGCATTGTGGCCGCCAAACAAATCTCAGGATCCAGACAAGCCATATCCGCCTGTCCTCATGGCCCGCTTCATACCCGATGAGATGGATCCTACCTACAAGATCAAACTGCACAACCTCCTTGTCGAGTACACGGTACCATCCGTTACGGCCTTCCTTGGTTTAGGTGGCGACAAGATGAGCGGAGATTTGGCTAGTAGTATGGTTAACTCTATCGCCAATCTTGCAGAGCACTCAATGCCATCACCTTTGATGACAGGGCGACCGATATCGAATGAATCTACCCCCTCGGCGAAGCCGATCAAAGTCGCAGTAGTGTTCCGAGATTGTGTTATTGGCCTCAACCCTCGCAATTCCCCCGCAAAGGGCCTTGCAGTCCTCACCAATGCCAAGTTCGAAGGCAGTATGTATGGAGGCGAATCTGCGGAAGCATCGTTGGATATTAGGAAAGCCTCGCTCATGATCATCGACGACGTGTACCATGAAGGTGCCTATAACCTTCACCAACGGGGCTCGGTCGTTCCCCAGGACACGCAGGCTCAAGCGTATATCGATGAAGGCTATGTTCCTGTTTCTACCATCTCATCGGCAACCGCTGGTGTCAAACTCACCAGCGCTGAGGATGGGACAAAGTCTTTGGACGTTGAGCTGAGAGATGATCTGTTGATACTTGAGACCTGTGCGGATTCAACTCAAACGCTTATCAGCATCATGAATGGACTTCAGCCTCCAACTCCACCGAGTGTCAACATCAAATATCGAACAGAGGTCATGCCCATCCAAGATATGTTTGCCTCGTTCACCGGGGACGCATTTGCTGCCCATCCAACTCTCCCCAATAATGATCTGGCAACTATCCCCCAAGGATCATCCAGAGAAGATCAGCTGACCGACGAGCTTGAATACGTCAGCGATTTTTATCCCGTGAAGGGCGGCTCTGGTGGTGTGGGTGTTGAAGGCATGGAAGTGGGCACCGATGATCTACTAGACAGCTTCCATTCTCAATACCAAGTATCTTCCAGCATGACAGAATTGGACTTCCAGGAGGATCATTTTGCAAAGAAATCAGCTGTCGGTGGAACCGCTCATCGGTGGGACTCTACCCAGAACACCTATGGCCTCACCAATGACACGAAGCTCGAGCGGAGTCCTTTGCGTGTGCGCGTTCGGGACGTGCATTTCATTTGGAATCTATTTGATGGTTATGACTGGCAGCGCACCCGTGACACAATATCAAAGGCTGTCAAGGACGTGGAGACCAAGGCCACAGAACGCCGTTCCAAGGGCTCGCGGATATCACCTTCGGCCGAAGATGAAGAGGAGTCCGTCATTGGCGATTTCCTCTTCAACTCCATTTACATCGGCATTCCAGCCAACAAGGACCCACGGGAACTCCATCGTGAGATCAATCATGAGATCGATGATTTCACCAGCGAGACTGGGAGCTACGCAACAACCACTACCGTGACTGGGGCTGGAAGTCACCAGGGCCGGCCAACTTCTAAGAGGGAAAAGAAATTACGTCTGCATCGGAGCAAGCACCATAAGATGACATTTGAGTTGAAGGGTGTCTCTGCTGATCTGATTATCTTCCCACCGGGTTCAGAAGAGACGCAGAGCTCGTTAGATGTACGGGTCAAGGATCTGGAAATCTATGATCACGTTCCAACTTCCACATGGAAAAAGTTCGCAACCTACATGCGTGAGGCTGGCGAAAAGGAGAGTGGTACGAGCATGGTTCACCTAGAAATGCTGACTGTGAAACCTGTGCCTGAGCTAGCTGCATCTGAGATTGTTCTCAAGGTTTGTTACCCAAGTCATCAATTACTCAGATCTGAATTTAACTTGATTTCTAGGCCACTATTCTACCACTCCGGCTGCATGTTGACCAAGACGCTCTCGACTTCATGAGTCGATTCTTCGAGTTCAGGGATGAGACTGCCAAACTGTCCGATGCCCCGGGCGATGTTCCATTCTTGCAGCGAGTAGAGATCAACGCCGTCCAAGTCAAATTAGACTTCAAGCCCAAGCGGGTCGATTACGCAGGACTCCGGTCCGGCCGCACAACTGAGTTTATGAACTTCTTCATCCTGGATGGCGCCGACATGGTGCTACGACATGTAATCATTTACGGAGTGTCCGGATTCGACCGAATGGGCCAAACTCTGAACGACATCTGGATGCCAGATGTCAAGCAGAACCAACTTCCCGGTGTACTCGCCGGTCTTGCGCCGATCCGCTCTCTAGTTAACGTTGGTGGTGGCGTGCGCGACCTAGTCGTCGTCCCAATGCGGGAATACAGAAAGGACGGCCGAATCGTGCGTAGCATCCAAAAGGGCGCTCTAGCTTTTGCCAAGACAACCTCTAATGAGCTGGTCAAACTCGGTGCAAAACTTGCCATTGGCACACAGACCGTCCTTCAAGGTGCAGAGGACCTGCTGACCGCCCCCAATGCACCAGCCGACGATTCCTTGGAGGAAGACGAAGCAAAGAAGATCTCACTGTACGCTGATCAACCGGTCGGGGTGGTACAGGGACTGCGGGGGGCATTTAGTGGGCTCGAGCGCGATTTACTCCTGGCACGAGACGCGATCGTCGCGGTACCTGGGGAGGTAGTTGAGAGTGGGAGCGCCAAGGCCGCAGCAAAGGCAGTATGGAAGCGTGCTCCCACGGTCATCCTCCGACCGGCTATCGGAGTGTCCAAGGCCGTGGGACAAACTCTCCTTGGTGCGGGGAATACCCTTGACCCGAGCAATCGGCGCAAGATGGAAGATGTAAGTGGCTTTTCCAACGTTTTGTGTGTGGCTGTGACTAACTCCAGTTTTAGAAGTATAAACGGTACTGAGAGGCTTGGGGATCGACGTGGTTGGCCCTTGCATACATACGTGCATAGTTATTGGCCCTTTCTCTTTTTTTCCTTTTTTTTCCCTTTTAAGTTTGATTTTTCTGAGTTCACTTTTGTTCTTCATTGCTTCAGTTTGATACCACCGCATTATCTTAAATTGCTTTTTATATGTTTATTTAGTTTTAGCTGCATGAGGGGAGTTTGTATAAAGCGGAATCTTTATCCAGATCTATTTCAGATCTATTTCAGATCCACCAGGGTGTCGATCCCAGTTCGTACACGCGGTATCATCCGAGTATACTCCGTATGTTGTACAGAGTACTCGGATAGCCACTTTGGAAGCCTCTGTACCACAATGTGTAGAATCACCTGAGCCTGGGGCAGCGAGGCAGCAACCCGTTTAAAATGCATGTGAAACACAAACCTGGGGGGTTGCAGTCGTATTGCAGATGACTTGGGCAGATTAAAGATGAGCTGGCATGCTGATCTGTATCTGCATATATGCCTTGTTACTTCCAGGTACGAGGTACAAGGTGCCCGACCATGGAAGAGTAAGAAGTCCAGCCCAGTCCAGTCCATTACTCCGTACTCCGTACTCCCGTACAAGTTCTCCTGAGACCCGGAAGTTCAGCCAGAATCACATGACCCAATAGAAAATTCCCCTTACGGGACTACATCAACGGTGCATCACTGCAAAAATGCCGTACTCCGTGCATACCGATCCACTCAGGAAGTCCGACACGAATGACCAAGTCATGATGTTGGTAGTGGAGACAGAAAAATCTCTTTCACTTGCCACATTCGAATTAGAACCGGATAACCAATCATAGGTATTACGACCGCCACTGCCCAAAGGTCGATTTTTTTTCGCCCTCAGCCTTGAGCTAAGACAGGGCTGTTCTGTACGCTGACTGGTTCTGGACTTAGAGAGGCGTAATGGTGAAGATTGGAATTTGATGTGGATGATTGGTTAGAGATGGAGGCGGGAGGGTGGGCACTAAAACGTCGATCGAGGCTGAGATCATCTGCAAGTGATTTGGGCACAATGGTCTATTCTTGAATATTATAGAATAGTATTGTGTTCTTTGTTTGAGTACATATTCTATAAAATAGCATTGTATCTCCCATCAAATATAAAATCGACTGACCGACTTTTCCCAATGACGTTAACCACTTGATGAACCGTGGGTCCCCCCTGAGGGTCTGGACTTCTTCTCTATCATTTTCTCTCTTCTCTCTTTTCTCTCTCTTCTTCATTGGGATTGGTTCGGCCTAATCGGCTTCCCCGTTCAAGTCGACTGGTTCGACTGGGGACTGGTTACCTCATGGGATAACGTGGGTATTAAGGTGGATATCCAGATCCAGGCACATTCCCATTCTCTTTCTTTATAAAATTATTTCTTTACTATTCCTGCATTTCTGTACCTTGCAGTTTTATTTATTGTGATCTATTCATTCATTGCGACCTATTTCCCCCTTGCGGCGTAAATCTGACGAATCAAATTCAGTGTGGAGAAGTGGATTCGATCTACTTGCATCAGATATGTCCACAACCTAAAAAGGTCCGAGAACAGAAGAAGCGAAGAAGCAGGTCTTCATACGAGATCAACTTGCAAGATATGAACGAAAACATCAACTACTCCGCTGCCAATGGTACATGGCATGGTGAACTGCTGGACAGTCCTCTCTGTCATAAGTGCCTCGAAATACATGACCATCATGCATGTACTACTCCCTCCAAACCCTTTTTAGACTCACCAGACGCTTTGTCCCTTCCCCCTCGATCCATCAAATCTCGTATCACGGGGGCCCTTTCCATCCACGATTACCATAAGTTCCTCTCCAAATCCGCAGACCGCATTGGCGATCCTGTCGATCATACAGGAAGGAAATTGAAGCGAAAAACTGCTGCATTGCATTTGAATCGTCCCTCCGCCCTTCCCATCTCTTATCCTGTATCTGTATCCTCTGTGGCCTCGAGTCCTCCGCCACTTTCCCCTTCCTACTCCCATAGTATCGTCTCTCAGTGGAGTGAAGAGCCCGAGATCGGGGAAGCCCAGACTGGTAAGCTTTGTCCCATTAACTTTCTTTGGTCAAATCTCCAGGAACCTTGATTAACAGTTCAATAGTTCATTATCAAGCTGCCCAAAGCTCACGATTACCTGTTGCCTCGGATCTTGGGACTCGTGCGAGACCAAATAGGAAGCGACTGGTAAGTAATCTAAAATACTCCAAGCAAGGAACCAACTCACTGATAAAAGGTTCAGAATACATTTCGTGAAAAGCTTCAACAAAGGGCCCAGGCTCAAGCGGAAGAAGCTGAGCGTGCCAAACCTCAACCCTCGGACTCAATGCTGGCCAGTACGCAGGCCGTTGCCACCGTCTCACACGGTGGCGCCTGCTTTGAGATCCTGAATCCGCGCAAGTCGCTGGATCTAGCACGCATCGTCTCATATATTGAAGACGTTGATAATTGCTCCGTGGTCTCCTCGGACAATCAGCGAGACTCTACTTTCTCCATCGACCAAGGACTGGACCGGGTATCCCTGTCCCAATTCACAGATGCCTCATTACCATCATTCTACTCCACCAACTCGTTGTACACCTCTCTCCAGGCCGATTCCCTAACACCCAAAGGTCAACCCACGGAAATTGCATCCTCACAGCGAACCCACGAACGCATCCAGTCTCTATCAGACTATTCTATCAATGAACAAGGTTTCAACTACTGGAGCCGACCTGCACAGCACACTGAAGACAACGGTCTGCGCATCCAAACCTACAACGACCACCCACGCAGCGATGGAGAGGTCGCACAGTCATACGTGACCCCCACAGAGAAGTCCAACCTCCCAAACCTAGAGTTCTCCAACCGACCCTCCACCCCATCAACACAAACCTTCTACTCAGAAAGCGAGATTGGCGAGCCTGGCTCACCCGTCTACGCAAACGGCGATTGGGCCCAAGTCGACGATCGCGACAGAGGCATCTTGTTCGACTCAGACCAAACAACTGATCAGCACTTCTCATACTCGCAAGCACCAACACCCCGCGAAAGCCCTCTCGACACACCAGGTGACTCCCCCATACCCATCTACTCCTCGTTCGACCCCGCCTATCCCTACCCAACCTCCGTCTCCACTTCCAAGCTCCCCCATTACTCCACCCCCTACGATCCCTACACCTATGACCCGGTGTACCTGGACCCACATGTCCAGTCCGTCCTCGCAGCTGCGAACGCCGAGACGATGGGGTTACGGGGAAGTCCTGCACGCGCACTGGATGAGCTGCAGCGAGGGGCGCGCTCTGGCGAGACCAGTCCGCGATTCGAGTTCCAGCGGAGAAAAAGTGATGAGCGGAAGAGCGGGGCGCAGAGGAAGGGGTTGAGGAAGTTCTTCAGCTGGAAGCATGGGAATTAGGCAGTTCTGTGAACTTGGCCTGCTCTGGAATCCAGCTTTTGGACCGGGTATTCTATTTTAATTTTTATTGTGGTGAGCGTGGCGCTCGGGTGTTGGATGGACTACATGTCTGGATTCTTTTCTTTTGTTCTTCTACCATAATCCTTCGCTATTACTTCTTTTTATTATTTCTATTTGGGTCTGAGACCCATTGTATCTATATCAATTTACATTTGACCTAGTCAGTTTTCCGGTTATTTCAACTTCTCAACTTATAAATTATATCTCGAATAGTAGTCTTTGTGGTTGTGATCGCCTTTGTATGAATCCCAATCAGTGTATGACTATGTATGCTACAACCAAGGAATGTGTCAGAATGCTAGATAGAATGCTAGATCGATCTACAACCCACACGTGTAGATAGTTGGAATGTTCCTTTCTTTCTTTATATAAGGGTATCAAAATCGACATCTAGAGTATGTACACCTCCAATCCAAATCCACCTTAAGCAACCCCATACTCCACTCAATCATCATCCCTCTCAACCATTGACGCCAAAGCCGCGCTAACAAGACTCTTCCTCCTTAGCCCCTGCTCGTTCCTCTTCCCTACAACCCCTCCATAATGATTCTTCTCAACCCGACTCGCCAAAACAGCCCCAGAAGAACTATTCCTCCTCCTCCCCTCCCCAACCCCCTCAGGCCCAAACCGACTCCGCGCAAGCGTAACAGCCCTCCTCCGCGGCGACGATCGCGGCGGCAGCGAGCTAGGATGACAATCATCCTCGTCGCGGAAGTCCGCAGAAACAGGCGACGATTCATCTAGCAGCGAGCGCTGCATAGCCTCCACCTCAGACTCATTGCATTGCAATCTAGAGATCTGCTGGCGTTGGATGCGCACGTCTTGCTGGTACGGCTGCGACTGCGGGTAGAACGGATGTCCGAGGCCGAAATCTGGTAGGTCTGATGGGAGGTCTGGGGGGTTGAAGGTTGGGCTTGTTGTTGATGAGGCGGAGGGGGAGGAGTAGTCGACTGAGTCGTCGGAGTTGTCTGTGTCTGGGGGTGTGAGGACTGTTCGAACGCCTGGGTAGCGACGTCCGGGTGTGTGTCTCTCTCTGTCTGTAGGGGCGAGGGTGTGTTCGTGTAGTTTTTGAGTTAGGGTTGAGATGGAGAGGCGTTTATGGTCGTAGGGGAAGGGGACGGATGTTGGGGGTTGGTTGCGGTGGAAGTGAGAGCGGGAGCGGGAGATGTTGCGGAAGCGTTGCGATTGCGGCGAGGGACAGCGAGAGGAGAGTGGGGAGATGAGGTTGCTGTCGCTGTCGACCATTAGGCGGTCGTCTGGGTCGAGGGCTAGGCGGGAGGGTCGCGACGAGGGCGAGGTGAAGGAGAAGTCTTCGAACATTTTGTCCTAGGACTCGGCGTTTCGGGTGAATGGGAACGGACGTATAGGGTTGATCTGCGTTCCTTTGACGGTGGTTGGGAGTTGTCGGCCTTTGAGGGTTGTGATATGTGTTTTCGTGGCGGGGATTGACCACCTACACTTGGAGGCTGTGTACACGGGTGTGTGTACAGTGTATTGGCCTTAAATTGATATCCGGGCAATTTTATTTGCCCCTCGGAAAAAAATTGATTGTCGACCACTGGTTGAGGTTGAGGCAAATTGACACGTGATCAGGAACCACTGTGCCACATAAAGCCACACTTTAGTATGGACAGGGGTACTTGTCTTTTTTTGTTGCTTTTGGTTTTTGTAACAAAGTAGAGGGCTGAGTTCAATGATATGTTCAGTTCAATGAAAGCATACATCCCTTTTTCCTCATTCGTATCCCTGCAATACTATCGAGACCCCGTTCTTAGTTGCATGTCGATCCTCATGTGGATACCCGTGCCCTAACTTAATCTGCATCCTCGGGACAGCGGACAGCGGAATGAATCAACAGGTGGTATACGTAGTAGTATAGTAGTAATGATCAGATATATAATCAATCTTTCTCTGGGTTTGTCAAAGGTTATGCTTAGAGAGAGAGAAAGGTGGGTGAAAAGTGAGAAATATATATATAATACGAAAGGTGAAAGAAAAAAAAAAAGGACAATGGGATAGCTAGAACGACCTGACGGCGAAAGGACGTATATCCTCATAATCATATCTATTCCTATATATTTTATGCTCATGTCTATAGTATTGGTCTCTTCAATTGCGACGGACATGTTGATGTTCTAGAGTGGGCGTGACTAGATAGCAAATGTAGACAGCAAACGTTATTGAGCGAGACACGCGTTGGCACGTCTCAACCACTCATTAAGTAGACACCTTCTCTCACCACTTCTTCCTGCTCACTTCCATCTCCACTTTCATCCTTGTCGCCACAATCTCATCAAGCCCAACTACAAAAACGACCGAAAAACATCATGGAAAAGGGTATCGAGCCCACCGGGGCCAATGGAGACGGCACCATGGCTGACGAAGCCTTGCTCATCAAGGATTGGGACGAGGAGACCGCTGCCTATTATGACCGGCTACGAATGCAGTGAAACAAGAGTCGTGGAGCGCGCCGCCGTCTGCATAGAATGGGCATTGAATTCGTAAGTAGGCGCTTCCTCTGATGGCAGGCATCTTGGAGGATGGGACTAACAATATAACCCAGCTACAGGGCAACCAGTCGGGCGAGCTCTCCCACTATTAATTCGACGGAGGTGTGTATCACTACAAATGTTGCTGCCGGATCTATCACCGACAGCCAATAAAAGTTGCCGTCGAAATTGTCAACAGGGCCAAGGAGGCTGAGAGGGCCACCAGAAGGGCTGTCGAGAGGTCTAAGAGGGCCACCGAGCAAGTCCCAGAGGCACCCACAGCTACAAACATCTCCATACTTACCGAGGCTCATCCCACGAATCCTACGAATCCTACGACGGTTGTCATACACGAGATTGAGAAGAAGGAGATGGGATGTGACAATGCTGAGATGAATTCGGGCACGGCGGCCACCACCACCACCATGACTCTTGTGTATCGTGGTCAGAAATCTGGTAGTTGCAAATGGTAAATTGAAATGCCAATGATATTCTAGTTACAGGCATGTCCATGAGCTGAAACCGGAATTTATGAACGCCTCCGACAGAACGTCATAGCAAATATGATATATGGGGCGTACTAGGAGGATATCAAACTGTCAAGAGTTATTTATACTACTGAAAGAACTACCGAAAATACATCCTCATGCCTCTCTTGCAAACTATTCCTTTGTGTATAATATGTGACAAAAAAGAATGGACAAGCCCAGCGCCACGAGTGCGAAATTCCTAGCGCGACTTGCGGTCCTTGGGGCTCGAACCCAGGTGACTGACCTAGAGAGGATAGTCTGGAGCAGATATGGCTCGTGATCAACTTACCAACTAGGCCACTGGGTTTCGCAATTACTACTACACTGAATTTGATATTTAACCAACACTCTCCTATTCACGTGATAGGTTTACCCTAGCCAGCCCATGCCATACAAAACGCAACTATGTATGTCCTAGAAATTATAATATGTCAAAGTACCTAGGTTGATTTTATCAGGAGTAGTCAACATCCCGTGATCTGTTCATTCAAACAAAATGTGAGTATCTTCCATCCTTAGTATTTCAATCCTCCTATTTCTGTCAACTATCAATCTCAACTCTCATCGCACAATTCAATCTAATGTAAATTCTTCTTATTGTCCCCTTAAATATTCAGCTGTTGGTAAAATAAATAGTCCGATCCTACGCAGCGGTATAGACGCCTGGGGTCAACCCCCCTTTTCTAGAGAACATCGATGCATTCATGTCTTATTTTGGCCTGGTTCTTGACCGCCCCTCACACCGGTTCATCAAAAGTTGAAAGCTTATACATCGAAACGTCGCTTGTACAAAGCCCTTTCCCGCCTTTCTTTTACCATTGACCCATAAATCTGGTATATCTAAACAGAATAATATCCGAGGAGACCGCTGAAGAGACTACTAAAGAGGCCACTGAAATGATCACTGAAATGACTGGCAACTTCTGATGGAAACCAATGGAAATGGGAAAAGAGAATGTTAAAATTGTATTGAGTACACAAACAAAGTCAAAGCTCCCTCCGATCCATCAGAGACCCTGCGGGTCTACAGGGTCCCCAACACATAGGGCAGGCAACGGGGCAGGACCAGGAGCAGAACCAGGAGCAGAACCAGGAGCAGAGTCAGAAGCAGAGTCAGAAGCAGAGCCAGAAACAGGCGTGGGAGCAGGCGCGGGAACAGGAGTGAGAGCAGGTGCAGGCGCAGGCGAGTGTGAACGCGAGCGCAGAAGGGCGGTGCCAGAAGATTCAGCAGACGAAGATGGCTCATTGGCGTTATTGTCGGCTCCATCGGCTCCATCGGCTTCGTTGGCGGTAGCGGCAGCGGCAGCCAACTCTTTTTGATCATTAGCATTCACTCCTCATAACATCTTATTAAGGAACGTACTTCTCTTCTTGGCCCTTTTCTTGCCAGGGCGGCGCTGGTTCCGCTTGCGCTTTGGAGGCAGCGCAGGATCCCGTACTCCTTCAACAACCGGGGGCTATATCAATCAAAGTGTTAACCGGGATCACGTTATATGAAGTGAGGATAGGGAAGCAAGGAAATAAAAGGGAGCCGGCATCCCAACACCAGGGGACAACCAGAAGATGCGATGGACTGAGACTAGAGAAGACATGACTACTTACAACATCGATGCCGTGATTGCGCAGATAACGGCGGAAACTTGGGTTGCGTTTCTTCTTTTTCTTTGGGGTCTCACCCACTGAAGGAGGGTTTTCCTCGGTTGGAGGAAGGTTTTCCATAATGATATGGGGTAAATGAGTGGTTGTGTTGATGAGAAGGGTGGGTGGGATGAGATGTGGGATGAGACGTGAGGAGAGAAAATGAGGAGAAGAGGTTTCTACGCGTGGGAGAATTAAAACACGAGCACCTTCCTCGTTGACTGAGACCTCATGACTTCCCATGTGAAAGTCCTTACGCGATCCCCCTTCTTCTTTCCAATAAAGGATCGTTTGTATCCACGACAGGGTCAGTAGTATCTAGTATCCCCATTATATTCCCCATCAACGTCTTCAGCCACAGGTCTTTATTTGTCCAAACACTATAAGAATGCGAGGTATAAGTATACCTTTAGGATTAGGCACTGTAGCTCCTACCATACCGAGCTATATGTGCGGACAGGGGCTTGTCACAAGGCCATACAAGAGAGCCACCAAAGAAAGTCATTCTTTGAACAGAGCAAATTGATAGAAGGTCATTTTAAGAAGTACAAAATGTGATTAAATTCACGGGTTGAGGCTGAACTAGAGAGAAACCTATGGTGGCATGCGATACTGCGCCGAAGGGTTGACCTGTAGTTGGTTAAATATCAGATTAAGTGTAGTAGTAATTGCAAAACCCAGTGGCCTAGTTGGTAAGTTGATCACGAGCCATACCTGCTCCAGACTATCCTCTCTAGGTCAGTCACCTGGGTTCGAGCCCCGAGGACCGCAAGTCGCGACAGGAATTTCGCACTCGTGGCGCTGGGCTTGTCCATTTTTTTTGTCATATATTATACATATAGGAATAGTCTGTAAGAGGCATTAGGATGTATTTTCAGTAGTCCTTTCAGCAGTATATATAACTCTTGACAGTTTGATATCCTCCTAGTACGGCCCATATATCATATTTGCTATGACGTTCTGTCGAGGCATTCATAAATTCCGGTTTCAGCTCATGGATATGTGCGTGACTAGAATATCATTGGCCTTTCAATTTACCATTTGCAACTATCTGGGTGTTGTGCTTTTAGAGAATATACCTCACCGCAGGAGATTTTCAACTGCCCGTTCTATTGCAGTGTTCCTATGCTCTTTTTCACAATCCTGACTGCCTCGCCATCCTACCACCGCAACGCCACACCGTGAGATTACTCGTCGTCGATACCTTTCCTTACGCGTCCCCCACGTAGTAGTCGTCTCGTGAAGCCATCGACCCCACTTTCAGGGGTGTACGACTACGGCGGTCTCGTTCATCATACTGTCGCATGCTTGCTACCTCCTCACATTTGCTGACTCGCATTTGGTTGACTGGGTATCATCGCTAGCAGCTAACACCGTCAGTCTTTTTAGTGCCTCGATCTATCCTTTCGACGGGTTTCGCGTCCGCGTACCCCGGCCCCATACCTCACGTTTTCTCCGCATCGAGTGGGGCCTGGACCCTCAATGACCCATATAATCTTGGAGCTTGTTTTCATCCTTGCCTCCCTCTACGTTACAAGTTGGATCCAGGGTGTGTGATTCTCCTGCTATGGCTCACACGTCTGACTTCAACCCCGCTGTTCAAATGGACGATAATATTGACAAGACTTTCCGAATCTGAAGGGAGAATTGAATTAGCTTGTTTCAAAATACCAAACTCTACAGGTATGCACAGCTCCTTGAGGATGAAGACACAAAGCTGAGTCCACCTGTCGGCGCTTTTAGTGGAATAATTGGTATCCTCAAAGCGTGGAGTCCATATTTGGACTATCTTACTTGACAAAGCTATCGTGTCAAATCCTTTGTCCCATGCATTATGGAACTTGAGTATCACAGAAGAAATTCCCGCTTTTCCCGCTTTCTGAAGAGTATCTATCCTAACTTTTGCTGAGTAACAAGATTATCGAACAGTTTCAGAACCCTTCTACTGCCTCCGCGAATGCGATCGAGACCTCTGCCAATTCCGATGACAATATGAAAAGAGGGTAGAACAAGATGGACAGAATCCATTGGGTGCGGAAAAGCAACCACACCAAGAAAGGCACCCAGTTGCTCAAGGGGAAGGCCACATATATCGCAGGTTCCACAACTATAACCACCAGGCTAAGGGGTTTGGATTACAACATGGCCCCGCAATGCTAGCATTTGTTGCGAATAGAGTGATTCCCGGTGCTGATCGCAGGTCAGATCGTTTATATGGTCAAGTCTGACAGCCTCGACTTCACACAGATGCATCTTTGAACTTGAAACGCCAGCAGGTGATCGGTCGTATGACAAGATCGTATGGCCAGCAACTCCCTGATGAAGCACAACCATTTGTTCACAAACGCCAATTCAGGTTGTACCCACGGTCCCAAAGAAGGTGAGCAAGCGAGTGACAACAGTGATACTACAAACTGGACCAATGTGAGTACGAGCATGATATGACCCCCAATATCCCAGATTTCCAACTCAAAAGAGTGTGTTTTGCCAGATCGCACTGTGTGTGGGGACACCATAGTTACAGGGATGTCATGATATGGTTAGTGCCTGCTAACCTAACTCAGAAAGGGTGGTCAATTGGCTTTGAAAATATTCTGTACGCATGGATTGATAATTGAGTATTATCTCAATGCCTGCCTTTGGAGAACATGGGGTCTGTTCCTAAGTTCTAGGATAGCCGATGTGAGTGTTTGAAGGCCCCAATTGCATGCTAGATCCCAATCCTGAATGACTCTCCCTGGCTACTAAGAATTCCCAGTCCTGATATTCCGGGTTTTTTTCGGTGGACTTCAAGGTCAATTTCATAGGCATCATGGGATGTTTCCAAGTCCATGACACCATGAGTGAGCTGAGACCAAGATCAAAACTTCTGTTCTGTCATCAATGAGGCAGGTAGGCTTAATGCCGTCTTTGAAAGCTATGGCCTGCCTAGCAAATGTCAGAAACAGAACATTCTAGATAGCTTCTTCTATAATGCACCAATATAAGTTTCGGATATCTGTTATGTTCCGGTACTTTCCTAGGATAGATTTTATGCGCTGTGGGATATGTTGGGTCACAAATCATCATTATACAGGAACATTTCCCAAATGATAAGACTGGTCTAGGCTGTTTCCGACTATGTCCCTTCGGTGAATACTTGTAGATTAATGACCACGTGGTCGATGGGCACGAAGTTATGTTTGCAGAGAGTGTAGCAGCCAAGCGTAAGCTCTCTTCTGTTTGTACTGACAAATCACTAAGGCAACTATGTGCTAGATAATATTAGAGACAGTGCTGATATCTGAAAGCCCAGATACTCATATAACGGGGAAGTCGCAGCTGTAACTGAAAGATGAGGAGGAACCTCATGTATAAACCATGGAGGTCCCTAGGAAGGGGGTTGCCAAAAGCAGAACTCTGAGAGCTGGGACATAATAGGAAAATATTCAAAGTGTCGGCTAAATATCAAATTGAGTATAGTAGTAACTGCGAAACCCAGTGGCCTAGTTGGTAAGTTGATCACGGGCCATATCTGCCCCAGACTATCCTCTCTAGTTCAGTCACCTGGGTTCGAGCCCCGAGGACCGCAAGTCGCGCCAGGAATTTCGCACTCGTGGCGCTGGGCTTGTTCATTCTTTTTGCCTTTTCGCTTTTACGTTACGTCTCACGCTTTTCCCCTCCTTTTCTCTCTCCTCCTATATCTACTAGAACTGTATGATTAAGGTGGATTAAACGGTGTACTAGTCATCTAGTAAAATGCGTTTGAAGGGTACATGTCAACGGTCTCCTTTGGCAACTAGGGCGCCTCCCAAGGGTGGTTGGCCTTTGCGTTTTGGCTCTGATGTATGAATTACAGTCGCGCCTATCAGGACAACATAATATTTTGATTACTGAATGAGATATCAATAAATCATTTATTTAAAACTAGCAAGAGCAGGCATGGAAATATGTCAACCATACCAGGCAGGTCACAGAAGAAGCAAGTAGAAAATGACAAAAGAAAGCACTTCAAGGCAGCTCGCAGTCTACTCGGCCTTGCCCTTGCCATGGGGAGGGCGACGATTCTCATCCGATACAGGAACTGGAACTTCGACATGCCGCCTGGGCACCAAGGAAGGGCCAAGAGTGACCCCTACGAATTCCAGATGTGTAACCATGGTCCATAAGGACCAGGCTTCCCACGACATTCCTATTATAAGGAAAATAGACTGATCGGTTTCATATGCGTCGGAGATCTCCACTTTCATATTGGGCGGTAGATCTTGGATCGTATTTTTGAAGCTTTCCAGTACTTCGCTATGGCCCGGTATTTGACTGTGGCCGCGCAGGGTCAGTTTGACAAGTACATGTTTCTCATTCACATGTGATGGAAGGCGTGGGATGCGCGAGGGAGAAGTGTGGTCATTGAACACGAGTCTGATTGGCTGAGTGCCACTGAGAGTTTCAAACACGGCAATTGGAGCAGCCAGTGGTCTCTGTCGCTGTATTTCCTGGAACAACGCGGCTGTGGATACACTTAATCGGCCTTTAAAGTGCTGAACTGCACGGAATAGTCGCATAGTGAATGATACTTTCTGGCCCCGAGCACTTGTTCCCTCATTAGGACCACAGGCCGCCATAACTTGGGCCACTCTTGAAGTTGAGGCCTGTGCTCTTGTTACGGCGCCGGAGTAGTAACAATCAATTACCCCAAGGATATCGACGTGTCGTACAGCTTCACTTTCGGAGAAAAAATCTTCACGGATAGCGGACCATGAAACACGTTTACCGCCCTGGATAAAATGCAGGTGCCCATCGACGATGGCACCGTGTCCGACGTAGTAGAACACGAATAAGGAATGTAGTTTGGAGTGATAACAGTCGAGAATCATTTTGCGGATTTGGGCCGATAGATTCCATCCTGGGGTGGGATCCTTTGCTTTCAGAATGTGATCGGTATACTGGATGCCGAAGGTTTCCATCACTTTACCCATAGTGATGACGTCTTCTTCTGCGCCGGTATTATCGTTTTCCCATCTGATGAGAATTGCTAATTTCCGGGAGTGAACATTGCCGCGGGATGCTGCTACCTTCTTCAGGTCTGCTTTTAAGACGGGGAGATAATGGACCCGAGGTGCCCTGGAAGGAAAAGAAACAGCCGTCGATTCAAGCGGATCGGGAGCGGAATGGTGGGATGTAGTAGGCGATATTAGCTCGGTTGATTCAGACATTGTGCTAAACGATGTTAATTCCTAGAAAAAAGAAAGAGAAGTATGGATCACTTGATAGTTGGTACTCACCATGTGACTTATGGGGACAAAGTGATGTCGCAGTTGTAACAGACAAAGGAGAAAATGAGGAAAAGATGGGCTTCAGCTTAGAAGAAACCGAAGTAATCAAACGTTCGAAGACGAGAGACTCGAAAATTACGTCGCAGAGAAGAGATGGTTGTGCAGAGAAGAGATGGTTGTGCAGAGAAGAGATGGTTGTCGTAGAGAAGAGATGGTTTTGTAACGAAGAGATGGTTTTGTAACGAAGAGATGGTTTTGTAACGAAGAGATGGTTTTGTAACGAAGAGATGGTTTTGTAACGAAGAGATGGTTGTCGTAGAGAAGAAAACTTTGTTTCGTCGGTCTTGAACCATAAGAGGAGCGGTTACTCACTTAGAGCCCCGACACCAATTTGGGCTTCGGACCCATACCTTACATTTTTTGGACTATAGCGATGCCACATCAAGATACGCCCAAGATGGCTACTGTGCTACGGTGCAAAACCAGGAGGGAAAATGACGGAACGGGGAAAGGTGTTGTTCTAGCTGCCATATATCTACAAGACCGCCTTGTCAAGGGTCATGGGCGAGTAGACTACTCCGTTATCGATCTGCATACCTATGGACCCCAAATTAGGAGATAGGGTATAAAAAAAATATAATAAAACTCTATAGGAAAAGCAAACAATTTTGCCCAAATAAGTGTAGACTGAAACATCTATGGATGTCACCTGGTTTGAGTGATGTTTGGGTATGTTTTTCCGGCCCGCCCGGTCCAAACTTTAATATAGTTACGACAGCCCCACGGTTCCATGGGATCCATCCATTGTCTACGCAGATTACATAAGCGCCATGTTTGGACGATAATTAGAACTCCTTGATCTCAACTCAACATCCTACTTCATTGACTTTTATAAGCTACTTCCCCAATGGACTATAACCAACCGCTTGACATCTTACATCGGACGCAAGAAGATGTTTGGGTCGATGAGATCAATAAAGTTCGCATAAACGAGCGTCTTTGCGAATGGGTCGCTAGCTTTCACCCCGAGAAAATTCCCTGCCAGCTGCATGGTGGCTTCTTGAACGGCTCATACAATATTAGCCAAAAGGTCCTTTTTGGGGATGGTGCTATGTGGTTACTCCGTTTCCCTCGCGTGAAGAGCATTTGCCCTGAATACGCCGATGAAAAAGTTGTTATGGAAGTGGAAGCTCTCTCTCTTATCCGCGAAAGAACAAGCGTTCCTGTTCCTAATATCAAGGCCTGGGGTCTTGCTGGTAGCAATCCTTTGGGCCTTGGTCCTTTTATTTTGAAGGATTTTATCGACGGGGTGTGTCTCAATGATGTATTCACCGGAGGCGATTCCAGGCTACTCAAAAAGGACATTCCAGACAGCGACCTCGAGGTTGTGTATACACAGATAGCGAACTTCATGTTGCAAATTTTCGAGATCAATTTTGACCGAATTGGAAGTTTGCCTACGCCAAAAACTGGTTATTCTGCTCCTATCCGACCACTGACATGGAAGGTGCACGAGATTGCACAAACTGGGGGGGTTAACACCTTTAATACGTTTAGAATCCTTTAATTTCTAAAGTCTACTAATAAAGGGTTTTCTAGGTGATCGAACCCAGGGTTTCTCGACAACTATGGAGTACTTTCAGTACGTTATTAACCAAGACTCGCAACAACTTCGAGATCAACCCAATTCAATCACAGGGAGGCTAGATGGTATCTCCAAATACACTTCACTCAAAGTTCTGGAATCATTGATACCCCAGTTTGTGAATGTGAAGTATGAGAATGGGCCTTTTAAACTTATCTGCGATGATTTCGGCCCATCAAATATGATAGTAAAAAGTGATAAAGATCTAACAATTGTTGGGGTTGTGGATCTTGAGTGGGCGTATGCGGGACCAGCACAGTTGTTCGGTTCAGCTCCTTGGTGGCTTCTTCATGACCGACCAGTTAACGAAGAGTGGGATTTTGAGGACGGCAACGCTCCTGAGGCCACTAAGCGGTATTTCGACTGCCTTGGTATCTTCAAGGAAGCGTTGACAAAAGAAGAGGCGAAAATGTCTAGAAGCCAGGAGACTGACCTCCCTAGCCTTGTCAAATGGTCCGAGGCTTCAGGGGCTATGTGGGCTCATATGCTCCTATCCAGTGGGTTTTTTGATTCCTTCAGTTTCCCTTGTATGCAGCTACGGCAATATATGGGTGATCAGTGGTGGAGAGAACGTGTCAATGAGGTGGAAATTAGACCGGAGGTGAATCAGTTTGTGACTGACAAGCTCCGAGACTTGAATGATTATGACAAAAAGGTTGATGTAATCGAGGAGCTCAAGAGCTACCTGGATCGTGGCCAGATGACGAGGGACGAGGTTATTGTGGCTGTCGGTGGACTGTTGTGAACCAGTAGCATTGTTGCTATCTCCTTACTATACAGGCTCGAGAGCTTATGACCAAGGCCCTTGCTCTAATCAATTTCGACGCCTAAAGGCTTCAACGAGACGACATCCCGCTTCCACTCAACCGGCTGTCCGGGTAGATGCATAAGGAGTATATTCTATGTGCACTCTACTGCCCCCGCCCCCACTAGTTCTACAACACTCGGGTATACAAATTATATAGATATAAACAAACCATCTTGCTTCGTCTATAGAAGGGTTAATCCTTGCATCACTCATCAAACTCCCAGTCTGAGTTTTAATTTCAGCGATACGTACGAAGATGTCAATGCAGTCTTATTCGAGCGCGCACCGAATAGATAGATACGAGAAGTATAGAAACGAAAAAAAGTGCGGGACGGGCGTTACTTTAGAGAGACATAGGCCATTGAAGTTGAATATAAAACGGCGACGGCGATATTAAGAGGAATAGGTTATATATACAAGATGCCACATGAAACAGTAAGATGTAAAATAAAGTTCCATTTTGATAGGGGATCCCAAGATGGTGGGAAAAGGCGGGAAAGGGCTCTTTTATATTTATAACCTTTGATTCTTTCTATTGTTTTGGTGAAATAAATAGTCCAATACTCTAGGTAGGTGTTATATATGGGCAAATGTGGATGAAATGATCAAAGACTATGAAAGTTTTGTATCTGGATGTTCTGTATGTATTCTGCCACTAGCTAAGTAGGCCATATCTTGCAAAGAGGGCACGAAGCCCACCTGCTCAACGTATGATGACAGAACAGAAGTTTTGATCTTGGTCTGACTTTGCACATGGTGTTATAGGACTTGAAACATCCATGATCTTTGAATCGACCTTGAAGCCTACCGAAAAAGTCCACCAACAAAAAATCCCGGATACTATGATTGAGCCAGATATCCAGAACTTTAATACCACAGTAGCCTTCCTTGAATTGCCAGGATTAGTACAGAAAAACGAATCATGTTGAAGTTCGAGCACTCAGCCTACATCCAACACAATGTTATCAGATCATATCCACATCTAGATACGATAGCCGACTAGGCAAGTCTGAGCATAGCACTGAGCTCCAGTGTGTAAGTGACGCGTGAAGACATCATGGATGTATCGTGGCTTAAAAGCCTTGAGTCCCCAGTATTTGTTAGGCATCACTTTTGGTCCACAGGGAGCTGGAGCCTTTTCACAGGTCTTACAGGTGTAGGCATAGGGTCACGAAACGATGGATGACGCGGGTGGCATGGAGTATAACTCTCTAGAAGACATCGTCAATAGAAGTCACTGTTTGGAAGAAATGACATAGCGGTCTTTTCAATGTTCTAATTAAGTGGCAGCATGTGAGGTCAGCACAAAGTATCCCATCTGAAGCATTGGAAACCGATATCAAAGGGTTCTCATCATGGCAGATGGCCCTTTTTCTCCATCCAGCAATAGATTGATGTCAAGAACGTCCTCAACTGATAGTTACATGTGTAGCATATGGAAAGCCAGCCAAATTCTGGATGAAATTGAGCTGGTGACCGATGGATGCGTAAGTGAAAGGATTTGTGGGGATGAAATAAAAGGAAAGGAGACAACGAGCAGGAGCAAACGAGCAAGCGAGCAAGCGAGCCAAACTTGGGTTTTGTGTCTCCCCCTGTTTGTACGCTCTAGCCTTCTGCTTTTTCTATGCAAGAAAATGGATAATCCATCCACTCTGGGATTTATTACAGAGACAAAACCCAAACTTGAGAAAAGACTACATAGTTAGGTTATCCTTTATATGTGCAAAGTATGTATATCTTCACAGAACTATGTACAATATAGTTGCATCACCCACATAGTGGCCTTACCTCAACGGTTGATACAATCGGTCAACTCCAAGAATGGAGTCCTATTGACCCCAAAATCGAATATAGTGACTCCAACAGTAATGGGGTCACTATACTTGATACCTTGAGAGGGAATACGTTAGAACTGAGTAGACAGCTCACGAGGTTTATGCTATAGTAACTCGAATATATGTGGGATTTACAGGGCTTCAAATATAACTTTGAAAACACGAAGGATAGCTGCATACTAGAACTATACATGTGTCTTCAAAAAGAATAAATCCTAGTAAATACCAGAGAACTTGCCTCCATTTGCGGGGGAAGGGACTATCGCGGACTCTGCGGACTTTTGTCCGCTCACTCCACTTCTTATCGCCATACTCCAACACCCCGGCTTTCTATAAAGCGATAGGACGCCGCATGATGGTCTATTCTTTCTTTTTAAGGACCCTCCCAAGAACGTGTCGATCTGTCAAGCCTGTCTTTTTCAACCCTATTCGAACATTCTCTTCATCACCAATACAAGCTATGTTGACAACGGAGCTGTCCGAGACTGAGGTCTCTGCCCTTAGAGCCAACAAGGAACGCCTAGCCCGTGATCTTCATCACTCATGTCAATGGGGATCTGGAATCAGATGGGGAGAGTAAGCTACCACCGTCCTTTCCAAGGTGGCTGGAGAACGACCACTGACAAAAGCCTCGGCGACTTGATAGTGGACCTACGGATACCGGCATGCAGCGCCTAGCGCTTTCAGAAGACGACAAGGGTGTGCGTGATTGGTTTATTCAGACCATGAAAGATCTTAAGTGCAACGTCACTGTGGATGAGATGGGTAATATCTTTGCTGTTCGTCCTGGCCGGAGAGCGGATGTACCTGCCACATTCATTGGAAGTCATCTCGATACACAACCGACTGGTGGACGGTACGACGGTATCCTGGGTGTGTTGGCAGGTATCGAAGTCATTAAGACCATGAACGATATGGGTCTGGAGACGGAGGGTGGAGTCGGAGTTGTCGACTGGACCAAGTAAGATCCCAATGTTCAACCTGGAAAAAAGATTGATTAATACTGACTACTGTTTCCAGTGAGGAGGGCGCCCGATTCCCGATCAGCATGATCTCAAGTGGTGTATGGGCCGAGTGCATCCCATTGGCACACGCGCATAATCTCAAAGAGGTACCAACTGTGGCATCGCTGCCAACAGCGGCATCAGCACCAGAGACCATGAAGAGCGCCCTACAGAAGATTGGATACTTGGGAGATGTTCCGTGCTCATACAAATCGACGCCAATGGCCGCCCATTTCGAAGTCCACATTGAGCAAGGCCCATACCTGGTGTCGGCAAACCAGCGAGTCGGAGTTGTGACAGCTGTTCAGGCCTACAGATGGTTCCGTCTCAACGTTATCGGTCGAGATACACACACAGGTACCACTGCCTTTGAACATCGAGCTGACGCCCTCTATGCATTTGCCCAGATGATGGTGCGTGCACGGGAAGTGGCAGCTTCGAAGGGCTGTCTAGCCAGTGTCGGCATTGTTGAGGCAAAGCCCGGCAGTGTGAACACAGTGCCTGGAGAGGTGAGCTTTAGCTTGGATATCCGTGGCCCTGAGACAGAGCTAGTTGTCGAAGTCGAGAATCAGCTGCGCACTGATTTCGATGCTATTGCTGCTGCTGAGGGTGCTGGTATTGGTAAGCCTTGCCGCGTGGAATGGACTCTTGACTTCGACTCGCCTGCTGTCAAGTTCCATGACGACTGCATTGATTGCGTGCAACAGTCGGCTCAGGCTGTTGTCGCAGATGCTTCTGTTGCGGACACCAAGTCACTTGTGCGGACCATTATGAGTGGTGCTGGCCATGATAGCGTCTTTACCTCTAAGCGGGTCCCAACGAGCATGATCTTTATCCCATGCAAGGATGGTCTCAGTCATCACCCCGAGGAGTTCTCTACTGCCGACGATTGCGCCACTGGAGCATCTGTCATTCTGCAGGCTGTAGTCCGCTATGACCGAAAGAGATTCTTGTAAGGCGCGTGCTCACTTTAGCCTGATAAGAAAGGCCTTGTATATAGACCAGAACATGCAGATATCTTAGTATGCAGACCATCGACCAGCCAAGAAAGCTAGAAGACTCACACGAATATTACGAATACCAATTTAATTTATATATTATTGAATCAAAATCAATATCAATCCTCATGGATCTACATGTTTGGAATAATCTACATTATTCTACACCATGAACCCAATGGAAACATAAATTTCTTATTTTTATTTTGTTTCCTGTATCCCCACAAGTCCCAGTAAAGCTGGAACGAGATTAGGTGCACCGAGGGTAAGGCCCGTTTCAAGAAACCCCTAGTCCGGCAGCCGAATTCGGATGCACCATCAAGACTCTAGATTGACCGAGAAGTGGTTGACAGGACTCCAATGCCTCTCAGCATTTACTCCTGGGGAGCGGCACCACGGCCACGGCCGAAGCCACCGCGGAAAGAGGGAGCGAACTCGCCGGGGGCACCGCCCTCCTTTCCACCCTCCTCGCGACGGCGGTAACCACCCTCGCGGCCACCACGGCCACCCTCACGGGGACCGCGACGCTCACCGCGCTGCTCCTCACCGCCCATCATGCCGCGGGGGGGAGCGTGGGAACGCTGCTGCTTGATGTGGGTGGCAGGGACAACCTCAGCGGGGAGGTGGAGCCACTCACGGAGGTAGTCCAGACCCTGTTATTCGATTAGTATGGACATATAGACGCGTTAGACGTGGATAAATCGTACCTCGGGGGTGAGGGTGTAGTAGTAGTACTGCCACGAGAACTGAGTCTTGACAAAGCCGCGGGAGTCCAGGGACTGGAGGGCCTTGATGACATAGAGGTTCTTGGTGTCAATGTCACTGTGCTTGGGAAGGTTGAAGTCCTTCTTGGCCACGAGCACTCCCTCTAAAATATAGGTTAGTGAATCCGCACACAGGTGACTCAATTGTCGCAGAGTCGCGGGGACGTCGACGAGGGTTCTCGTTACATACCACGGAAGAGGTACTCGTGGATCTTCTTGCGGTCGTCCTTGGGGATAAGCCTGTGCCATTGTTAGTGAATCTGTCAAAAAATAATCGCAAAAACGAGGATACATACATTGTCGCGAGTTCCTGGTGCAAGTCGGGGAATCGCTTTGACAACGCCCGAAAATAATGGTTGATTTAAATGATGGATGAAGAGTGGAGCTTCGCTGCGAGAAAAGTGCGACGGTCCGAATTGGGTGTAGGGTTAGCACCCTAATCAGCTTCTGGTTCAGGTCACATGATAAAATCGTACATAATATATCACGTGCGAGGTCTCCCTGCGTTGACTGACTAATATATGATGAGTCATCATGGCTGCGGCGACCTGTGGACTGATCCTCGATCTTATCGCAACATCTTCCATCTTTGAAGCCTATAACAGTACTTCTTTATACAAACAAACGCAACTTGCCAATCGCAAGCTCCTAGTATCTTTTTGGGGACTGCTTCTGACACTTTCAAATATGGCTTCCTCAAATGTCAACGTCCTGCTATCGTCCTTTCCGGGACTGTCGCTGCCTGCGACACTTTCCTTCACCTTGCCGTCGACAGCGACTACATCAGATTTGACGGCCAAGATCGCCTCATACCTCCCGTCATCGCTCTCTCTTCAATCACTCATCCTTACCACAACAAATAACAAACACCTGACAGCCACCTCCGAATCTATCCAATCTTTCCTCCCGACTCGCGATGGCGTCTTCACCTCTACACTCCTTCCGCTACGTCTGACAGCCCCCACCTGTGGTGGTAAAGGTGGTTTCGGTTCCCAACTGCGTGCCGCTGGAGGCCGTATGTCCAGCAAGCGCAAGCGCAATCAAGGCGACAACAACGGCTCCAGTCGCAATCTCGATGGCCGTAGACTGCGCACTGTCAACGAGGCAAAGGCACTCGCGGAATACCTTGCTGTCAAGCCAGATATGGACAAGAAAGAGAAGGAGGAACGCCAACGCCGCTGGCAAGCCGTGGTCGAGATGGCCGAAAAACGCCAAGACGAACTGAAGAACGGCACCGGCAGGCAGAAGGTGGATGGACAGTGGATGGAAGACAGGGAAGAAATGAGCGAAAGAGCCCGTGAGGCAGTTCTCCAGGCTATGAAGGATGGCGAATGGACCGACAATCTTCGCGACACAATCCTGGGTGGATCTAGTACTAGCGCTAGCGATGAGGGCAGTGAGGAGGATGCTTCATCTAGCGAGGACGAAGAGAGTGAGGGAAATGGAGAGTCATCCAATGATGCTGGGCCCTCCGTGCCTCAAAAGGTCGCCCCCAGGAAGTTCATTGGCTTCGATGACGATGACGAGTTCATGAGCGACTCTGATGATGAGACCGAGGAAACTGGCAAAGGAAAGGGAAAGGCGCGTGCTTAATATTCTATCATAACCAATATTTGTCCACGGTTCACGACGGCGTTCTTTTACTATCACTTTCAGGGACTCTCTAGCGCATCTGTGTTTTAGCGCCTGTGTCAATAATTTTACACTCCAGTGGGAGTTTTTTAATCCAAAAGTTGTCCACTGCCATCAATTCCAGCTTCATTTTACTGTATAAATGCGTAAAATAACGAACAATGCTTGTTCTGCAGATTATACTTGTATGGAGATACGGTGGCCCGAACTTGCCATGTGCGCTATCAAGAGATAACTGTCTCCAAAGAAAAAAAGGCTCCGCAACTCCGCAGTTTCACACGCCAACATGTCGCTCTGCTCTCGGGGTGCAGTGTTCAGAAATTCGAGATTGAATTTGCTGCGCCTAATCCCAAGGAGAATTCCTCGATCACAGTCTCAAGCGCTCTTTTTACAATCGCGCGCCACGCCACAATCCAAAGTCCATGCGGACCTCCGCACGCAATGCCGATGCTTCTCAACCACTCGATTTCAGCAAGAACAGCCCACGGCTGAGCCTCAGTCCGACTCAATAGCCGATTCCTTGCCCGTGTGCTGCCCAGGATGTGGCGCATTCTCCCAAACAGTTGAAGCAAACGAGCCAGGATACTATGGTACATCACGAAAGCAGATTCGGAAGCTACTCGCCGCTAGAAAGGACGCAATTGAAGCCCAAAATACAGAACAAACCGAGCCCACTGAGAGGGATGGCTTGAGTGCACAACAGAACGATGCCATCGAGGAGGCAGCGCCACCCAAGCCCATTCAAGGTAGGGCATCTAAACTATCGCTGAAGTGCACCGTTTGCTGACTGAATACAAAGACGGAGCTTTTCCGGATGAAGCTGTCGATCCCGAGAATAACTTACCTGGGTCTCTAGGCCGAATCACCGGAGTCTGCGATCGTTGCCACGACTTGATACATCACAACAAGGCAGTATCTTCGCCTAAGCCAACCATTATGTCTATAAGAAGCTATCTCGAAGAATCGCCCTACAAATACAACCGTGTTTACCATATCATAGATGCCGCAGATTTCCCAATGTCACTCGTTCCACGCATTCATTGGGCTTTAGCGCTGCAGGAGCAACGTTCACGGAACCGACGGTCTACGAATGAGACATACCAACGCGGAAGAAAACTCCCCACACTCTCGTTTATCATCACGCGCTCGGACCTGCTGGCGGCAACGAAAGAGCAGGTAGACTCGAAGATGGAGTATATTCGCACAGAGCTCCGTGCAGCTTTGGGAAAATCGGGGAGGGAAGCCCGTTTGGGTAACGTGCACATGATTAGCGCGCACCGTGGATGGTGGACCAGGGAAGTCAAGGAAGAGATCCGAGAGCACGGTGGTGGCATTTGGGTCGTTGGCAAGGCAAATGTCGGAAAGAGCAGCTTCATTGAAGCTTGTTTCCCCAAGGATTCCAGGAATGTGGACAAAATCGAAGAGTGGCTTCAACGCCGCCGTGGGGAAGATGAGATTCAAACCCAGCCAGATGCTACTCTTCTTGACCCCGACGGCCTTCTACCCCCTGCCCCTCGCGAGGATCTCTATCCAGTGCTCCCAGTTGTGTCTTCCCTTCCAGGTACTACTGTCTCGCCTATCCGTATTCCATTCGGCCGCGGAAAGGGCGAGGTCATCGATTTGCCTGGTCTAGAGCGTGGTCTATTGGAGGACTTCGTTCAGGATGAACATAAGCGTGATTTGATTATGACGAAGCGGGTCAAACCTGAACGTCTGACCATTAAACCTGGCCAGTCTCTTCTGCTTGGTGGTGGTCTTGTCCGAATCACCCCAGTGAACTCTCAAGATACGGTCTTGTCCGCCAGTTTCCTACCTCTCGAGTCTCATATTACCAACACGCAGAAAGCAATTGAGACACAGGCCGAGAATATCCCATACCGGGGGACTGTCATTATGAAGGAAGGAACCGGCAGCACAATGGCCTCGGCCGGTACATTCGACTTGAAATGGGATACCACCCGCTCAAATCTTCCTACCTCGCTCGCCAAAGCTGTAAACGATAGGGGAATTCCAGTGCCTTCATTGCCATACTGCGTGATGTCAGCAGATATCCTCATCGAAGGCTGCGGCTGGATCGAGCTCAGTATACAAATCCGCAGCAAGCGGGACGCTGAAGACGAACCTTCCTATCCGCAGGTCGAGGTTTTCACTCCAAACGGGAAGCATATTGGGTCCCGACCTCCGATTGAATGTTGGAACTTCATTGCAGAGAAGAAAAAAATCGATAAGCGCAGACGGCCGCGGACGAGATATTGATGTTTTGGGTATCTAGACATGTACATTAGGCCATTTAGCATAGCGGCTCGGCGTTTCTCCTCCCTTATACATATGTACCAATATATTGTTTGCTATCAACTTCATGCATAGTCTCAAATATCTCGATGGGTTTGATGCACATACTTGGAATGTGAGCACATCCTCACGGTCCCCGCATATGTGGGGGCACAGGGATTAGCTTTCATTTAACTTCTTTCCACCGACTTTATTTCAACTTCCTATTTATTCCTTTGACTGTTTTCTCTTTTTAACTAAACTGTGTTTAACTTTCTCAATTCATCGTTGACATCGCCCCAATATTCAGTCTGGGTTTCAACATATATATCGTAGACATCCAGCACTTCAACATTCACGCTTGTCTACTTTATGATGTTATCTTGTCGGGGTACCGAAAATGTCAAGGAACTGGCTGTACCCTGGCGCTTTAGTCTAACCCAAACCTATGATCCGAAAGAGAACCCGACTGGACTTATCTCATTTGGCCTGGCAGAGAATGTATCTATACCCCCCGCAAACTGGAAATCAAAGGCTAACATCCAAACAGAAACCAATGAGAGCAGAGATAGCCAGATATATCAACGAAAAGGTGCATATACCAGTCTTTGCATTTATGGCGATGCCAACATGGTGTCAATTGACCGAGAGAATCCAAGAATCCCACCCTAACTACCTCGCATAGGTCGTCTTTACAAAAGATTCCATCAGCTACCGTTCAAGTGCACCAACAGCTGCAAGATTACCAGCCGCTGCAGCAGTTCATCTGAACAATATCCTCAAACCACGTACCCCAATTGATCCCGAGCATATCGTCATCGCAGACTCTCCCACTTCTCTTGGCAGTATGCTGGGATATAATCTCGCAGAACGCGGGGACGGGATCCTCGTCAGCAGACCTATATACGGCCGCTTTGAGCTCGACTACGGCGTTGAAGCTGGCGTTACAATGGTCTACGCCGACACAGCTACAGAAGAGGCATTCTCTCCTGCTTCCGTGGAGAAGTATGAGCTAGCCTTCCAGGCTGCCAAGGAACAGGGCAAGCAGATCCGAGCTGTGCTGCTTGTCAACCCGCATAACCCTGTTGGTGAGTTATATATACCACTAGGTTCATTGAATTGAACTAATTGGCTGCCGCTAGGTCGTTGTTACCCAGTCGAGACACTCAAGGCTATCGCCCGATTCTGCAACAAACACAATCTCCACCTCATCAGTGATGAAGTCTACGCTTCCTGTGTGTTTGATTCGGGTGACCCTCAGGCAGTGCCGTTTACGTCAATTCTATCACTGGATTTTACGGGGTTGATAGATCCCAATCTGGTCCATGTGTTATATGGCTTCAGCAAGGTAAGCGTCGGATTATCTCAGTCAAGTAAACTAATTTTGACAGAATATCATTGTAGGACTTTGCTTCCGGGGGCCTTCACCTTGGGTTCTTGTTGACCCAAAATCAGCAGCTTCGTCAAGCTTGCAAAGCGATCCTGTGAGATAACTGTCTAGCATCACCATTAAACAGCGTTTGTCGCAAAACTTACTGTATATATATAGGAGATTGCATGGCGCTTCACAGGCAGCGGTGACAATTGGCACCGCGATTCTAGAAGACCAAGCTTTTGTGTCGAGCTTCATAGCAAAGGCAAGACAGAATCTGGCGTCAGCCTATCGGCTTACAACTTCGGTGCTCAACAAGGAGGGAATCAACTATGTCAAGGGCGGGTGAGTTAGACAATACGTTATTCAAATCCTCACCTAATTCTGTCTCCAGAAACGCCGGCTTCTTTGTATACATCGACTTGTCACCTTATCTTCCTGCTGACGGTGCTCTTTCTCCACGACAACGGGAATTTGCTCTTGCGCAGAGGCTTGTGGATGCCGGTGTCTTTTTACATCCCGGGGAAGAACATTCTCAGGATGCTGGGTGGTTTCGGTTGGTTTTCTCACAGGAGGAAGAGATAATTAAAGAAGGTCTTAACAGGTCAGTTAATTGCTTGTCATTCCTATGGACTTGCTCGGTCAGCTGATTAATGGATTCTTTCGTGATGTCTACAGATTGTTGGGTGTATTGAAGAGCGCATGAAGTATTCTACATAACAGAACAATACTTGAAGATGTGGCACGGGACGGAATTCTTGAGAGGCGTAGGAAATATAACTGGAAAATTGAAATTTATATGCTATGTGTTTTATTTTATTTCCGCAGAAGTCATCAAGCATGATTTTTTGAAACTGGCAAATGAGACTGCATTTTTCAAAGGAATGTCGTTTATTCGACGTTGACAAACTGGAACGTGGGAGTTCCAGGCACGGCATTCTCGCCGGACAGACCCTCGCGCTTCTCACCAGTGCCAACAACCTCACCAGTCTTGCCACCCTCGTCAACAGCAATGACTTCAATCTCCTTGAAACCGGAGGTGCGCTTCAGACCTCCAACCATCTCGGAAATGACGGCGAACTCATCGAAAGGAAGCTTGCGATCGAAGACAGTGGCGGGGGACTCGCCAGCGTTGACCAGACGGCGCTTCAGGCTCTGAACGAAGGGCATGGCCTTCTTCATCTCACCGAGCTTGCCGACCTTTGCGCTGAGCTCCTTGTCGTTGAAGGAGAGGCTCAGCGAGTCGAAGGAATCACGCACCAGATCAATGTACTTCTCCTGCCAGGTGGGGAACTTCTTGGCAACGAAGATAGTAAGCTTCTTGGGCTTGCGGGGGTCGAAGCTAATGTTCTTGCCCTTGGAGAGCTTCTTGGCGTAGTTGGCCTCGGAGCTCATGATATTGCTTGCGGTACCACGGACGTAGTTCTGAGCGGCGGTCAACTCAGGAGAGGGCTCTGGCACGGCAGGGAACTGGGCAAAGTGAATAGACTCGGACTAAATGGTGTTAGATCAAAGTTAAGCGTGAGGTGGGAGAAGAAAACTGACCTTTTTGAGAACCTCGAGCCAGATGTGCTCAGCCCAGTGAGGAGTAATAGGTGCCAGCATCAGGGCTTGCAGCTCAATATAGCGCAGAATAGTATCACGGTGCATACCCACGCCAGCAGCGGTGGAAGCCTCGCGGTAGCTGTCACGGGAGCTAGTGAAGTCATATAGTCCAGACTTAAGAGCAAGCTTGAAGTTGGTGCTAGATAAAGAGTTAGTTATCGATGTCAATTGATTAGATAGGATGCGAACTTACTCCTGGTAGTGCTTCTGGGTCTCGCGGACCAGGCTGTTAAGCTCGTTATTAAAGAGCTTATCAGCGAAGGCATCGGCAGGGCCAGTGCGCAGAGTCTCGTCCTTGGCAATCTCCTCGATCCACTCCTTCAAGGTGTAAAGACGCAGGATGTTGCTGTTGGCAACAGACTCCTCGAAGTTGGCATCTTCAATGCTGTCACCAGCATCGGCAAATGCGATACGGGTAGCATCAGCACCGAACTTGTCAACGGCATCCTTGAGAGTCAGGAAGTTACCAGTACTCTTGCTCATCTTCTCGCCGTTGAGGAGCAAGTGACCGTTAGCACGGACACCACGGGGCCAGTACTCCTTGGGGAAGAGAGCAATGTGGATGTAGAGGAAGAAGGTCAAGTGGTTCTGGATCAGGTCCTTGCCGGAGACACGGACATCTAGAGGGTACCAGTATTCGAATTCACGGCGCATTTGCTGCAGGGACTCCTTGCTGATTCCACTGCTAGCGATAAGCTCGTCGCTAATCTCCCGTCTTGTGAAGATGTAGTCCCAGACCTCATCGGTCATCTGCTCTGCGGTCACCTTCAGGGGGCCGGTGGTCTTACCGTACCGATCACCATGGAGGAGGTGAGCAATGGTGTAGTAGGCCATGTAGACGGTACTGTCACTCAAACTCTCAACCAGGAACTGCTTGTCCCATGGCAGCTTGGATCCGAGACCATAGGTTCTGGCACACGCCCAGCGGTTCAGCCAGGACAGATTCTTCTCGAAACCGTTCTTGCACTCGGCGGAATAGGTGTTGAGGTTGTTGACAACGTGGTTGAGGGTCTCCTGCTGCCACTCGGCGTCATTCTCGCCGTAGTTGAGGAACCACTGACCCAGATAGGCAACAACACAGTCATCACCACTACGGCTGACAACCTTACCCATGGGGTCAGCGAAGGGGAAGGCATCCCCACTCTCGTAGAGGTCCTTGCGGACCTTTTCCTTAGCATCACTGACGGGCTCGCCCTTGTAGTTACCAACAAGCATAGTACCCTTGTAGAAAGCTTCCATGTAGGCCAAATCCTTGGCCTGGGCAAGCTGGGTGGCGTCCTTGGGAGAGTTGATCTTCAGCTCCTTGACCAGAGCAGGAGCGGTCAAGTTGCCGTAAGTAGGAGTGTCAATGAGCGGGAAGATTTCCAGCTCGGCCCACTCCTTCTGGATACCGTAGTACTCAGCCTTCTTGGCCAGATCCATCAGGGTGGCGTAATCGTCAGGGCTGTCGGAGGGGACGGAGGTGACAACACCAGTACCCTTGGATGCTGAAACACTATCCATAGGCAGGATGCGGACACCTTCAGTGTGGAAAGACAGAGGTGCGTTGACCAGTGTGCCGACGAAAGCGGAACCCTGTACCTCAAGAACTTGTGGGAGCTCGTCTTGAGTCTTGGGGAACTTATCGCCGAAGAAATGGCCCTGGAAAGCCATATTCCAAGCAGCACGCTTGGTCACGACAATGTACTCCTTCTCCTTCAGCTTGAAGAGGCCGTAGTTGATCTTTGGGCCGACGAAGCAGCAAGTTTGACCGTACATAGTCTCGGGACGCAGAGTAGCGGGAACGAAGTATACCTTAGCATCATCCTCGATCTTTCCCTTCACAAGCTCTGCCATCTTTGGTGACCATTCCTTAACCTGGAGTTTGAGCGCAGAGTACTCCTGGGGACCAATACCCTCACCCTCGGTACGGTCATGGTCCATGCAAGGCTGGCCGTCCTTAGGCGAGTAGACGGTGTAACGGTTTCCGTACATAATCTTGCCAAGCTCGTGCAGGCGGTTCATCTGCCAGCGCACGAAAGCATCGTAGTAAGGGTTAGCGTCGGTGGTGACGAACTGGCGACGCCAATCAACGCGGGCACCCATGCTGTCAAGATCACGGATGGCAAGAGGAGGGAAGTGGTCGAGCCAGTGGGCAGCATCGGCAAACTTGTGAATTTCCTCCAGAGGAACACCAATTGCCAGCATGATCTGGAACTGGTACTTCATCTTCACGGTCTTGGCAGCGGCCTTGCTCTTCTTTCCGGAGAACTTCTCACTTGCCTCAGCCTTGACCTCTTGTGTGGGAGCTGCGCGGAGATCCTCAGCGGCCTCTGCCTCCTCGCTGTATCCTTCGAAACCCTGACCGAACTTCTTCACCTCGTTGGCGAGCTTATCGGCACAGGCCTTGATAGGCATACCAGTGCAGTGGAAGCCCAGAGGGAAAAGGGCACGCTTGCCCTCCATGCGGGCAAATCCAGCCATGAACTCCACCTTACTAGCAGTGAAGCTGTGTCCGGCATGCAGAGTACCGTTCATGTAAGGGTAGGCCATGGTACCGAAGAACTTGGGGTATTTCTCACGGAGCTCGGCGGGGGTCAAGGCGCCCTGGGGGGCCTCCTCGAATGAGGGCGCATCAACCTCGAAAACCTTGTTCTCCTTCCATTGTGCCTGGTACTTCTTCTCGATTGCGATCAAGCTGTCACGCTTCTCGGTCTGGCAGGCGAAATGTTAGTAAATGAAAATCAACGATGGTGGGGGGGAGGAGGGGTATAATAACATTTTCTAATTTGAGGGTGTTCTTTGAGCTGTTGCTTGGATCAAGCTCAGCTACGGATGCAGCTGCGGCGGCCATTTTTCCTGATTGTCAGAATTGGCCTGTAATTCCCTTGAAGAGCGGAGGGGACAAAAGAATCGCGGGGCGAGATATAAAATATGTTTGTTCAGTTTGTGAGTCAAGGTAATTCCACTGTATTGTATTTTACCCTGGGCTCCACAGTTCAGATGTTCTTTACAGTGTTGTAAAGATGAATTGTTGTGTAAAGGAGATGTTCAATTGATGAGCTGGACTCTCTATATATATATATATATATGCCAATCACTTTGGTAGATAAATCCCCAGTCTTTATTTTAAATGTTGTCGTTAAAGTGAGCTTGAACATGTTCTATTGGGGCTTTGATCAATACCATCTATAGATTGAATGTCGCACGTGACTATCACGGAGCAACTTCTTCGCCGACAAGCGCATCTGCGATAAATTTCCCCGATCAACAAACTCGCAATTCCGGCCCTATATTACATATTCTTGAGCAAGAATCTTGCCAATTAATCCTGCACTCTCGTCTCATTCTTTTAACCACACATCTCGTCGCATAAGGGCCAGTCCCTGTGCGGAACACCTTTCATCATGGTCAACTTGTTCAAGCGGCTTCGCAAGCTGCAAACTGTATGTATAGCTTCTCCCGGCTTCCCTTCTCTGGGCTCGCCAAAGTAACGCTGAATTGATGGGCTAATGTGAAATTGCTTTTGTCAACAGAGAGTAAGACGAGACCCCGTCCCTTGAGATCTCCGACCCTGCAACCTCCGAGACCGAACTCGCGTTGTCTCCCACGGTCTAGCCGACATGCAATCAACTGACTCGTTCTTTCACTGTTCCAGATGCTCCAGACCAAAATTGGCACAGGTGCAGCCATCTTCCCCAACCTCACCTCCGCATCAAAAGAATTCCCAGCCGTCACCCGACTCCACCTCACATATGCACGCAAGATCGACCAGGGCCACGGAGGCGCGCGGCATTTCTGGCGTAACTGTCTTCCACGACTGAAATATCACAACCCAGGCGTGCCGATGACAGTGGCACAAACCTCCAACCAGCAAGGACCCGCAGCATTGACAATTTACTTCGCCGAACGGGTCGGCAGTGCCGCAACGGCCCTCGCAAACGAAAGGAAGGTCATTGATGAGCTTGCCCCGGCCCCCGAAGCAAACGAGCAATCAGCCGTTCTAGATATCAAGAACCGCACATACCAACAAATCTGGGATCGTGTGCAGGCCATGACGGGTGCGAAGGTGGTCCCCGCCACTCCCGAGGATATCGCGCTTTCACAGCAGCTGGCGGAGAT